GAGATAATTAGAGAGAAAATAGATGAAAGAAGAAGATTTTTTTTATAAAGATCAATTTGAACTATCCCCCGGGGCCTCCAAAAATTTACCCTATGTTACGTCGGATGCATAACGCAAGTATAAATTTCAGAGAATATTCGGAAATATTCTCTTATTTTATGTTTCGAGTCTAGACTTGCGTCCACTAACTCGGGAACGATTCAAATTGATCAATATATGTAAATAGGGATTTTCGCGGGGAAATTAAAGGAATAATTACGCGATAAACGCATTAAAATCCTTAGGTAAGGTAATGAAAATTATGGTAAATACAAAAATACGACAAGGAAATTGAAGAAATAAGAACACGATTAACGCATTAATATTCTTCGGAATTATTTAGAGATGACAAGAAAAAGATTTAGATGAAAGTTAGACAGCAATTTAATATAAGACTTACTTTTATTTAAACAAATTGGCACTTGTAGACTCGGAAATTGGTTGAAAAAGTGTTGAATTTTTGGCTTGAATCGTGGAAATTTTTAATACAATTTAAATTTAACACTTGGAAAATTGTTAGAAAAAATGAAAATTAATTGAACTTGAACTTGAACTTGAAGAAGAATTTGAGGAAGAAGTAGTTTTTTTAGAATTCTTGTGACTGTTTTTTTGACTGGTTTTGTGACTGTTTTTTGTGACTGTTTTTTGTGACTGTTTTTTGTGACTGTTTTTTGTGACTGACTTCTCAACGGGGTTCGTATTTTTATATCATTGTCCCTACCTATTTTTAGGGATGGAACTATGTTTTAAAATAATGGGTCTCAAAGTGGAGGAAAAAGAGGTTGGGAAATTACAAGGATTGGATCCAAGGAAAGAAAATGGGGAAAAAACTGGTTAGGTCAGTGACGGTATTGGGCCCTTCAGGCCCAGCCTTGAGAGATAAGAAGTTGCGTGGGCGTACTTGAATTAGGGGAGTTTTCAAGTGGAAGGGGCTTAAAGTTTTGACCGTTTTCAAGAGATGGAGCCAAAATTCAGTTTTCCAACCAATTTCTGAGTTTTTCATAATTTTCACATTATTAATATTAAAAATTAATTTAAACATTATAAATATTAATATTATTAGTTAAAAAGTTATTAACAATAATTTTTAACAATAAAATATAATTAATTATTAAAGTTTTAAAATATAAAGAATTTTGTATACTTAAATTGTTAATTAATGATTAAAAATTAATTTGAATAATTAAAAATAATTAAAATTTATTTAAAATTGTTTAATTTGTTTGTTAATTTAATTTTTATTATAAAAGTATAGAATATTCTTTATATTTAATGAAATTATTCTAAAACGTTTGAAAAGTAATTTAAAATAATTGAATTAAAAATTAATAATAATCAAAAATGAGTAATAATAATTCAAATGTTCAAATAATATTTATAAACAATTATACACAATAATTTATCTGTGAAATAATTAATTTATAATAAAAACTTGAAATATTTTAAATAATTAAATCCAATTAAAGAAATCAAAATTAATTAAAGTTAATTAACAATAAAATTTAAACATTTAAACAATTATTATTCATTATTTATATTTAAATCACTCATTCTCATACTTTACATAAAAAATAGTTAGGTCTTGTTGTTTGCAAGAGTGCATCGGTGCTCGGGATATTTAGATAGTTACGCTAGATTATTCAACTATGCTGACTTTATTTACAGGAGATATCAGAATGATATCTTCAAAATACAATTCTTCTCTATTTTAATTTTCGGAACTGTTGATTTTGAGCTTAAGGTTTTGAGAATTTTAGACGTGTTTCAAATTTACCGGTAAACAAGTTTTTTTAGAAGTAATTGCATTTTGAAGAGAACATTCTGGTATCTTTTATTTAATTTAAGATTATTTACGCTTGTAGATAGTTTTGAAATAAATGTTCAAAACAGCGACGAAGTGTGGGAAACACTTATAATTCTAATTTTATCTAAACTAATCTTATTTAAACATTTATATACTTGAATTATACACGGGACGTTACAATATAATCATGCGTCCCTTTAAATCTTGGAATAAGATTTGGAAAATTATAAATAAAAATCGCTTATTTCGATACTTTTTTTTGTTAAATATATATAACAAAGTTGAGTCAATTATTATTATTATTACCATATACATTTGATCTTTTGATCAAAGAAAATTGCTTTTGACTTTATGTGAAATTGAATCTCCATCACAGAATACGGAGCCGAGAATCAAAGGAAGTTTTGCCCCTTTTGAGAATTACTTTCAAGACAAATTTTATAAAACTTCATTTCACTTTTAAATTATCTTTTCATTGATATAAAAATTTTTCCTTTTCAACTAAATTAATTATATCACTTTTTAAATAGAATAATTAATTCATTGATTAATTTTCACTTTAATTAAATTATAGTAAATCTAAGTTTTTAAATAGTTCAATAAAAATAATTGTATAAATTAAACACATTAAAAAAAATTGTTTGAAACAACCAAATGTTTATTTGGCTCAAATAATTTCTTAGAAAAATTTATTTTAAAAAATCAAACGTTTATTTAGATCAAATAAATATTTATTTGAATTAAACAAATTTTGTTTGAAATAACCAAAAAATTGTGTTAATACCAACAAGAAAAAAAAATGGTATAATTCAAATAAAACTTTTCTCTGAGTCAAGAGTTTTCATTTTAAAATATTGATTATGATTTTTGAAATCACCTTGAAGAAAAAAAAATTTCATATGAGGTAACCATATGACTATGATGTATGAACAATGCCGGTAATAGGTAAGAAGAAGCTGTGACTAACGTCATATGTCAAAATACGTCCTAATTAACATATAAATGACAAAAGTAAATATTGCTTAGTGCATGGCAAATATTTGAAACTCAAACATTTCCTTCACTGAAAGAAATGTCTCTTGACCTATGATATAAAAAAAAAAAATAAATTCTTTGCTAAGAACTTTTTCTTCTGAAAAATTGTGCGCAAAATTTTCTTTTTTCAAAATGAATATTTAATTAATTTGAGAAAAATTTAAAAACTTTTTTAACTAACAAGAAATGAAAAATAAATAATAAGAAAAAAGAAACAATTTTTAGTGTATTACAAGGGTTTAGAGAAATTTTAATCTCCCAAAAAAAAGGTTAAATGAAAATTTATTTAAATAAAAATTCTTTTAAAATAAAATTCAGTTAAATAACAATTCCATTAACTAAAAATAATTTAATGTAAGAAAAATTCATTCAAAACTCAAAAAAATAAAAAAATTTCACTACAAACAATAATTCGGTTAAATGAAAATTAAATAAACGCAAATTCTATTAACAATTTATAATTACATGAAAAAAAAATGGAAATTCAGTGAAAGGCAAATTTGGTTAAATTAAAATTTGGACAAATGTGAATTTAATTAAATAAAATTCCAATCAAATAACAATTTGGTTTTTCAAGTGTTGTAGAAATTCTAAAAAAAAAAAAAAAAAAATTTGTAGAAAATTTAAAGAAAATCAATTTTTCCAAAAGTAGTATTTAGAGAACGTCTTTAAATGTATTATATTTTCATTTTTATATTACAGAATATAAAAAGGAAATTTAATGAAGAGAACGATTCAATGTTAAGTGAAAATATTGAATAATTCAAGTAGAGTTTATCCTTGATGCGATGACTACGTTATGTCATGCAAAAAATGTGCTAACAATAAAGTCTATATAATTGTATATATATATCCTTCATATCTGAAATTTCGGATTTCAATTTTCAAAATGGGAAAATAACGTCAAATTTATACAAACAAAATTTTCATTTAACGCAAAATTTCTACTTTTTGTATACTAAATATTGACCAAATTTCTATTTATCAAAAATTATAATCAACCCATTTTTTTTTTATTTAAAATCAAAATTTTATTTTATTTAAAATTTATTATTTATTTAAAATAAAAAATTTTATATTTAATTTAAAATTAATAAATAAGCAATTTTTTATTTACTCAAATTTTTCAATGTCATAATTTCTATTTCACTTCAATTAAGAAGCAAGTTAATTAACAAAACCTGATAAATCCAGTTTTAAAAAATAATTTTTAAACATGATTTTTTATGAATAATATATTATGCACAGAAATTACGTTTGCAAACAAAAAATTTTTAATTTCTTTATAAAATAAAATTTTGAACTAAATATTTTGTTATTCAGCAAAATTTTCATTTTAATTTTACTTATTGAAAATTTGGTTTAAGATATTACAAAATTTCTATTTTCGAAATTCGAACTAATAATAAATTTCTATACGTCTAAAAATTTTTGTACAAATTTTTTTTTTTCTTACAATTATTTGTTAGACGTTGCATATAAAAATATATTTGAAAAGCATGTCAGTAAACATTTAAATTTCTGACAAGTGAGGCAAATAAAATCCCGAAAGAGATTCAGGTCATATATTCGAGAGAAAAAAAAGCGTAATGTAGACCACGAAATGTGCCAGCTTTTTCTCAAGTATATACATGTATATGTATGTATGTATTTTCAAACGAATAGCATAAAAAGGTGTCACGAAATGTTTCTCTAAAAAAAAAAAAATCCATGCAACACATACAGATTACTTTTGAACCCTAAAGGAAATTTTTTTTTATCACAACATACAAGCTTTGACTAACCCAACAATAAATTATTCAGTACATGAAAACGTTACATTCCAAAACATTCGTTCAACTTCTTTTTATTATTCTCATCGCATATAAATATATAATATATAAATATATGTGATGAGAGAAAATATTAGTCCGTTTTTATAATTTACTTTCTCTAATAATGCTTTTTTATTACTAAAATTTATTAATTCGAATTAAATAAAAAAAAAGTTAATTTTTAAATTTATTATTATTATTATTATTATTAATTTAATTATATTTGATAAAAAAAAATAGTGTGGTTTTGTAATTTATATAAAATTACAAATTTTTTGTTCAAAAAGAAAATATTACAGAAGACGTACCTACTTTGCTTATAGACTTATATATCCTGCAATGCGAACTTTACTCAAGAGACGTGGCTTGGATTTTAATTTAGTGCTATCCATAAAAAAATGTTCAACGAGAGAATTCTTTTTCATACGATGAATCCGATTCACTTCATGTAACAAATTGAAAGAGAATTTTTTTTTTTCCTCCTGAAGGTAAAACAAGGATCAAAAATCTTCAATATTTGCACAAAAAAAACTGTAAGAAAAATATTACTCTATTATATAAAATGAATAATTTTCTCTTCTGCTATTATATTTTTGGTTTAGAATTAAAAAAAATTAAAATATTAAACAAAAAAATTTTTAAAAGTAGCTGAATTTAAAAAAATTTATTAAATTCACCTGAAAATTTTTTTGAAATTGCTAATATTATAGAAATCTGAATTTATTTTTCAAATATAAATTCAAAATAGGGAATGAAATACAACGAACGAATTTTTAAGCGAAATTGTTGGGGTTTTGATATGCCCATTTGAATTCAGGGTGTCTAACAATTGATAGGAATAAAATTCCCTGACATTTCCCTGACCTAAATTACACTAAAAAATTTTTATTTTAATCAAATAAAATTGATTTTCATACAATTAAATCATTTACCTGTCTATTATCCACTAATTTCATATGCATTTGAACAAAATAATTAATGTTCCGTAAAAAATAAAAAATTTAAGTGAAATAAATAAACTAATTGGGGGGGCGTATAAATATTCTCAACATTTTAATTTAAAAGAATTTTTACGGCGTCAAATCTTAAATTATCAAATTTTTATTTAGTAAAATTATATAAACCAGATTTTCTAGTACATCGAATTTCAAATTAATACAATTTTTAATTTAATGGAATTTATATCAAGAAAAATTGCACAAAGAAAAATTTTTTTAACACAATTGTTATTTTAGTAAATTTCGATTTATCAAAATATTTACTTAATTAGAATTGTCATTGAATAAATTCACAATTAACAGAATTTCTATTTAACAAAATTCTTAATTAACAAAGTTTTTATTAAAGAAAATTTTAATTCCAACTAATTCTTATTTAACAGAATTCTCATTTAAGAAAAATTCTACTTAGTTCTCTTTTGTTATCAATTTTTATAGACACAAATTTTGTTAAATTGAAATTATATTAATTTAAAATTTTTAAAAAAGTATTAGAAAAAATGCTTTATAAGAGTTCTGCTAAATAGAAATTCTTTTAAATCGAATTTTAGTTAAATGTAAATTGAAAATTTTGCATAATATAAAATTCACTTTATACAATTTTACTAAATAGAAATTCGATAATTTAATATTCGACGTCGTAAAAATTTTTATAAATTAAATGTGGATATTAGCATTAAATTATAAATTATTCGTATTAATAAATAATTTACTTTATTTGAAGTTGAACCGATAAAATAAAATTCAGGCCTCGGATCGACTTTAAGGCACAAGAAAAGTCGTTTTAGTCGATTTATATTCGAAAAAAAGTCGAAAAAGTCAATTTTTTCAATTTAAACAAAAATTTAATTGGTTAATGAATATTTTACTTTAAATAACTAATGTTATTAAATATTAAATTCATTTTATAAATTCTATAATGAGAATAATTCTATATAAGAACATTATCAAGAATTATTAGAAATAATTGAATTTCAAAAGATTTTGTTAATTTGCAAAGAATAATTAAATTTTACAGAAATGAAAATAACTTATGTTTTGGAAAAAAATGATTTCACATAGTTAAATTTTCGAAAAATTGAATTTGAATTTTAATTGATTTGGAATTGAAAATTTTTAAAATAATTGAACTTTAATTGATTTTAGATTGAAATTTTTTAAAATAATTGAATTTAAGTTAATTTTAAATAGAAAATTTTGAAAATAATTGTATTATAATGGAAAATTTTCAAAATAAATTAATTTCAATTGAAATTTTTTGAAAATAGTTGAATTTCAAAAGATTGTGTTAAATTTCAGACAATAATAAATTATAATAAAAGAAATTTCTAGTGATTTCTGTTGATGAAGAATTTATTAGAAATCACATAAAAAAATTTAATTCCAAAAGTTTTTAATTGAAAAATTGCTTTCAGATAAATGAATTTTTGAACAATTAAATTTCAAGAGAATTTAAATTAAAAATTTTTGATAATTTTATTTGCTAATTTTTTTTTCTTTTTTGAAATTATAAACAATCATTAAATTTCATAAAAATTTGAATTGAAAAATATTTTAATGTAATTGAATTTGTGAAGAATTTCATTAAAATTATTAAAAATAATTAATTTAGTGATGAATTTTAGTTAAAATTTTGTTAAATAATTGAAATAAAGAAGATCTGAAGAAGATCTGTATTGTATACTAAAAAAATGTATTTTGTTTAAATTTTTTTTTAAATGTAAAAAAAAGGCGAAAAAGTCTCATTTTATTAAAATAAGTCGAAATATGTCGGAATAAGTCGGAAAAAGTCGTATAATTCGAGGCCTGAAAATTGTATCAAATAATTTTTATTTTTATTAAAAAACCAAATATGTCACTGAAAAAAATTAATGAATTGTTATCCAAGTTTAAAAAATCATTTATTAGATTCAATAAATAGTAGTAAATAATTATTGACTTAATGAATATAACATATATCACATGCTTAATAATTGAGTGTGAAGGACAATTTTTTAATTTGCATTTGCTTTGGGAAAAAAAGGAAAAATTTTTTTGAAACTAATTAGTTACTTTAATTTATTCATAAAAATTTCCAGAAAATTAAAGAAATTCCCTGACTTTTCCCTGTTTCAACCTGTGAATTTATAAAATCGAATGTTTATATAATAAGGTATTATATGATAAAATATGGTATAATATATAATTATATAATGCTATGATTTTTTTTATATTATAATAAACTTTTATATATAATCGTTACTTTTTATTAATTTTTTGATTTAACAGGAATTTATAATTGAATACAAAAATCGAAATTCCTCTATACATATCGATAAAATTATGAATGAAACATCCATGTTTCTTGGAATTAAAATAAATCCTGAAAAATTTCAGGTATTTTCTGACACTTGCCCATATCAGATCGAGAAAGTGTCAACTCCCGCTGACAGGTTGATAAGTGTGCGTATATATAAAGAATAAAAAAAAAAAACGCATACTCAAGAAAAGAACAAAATTTCTTTCGACTATTCTTCACGATATAAAAATCTAGCTTTTCGTTAAAATTATAAAATATTTTTTATATTTATTATTTCTCCAATTTTTTTATATTTAGAATAATATTTATGTTACTGTATTTTTGATTTATTAGAATTTCTATAAAGAAAATTTTCATTTAATAGATTTTCTATATAGTTACAAGTTTTTTTAAAAAAAATTATTAATTATTATTAAATTATTAATTTATTACCTTCTTAAATAAGAAATGAAAATTTCTTTGGAATAAAAATTCGATTAAATAAAAATTGTTCTTTGGTACGAAAATTTGGTTCAATATAAATATTTTGCTCTATAAAACGCGGTTAAATAAAAATTCAACTACAGATTTTTAAAACATGAAAAATTTGAAAATTAAACATTTAAAAATTTTTTTTTAAAATATTTTTTTAATATTTTCTTTTTAACAAATAATATTTTATAAAAAATAGAACAAATTATAACAAAAAAATTTCTATAAAATTTCACCAATACAAAAGAGGGAAAAAATTTTTCAATAAAAATAAATCAAAAACAAAAAAAAAATGTAATTAAACAAAAATTGAAAATTCTTGTTAGATTGAACAAAATTTTAATTTTTACAATTGATGTTTTTTCTTTTCTTATTTCAATTATTCATCCTGCTATTTTTTAAATTAAAAAAAAATTATTTTGTTTATTATTTTAAACATTCAATTGTTTTTTTTAGTTTACTATTTTTTACATAAAATTTTCAATGTTCAAAATAAGAAACAAAACAATTTTTGTAAAAACCATTTTTTTTTGTAAAAAAAAAAAAAGAAATTAAAGAAAAATTATAAATAATTAATATAACAAAAAGTAAAAACCTCGAATATTATAACAATATTTATGTTTTGTTTAATCTAACTGTTTTTTTTTAATTTTTGTAGTTTTGATACCGATTCGTTGTACTATAAAGAAAGATTGTAAACAAATTTGCATTGCGATTCGTCTAGGATTTCAATGCGAGGCTCAGACAAATATATTAAATGAGGCAAAATGATAGAGAGCGGATGTTTCATTTTCAGGCCAATTCTAGGGTCATATCGACTGAATGCTGTACGCGTGTCATATAGATGACATCATTCGTTCAAGGTTATTTGCCGGGACACAAGATCAAAGTGGAGCAGAAGATATATAGCTCTAACTTTATTTAAAAAAAAATAAAAAAATTCGCAGGATTTCTTCTATCCTTTATTTACGATTAAAATTTTATCACTACAAACAATTACTTTCAAATGACAATAAAAGAAAATTAATATAATAGAAACACTCATTAATTCAAAATAATTTCTAAATTAATTAATTATAATAATTTATAATTCCAAAACATAAATTGAGAAAAAAATTGTAAAATTTAAAAAAAGGGAATTTAAACATTTTTATTCATTTCAAAAATATTTGATGAATAAAATGATTATTAAAATCACTTTTTTTTTTAGTGAGAAAAAAAATTTTTTTTTTCTTTTTCTTCAAGATGACGACCTTGTGGGGGAAATTACTACGCCACATTCGTGATTCATCACATTCTTAAAATTATTAGAGATAGACGGTTTCGCGAGACATTAAGAGACATTGAAATTTATATACACAAATTTTTCCAACGATCGTGTAAACAAAATTATTTTCACCTTGGTGAGTAAATATTGAAATAATTGCAATTTTTTTTTTTTTAGGAAAGTAATTTTAAATTGAATTTTTAATTTAAATAGATTATTTAAATTAGAATTTACAATAATAATATTTAGAATTGTTAATTTTTTATTTAAATATTCAAATTTTCTTTTTCTTCGTCACTTTCGATTTTTATTAAATATTTCAAATTAGATTGTTACATATATAGTAAAATTTGCTACATTGTTTACAAAATAAATTTTTTTAGGCTCAAAAGAGAGAAAAAAGTGTTTTTTTAAAAAAACAAAATGAGTCATTTTTCTTTTAAAAAAAATCATATTTTCAATTTCGAAGGAAAATTAATATTTATTTTAAAAAGAAGGAAAAATCTATTATTATCTTTCAATAAAATTAAACTAAGATTTTTTAGTTTATTTTTTTTCACCTTTTTTTATTCATAAAAACAATTGAATTTAAATTTTCCGAGGAATTTTCTTCTATAGAAATTATAATTAATTTAGACAGTAAAAAAATAAAATGTTGAAGAATATTTCAATAAAAATATCTGATTATAAATATTTACATAATTATTTACATAATAGATAAGATTTTTTTACAAATAATTAAGCATATATAATTGAAATTATGTTAGATAACAATTTTTATTTTACATTTTATAAGTGAAAAAATTAATAGAGAATATCAATGTGAAAAAATACACAAAACATCAAAATAATATTAAATTTGCAGAGCTTAAAATGAATTAATATTATTTTCACATTGACAATTTTTATAAATAGCAAAAAGAGTAATATTTGCGGTAAAAGGTGAAATTTATTAAATTATTTGTTTTTTTTTAAAACAATATTGATTAACATAATCAAACTGGTTTAGCAATTTTTTTTGTTTAAATAAAATTACCGGTTAACTTTATTTCCCGATCAATAGACAATATCCTGTATTAATAAATTACTGTTTTTATGAAACAAACATTTCTTTTTTTTTCTTATTGCGCTGTTTTTTAAATACAAAAATTTCACAATTTTACAAAAAATATCACAATTTTTTTTTTTTTGAAATTAAAATTGACTCTCGTTTTTTTCTCTTTTGATCAGTGAAAACTTTTATAAATAAATATATCAAAATAAAAATTACTCTCTACTAAAGAAGAAAAATGTGGCAAATAAAAGATAAAAAAGAAAAAAAAATAAGAGTGCTATATATTTTTTGTGTCTGTCGTACTAACAGTACACGTAACTTGAGAATTACTGTATTCCACAATCTGCCGTTTTCCATCTGGCGTCATGCAAAGAATAAACAGTAGGTGGAGTATATATATATGTACACCTATATATATATATAACACACAGAGAATTCATTCAATGGGTTCTCGCATCAAATTCCCGAATGAACTTCCGCAGTATCCGAGCAACCATTCTATAACCATTGCAAAAATTATAACAAAAACCAGTTTTTTTCGAATTTCAAATGTTCTATTTAAAATTCTAAACATCAATTTTTTTTTTATTGTAAAAATTAAATTAATTTTTTGAGTTACAAATTTTTTCATATTACTGAAGTCTACAATATTTATGACCAAAGATTAAAAAACAATTTTTTTTTTTTTTAAGATGGAAAATTATAAAATTTGTTATAAAAATTATTTTTATCGAAAAAAAAAAATGTTTTCTATAATTTGTTGATCTGTAAACATTGCAGGAAATATTTGATAGAATTTTTCATTCAAAAAAAAAATATTTCTTTAAAAATCATTGATTACATAAAACGTTGTGATTTTTCTTTATTACTGAAATAAATATTAAAAAAAAAAATTTTTATTAATGAATTTTGAACAATTTACTCACCTACATAACAAATTTACCGCTCATCCTTCGAAAATCGATCATTCCTGAAAAAATTAAGAAATTTAAATATTATGAAATTAAATTTTCATTTTTTTTTTTTTCATTTAATTTTTAATCTGAACTTTAAAAATTTTTTCAAAATTAAATTTAGACTAAAGAAATTTCTGTTAAATAATTAAAAAAAATTAAGAACCCAATTTTTTTTTTCATTCCAACAAATTCTAATTTAACCAAATTTGCTGGTAACAGAAATTTGACTAAGACGAATTTTTAAATGAAACAATTTTCATTTCACCATCGAATTTTCATTTATCTAAATTTTTATTTGTACGAATTGTCATGATTGATAGAATTATTAAAACGATGAATTTTTATTTGACAAAAAAAGATAAATTAAAATTCTTTTAAATAAAAATTTAAGGATTAATATTTTGAGATCGAATTTTGTTTATTTTCTAATTTTAATGTATTTGGCTTAATGCCCATCAAATTGTTATTGTTTCAATTTATTATTGTTGCAGTTTCGGGTTCAGAGACCTCAAAAATAATAGAAAACCAAACATCATTAATATATTATCAACTTATTATCGATTATAAAAATGATTCACTAAATTAATCAAATTTGCAATAAAATTGAAAAAAAAAAATAGACCAAAATTATTTGTTTTACTTATGGCAATACTGGCAAAAATTTTTCAAGCACTAAACATATTATTTAATTAATTGAAACAATTAATAATGTCGACAGAATTTAAAAAAATGGTGAATTTAATTATTTAACATGGCTCACATCTCTGATAAGGAAACTCCGTTTTAAGGTCAAATTTATTAGAAAAGAACGAAGCGTGTGAGAAAATTTGTCCGTTATATGAGAAATTGTCCCAACGATATTAAAGAGAAAAAAAAGGCAAAAGTAATCAAAATTTGAATTTTGGAAATTCGACAAGAAAATTATCAAAAAATATTTTACATATTTTTTTTCGAATTTAACGCCTTAAACTTAAATTCAATATTCACTTTTACTTTCAATTATTGCAAATTATCGTTATTTTCAATATATATTATTATTTTTAAATAAAAGTACAATATAAAATTTTAATTTACCTTTATTTTGTTAATTTTTCAGAGAAACTTTTTGATTTTTCTTTAACAAAGCAGAAAAAAAGTTTAATTATTTAATATCCCTAAGGATTGAATTTTTTTTTATCTTTGAATTATAATTAAGTTGTTTTAAAAATTAATATTTTTGCAAATATAAAAATTTCTATCACAATTCGTTCTTGTTTTTATAGAAAAATGGAAAATATATCAAATACGTGACAGTGAGAGATAGAGAAGCTGCTAATGCATGCTCATTGGAAATGTAAATAACGTTGACTATATTCCTATGTTTATTTTGTGTATGACAAGCAATTATCATCTTTCGTATTAAATCTTAATGATTTGCACATGACAACCAACAAAATTAAATTTTAAAAACACAATTTTTTAATTGAAAAAAAATTAATTTTTTTTTCCTTACTAAAAATAAACTATTAGTTATTTAAAATTTTTTTTTATTAAAAATTTATTTAAAATATAGAGAAAAATAATAATTATTTATAATAATTATTATTAATAATAATTAATTTAAATTTTTCATTATAAATAAATTATAAATTAATTTTAATTATTTAATTTTTATTATTAATATTATTAATTATAATAATATTTTTTTTTACTATAAATAAATAAATAAGGTACTAATTTTTAGAAACGTAATTTAAAAGTTGTATACTTAGAATTTACATTTTGCGTTTGCAAATTATTGCAAAAAGAGAAAAAGACTATAGACGACTATTAGACGTTTTTTTTATTATTAATAATGGCTCAGCATAATTTTTTGCATTTTATGAAAGAAAGTGATAGTTGAGAAAATATATATTAAAACAAAAATTTTACGGGAGTCTATTAAAATTAATCTGAAGAGGCAAAAAAAAAAAATTTATGATAATTAATTTTCACTGTTTTTATTATTAGCAAATTGTGTGTAACACAAACTATTTCCAATAAAAGTAACTAAAAATGAAAAAAATTATTTCAATTGATAATAAAATTTTATTACTTATTTATTTAAACAAAAATTATATTTATAAATATTATTCAATTTATTTATTAATTTAAGAAATTAAAAATAAAAAAAGAAATAAATCAGGGTGTCTAACAACTGCAAGGAAAAAAATTCCGTGACTTTTCCCTTACCTAAATTACACTTAAAAATTTTTATTTTGATCAAATAAAATTTATTTTGATACAATTAAATCATTTACCTGTCTATTATCCACTAATTTCATATGTATTTGAACCAAATAAATAATGTTTCGTAAAAAATAAAATATTTAAGTGAAATAAATAAACTAATTGGGGTGCGTATAAATATTCTCAACATTTTAATTTAAAAGAATTTTTACGGCGTCAAATCTTAAATTATCAAATTTTTATTTAGTAAAATTATATAAAGCAGATTTTCTAGTACATCGAATTTCAAATTAATACAATTTTTAATTTACTGAAATTTTTATCAAGAAAAATTGCACAAAGAAAAATTTTTTTAACAGAATTGTTATTTTAGTAAATTTCGATTTATCAAAATATTTACTTAATTAGAATTGTCATTGAATAAATTCACAATTAACAAAAATTCTATTTAAAAAAATTCTTAATTAACAAAGTTTTTATTAAAGCAAATTTTAATTCCAACTAATTTTTATTTAACAGAATTCTCATTTAAGAAAAATTCTACTTAGTTCTCTTTTTTTGTCAATTTTTATAGACATAAATTTCGTTAAATTGAAATTATATTAATTTAAAATTTTTTAAAAAAGTATTAGAAAAAATGCTTTATAAGAGTTCTGCTAAATAGAAATTCTTTTAAATCGAATTTTAGTTAAATGTAAATTGAAAATTTTGCATAATATAAAATTCACATTATACAATTTTGCTAAATAGAAATTCGATAATTTAATATTCTACGCCGTAAAAATTTTTATAAATTAAATGTGGATATTAGCATTAAATAATAAATTATTCATATGAATAAATAATTTACTTTATTTGAAGTTGAACCGATAAAATAAAAATCAGGCCTCGGATCGACTTTAAGGCACAAGAAAAGTCGTTTTAGTCGATTTATATTCGAAAAAAGTCGAAAAAGTCGATTTTTTCAATTAAAAAAAAATTTAATTGGTTAATGAATATTTTACTTTAAATAACTAATGTTATTAGATATTAAATTCATTTTATTAATTCTGTAATGAGAATAATTCTATATAAGAACATTATCAAGAATTATTAGAAATAATTGAATTTCAAAAGATTTTGTTAATTTGCAAAGAATAATTAAATTTTACAGAAATGAAAATAATTTATTTTTTTGGGAAAAAAATGATTTCACATAGTTAAATTTTTGAAATATTGAATTTCAATTTTAATTTATTGCCATTAAAAATTTGCAAAATAATTTAATTTTTAGGATTTCTTTTGAAAATTTGGAAAATAATTGAATTTCAATTGAAACTTTGAAAAACAATTGAATTTTAGTTGATTTTGGATTTAAATTTTGAAAATAATTGATTTTTAGTTAATTTTAAATAGAAAATATTGAAAATAATTGAATTTTAATTGAAAATTTTCAAAATAAATTAAATTCAATTGAAATTTATGAAAATAATTGAATTTTAATTAATGCAAAATTTAAAATTTTGTAAATAATTGAATTTTAACTAATTCAGAATTTAAAATTTTGTAAATAATTGAATTTTAATTAATTTGGAATTGAAAATTTTGAAAATAATTGAATTTTAATTGATTTTAGATTGAAATTTTGTTTAAATAATTGAATTTAAGTTAATTTTAAATAGAAAATTTTGAAAATAATTGAATTTTAATTGAAAATTTTCAAAATAAATTAATTTCAATTGAAATTTTTGAAAATAATGGAATTTTAATTGATTTTGAATTGAAAATTTTCAAAATAATTGAATATTAATTGCATTTTATTTGAAATTTTTAGAAATAATTGAATTTCAAAAAATTTTAGATGAAAAATTGTAGAAATAATTAAATTTTAGAAGCTTTTAAATTGAAATTTTTGAAAATAATTGAATTTCAAAAGATTGTGTTAAATTTCAGACAATAATAAATTATAATAAAAGAAATTTCCTGTGATTTCTGTTGATGAAGAATTTATTAGAAATGACATAAAAAATGGAATTCCAATAGTTTTTAATTGAAAAATTGCTTTCAGATAAATGAATTTTTGAACAATTAAATTTCAAGTGATTTTAAATTAAAAATTTTTGATAATTTTATTTGCTAATTTTCTTTTTTTTTTAAATTATAAACAATCATTAAATTTCATAAAAATTTGAATTGAGAAATAGTTTAATGTAATTGAATTTGTGAAGAATTTCATTAAAATTATTAAAAATAATTAATTTAGTGAAGAATTTTAGTTAAAAGTTTGTTAAGTAATTAAAATAAAGAAGATCTGAAGAAGATCTGCATTGTATACTAAAAAAATGTATTTTGTTTAAAATTGTTTTTAAAAAATGTAAAAAAAAGTCGAAAAAGTCACATTTTATTAAAATAAGTCGAAATAAGTCGGAAAAAGTCGTATAATCTGAGGCCTGAAAATTGTATCAAATAATTTTCATTTTTATTAAAAAACCAAATATTTCAGTGAAAAAAATTAATGAATTGTTATCCAAATTTAAAAAATCATTTATTAGATTCAATAAATAGTATGGTAAATAATTATTTACTTAATGAATATAAGATATATCACATGCTCAATAATTGAGTGTGAAGGCCAACTTTTTAATTTGCATTTGCTTTGGGAAAAAAAGGAAAATTTTTTTGAAACTAAAAATTACTTTAATTTATTTATAAAAAATTCCAGAAAATTAAAGAAATTCCCTGATTTTTCCCTATTCATTTAAATTGCCTGACTTTCCCTGACCGTTATATACCCCCTAATAAATAAGAAATTAGTAAGTTAATAACGCGAGAAAATAAATTGTTGTCTTTTTTAAAAAAAAGTGTAATTTTTTCTTTATTAATTAAAAGCAAAAATTATAATTAACAAACTGGCAAATAATTTTAATTTTATTTTAATTTAAAGGCCGATTTAAATAATTGCAACCCTGTTTTCTAAAAAAAAAAAAAAAAAACTTATATATTCGTAATATTAATAAGTTTTCTATTTTTAAAACTTGCATATATATTTTACTTAGAAAGAAAATAACATGAAAACACACACAAAATTCCATTTAAGTTGGTAAAAAATGCAGTTTTATTTCTGGCTAGAGCAACTTACCGAGAAGTCCCGAATCAAATCTTTAGCTTGAACTTTCTTAGCTCGCCTTTAAATTTAGCGTGACGTTCTGAACATGTTAATAAGAGAAAAAACTAACTTAATTACAAAAAGATCTTTCTTTAAAGCTCTTAAGAACAGCTTAAAGACGAATATAAACCACTCTCCTCTTTCTCTCTCTCTCTCTTTTTTTTTCTTTCTCCGTCACAAAAAAATTCTCTTTCAATTTACAAATATTAAATTTACAAAATTGTTTTATTGAAAAATGATAAAAGACACAAAATTATTTACTACCCGTTAAAAAAATTTCTTTTGTTTACGTACACGCTTTCGATAAGAATTTAAATGAAGTCTGACACAAATGTGACATGTGTACACATTCCCGTATGGGTGAGATATAAAAGGTATGCTTTTCAATGTGTATTGAAACACACGTGTGTATTTTGTATTATATATATATATACATATATATGTAATTTTGACTGCAAGTATCGCCACTTCTGGACATATAGTGAAAGTCGGGCAATTTCTCTTACTTTTTAAACCGCAAGGGTCAATCACTGTCTAGGAATATTGCAAATAAGATTTTATTCTTATACTTTAAATGACACCTGGCAAGAAAATGAAAAAAAGTAAAAGGGGAAAAAAAAAAAAAATTGAGCCCTTGGACAAATTCCAGAATTGTAAATAATAAAAAAAAACAAAACATAAAAGGCAAAATGAAATAAGTTTCTATTGACAATTTTTTTTTCTTCTTTTTTTTGTCAATAATGTAAAAATAAAAAAAAAAGAAATGAAACGAAGCGGTGATAATAATTTAATCACATTCCAGGCGCAATCGCGTCTAAAATTTTTGTTACTCACCCTAACGACACAAGTAGAATGTTTTTAATCCGTAAATTCACTGGATAAACTATAAATAAACACTGTCACTTTATTATTATGTGCATTTGCACTGAAACAACTTGAATATAAATATTGACGACACAAACATAACACTTGTTTAAGTGTCACCGTGTGTCACACACATTTCGGCAGAGCGGCCATTTTACTTTGCACTGCCGTCGCTGGAATAAACCTTGGAGCAGCCCTAAAATTCAGGGTTGAGTAGTTATTTACACGAATCTCGGAATGAGAAACATTAGGGTTCATTCACAGTATTGCAAGATTGCTGAAGTTACATTTCTCTCAAAAATGTTTTTATTTTACAACTTCTTTTTTTCCATAATTATTTAAAAGAAATTAATTTAATTTACTGCAGGAGTGGGTATATAGCAAACCTTAGGTTACAATCTTTTATGTCCTTTTCTAACGCACGTGTTGTTAATGGCAAGACGTGTGTAAGAGAAGGATAGAAAAAGGAATAATTAACCCAACCTGTTAGTTTACAAACCCTGACATGATGCGCGCGCTACTGTTGCAACGTTCATGACAATGAATTGTATTGTAGAAAGATCTTTATGTTTCCAAGTTTTTGTTTGATATTATTATTTTTTTTTCAAAAACGACCTCGGATCTTTTGACTATTAAAGTGTATTATTAAAAATGATTACATACACAAACTTTGATTTTTATGTGTGCCAACAACGTTTGACATTTCTGTAAATTGTGTTTTTATATACGCGCATTGCTCATATAGTGCTTGCACATCAGCTGATTTTTTCAAGTGTGATCTCTCTCTCTCTGTCTCAAAGAGTTGTGTGTGCAAATTTTCAAAGTTGGAGTTTTATTTTTAGTGTTTGTGCGATACAATAATGGTGCGAGTGTCTATGTTAAATCGTCGCTTTATCGCGAAATATCGTTTGCCTTTTAATTTATTTTAATTCAAAGGATATTTGTTTGTTTTGTTTTTTTTTTTTTTGTCCCAAAAGGCCTTTCGCGAACGCATCGTCATTCTCTCAGAAGGAAATTTTTTTGGCATCTTTTTGCAGACTTTCTTCAGACAAAAAAAAAGAGAGAAAAAAAAATCAAGAACAATGCAAAGAACAAAAGCTAATATTTTTCATGATATTTATAATCAACCATACAATGATTGCTCGAAAGTAAAACTTTATTCGAGCACTAAAGGTGATTTTCGTACTAGATATACATATGATTTCTTTTTTTTTTTTTTATTTTAGAGGGGATTTATTTTTTAATTATGAATTTTTTTTTTTTTGTGTTTATTGACGAGGGGGAAAATTATTCTAAAATAATTTATTTTTACAGCAAGTCTTCAAATGATTCAACGTATGTCATTGTTGAAAAGATTAAAGGTACACGATGGTTGTGTCAATTCAATTTGTTGGAATAGTACCGGTGATTTAATTTTATCTGGAAGTGATGATCAACATTTGGTACTCACAAATGCATACACTTATCAGGTAGAATTTTTTTTTTAAATTTTAAATCTTCATAACAAAGAAATTATTTTATTTTCAACTGTTTTTTTTATTCTTTATTGATTTTTTAAATGTTTTAATAAGCGTCGAACATTGTTAAATTTCTAAAAAAATAATATTCATTTCCTTTTTTTTAAAAAATGTTTAAAATAGAATAGATTTCTATTTTTTTTTTTACAGTTTTCGAAATTTTTTCTACATTAAAGAAACAAGAGAAATAATATTGTTGGTCCTTGTTTTCTTCTCGATTTATCATCAACTTTTGATGATTTTTAATATAAAAGACAGTAATTTCTAATTATTGATTATTTTTCAAAATTCTCAAATCATTCTCTTTAAAGTTCTTTGTTTAATTTTTCTCTCAACCGGTTGATGAATCTTTTGAATATCACGTGAGACAGTTATTTTTATACCTTTGATGTTCAAGGATTTTACTCGTTAAAATAGTAGAGCAAAAATTCATGATTGGTCATGCCAAGTAGTTTGAATTAATCTTCAATTTTTAATCATGAACTTTAATTTAATGTCCTTTTTAATTATTTCATTTTTATAATATGAATAAGATAAATTAGGAATTAATTTATAAAGATGTGAAATTTAACAATTTTAATACATCATTTTTGATAATTAGCAATTTTTACAAAAATTTGTAAATTTAAATATAATTTTTTAATTACATTTTTTTTTTGAGGGGGAAATTTATTAATTCCAAATATTTTATTATATATATATATTGAATTTATAGGTATTTATATCAAAAGTAGAAAAAAAAATTACGAAAAGTTGGAGTCTATTTATGAAAATGATTTAAACTACATGTTTCAGTGAACCCTTTTTTTGTTTATTAACAATATTTCCGTTAATTTGCACTTACCAAGGTTTGACATTGGTATAATATAGAAATGCAATGTCTTTGCCAAAGAGATCAAAACCTTTGCACGTGTGTTCTGTCCGCTCTACTTTTACTGTTCTAATCTCTTAATCTTTAATTATTCATAAGTAGTAAACAAATTTTTAAAGAATTGAAATTATTTTTTTATTTAAAAAAAAAGGAAATTCTTTAATTATTACTATCATCGATGTTACGGAAATAATAAATCACATTAATTATTGCAACATTTAAACAAAATTGTTGAAATATCTTCTTTTATTATAAGATTAATAAATAGGGAAAAAAAGAACAGTGTCCGCTTTTTAAAAGTTATTATTAATCTTGGTAGTATTCAAGTTTTCTTATTTAAAATTTAATTTTCTTTAAATAATTAAAATATTTTTCTAAATATTTAAAATAAAAGTTATTTCTTTTCTTTTTTTATGCAGGTATTAACGGACTACAAAACTAGCCATAGAGCAAATATATTTAGTGCTAAGTTTTTGCCTAATAGTAACGATCATCGGATTGTATCGTGTAGTGGCGATGGAATTATTCTTTATACAGGTAATATTCGTTTTTTTGCGATTAAAATAGTTTTTTTTTGAAATGTAATAAATGTTTCGTCAATAAATTTTGTATTTAAAATTTTCTTTTTCTGTAATATCAAAATTGAAAGGCAAAATTTAATTAATATTTTGCTTTTTTAGATTTAATGAGGAGAACAGGAACATTTCAAAATCAATTTAATTGTCATAGCGGCACTACTTATGAAATTGCTACAATACATGGTGAACCACACAATTTTTTGAGTTGCGGTGAAGATGGAACTGTAAGATGGTTTGATCTTCGAATAAAAGACAAATGTCACGAGCCAAGATGTAAAGAGGTATATTTCCCCTTTTTTAAAAAAGATAAATTCTTATTTTATCAATTAATTTAATATAGAAAAAATTCAATTATTAAATTAGTCCCCAAAAAAAAATTTAATTATATAAAAATAATTTAAATTTTTGTGTCCATAATGGTTTAAATCAAAAGATTATTTACATATTTAAATCATATAATTTCAATTAGTCTTTAATATTTTAATTTAAAAAATATATTTTATTTTTAAATTAAGCAAATTAAATATTTATTGAAAGAACAAATTTTAAAATCAGTATTATTTGATCAATTCATTATATTTTGATCTAAAGTCGTCGGCGACTAATTGTAGAAAAATTACAATACTTTGGAGAAATGATATTAAAGGTATAAAGTTTAGGAAATAAAACAGAATTTTATTGACTTTATTTATCTTTTCTAGTAAATTCTTTATTTAGAAATGCTTTAAAAAAAATTTTGTTTCAAAACCATAAAAAAAATACCTTGAATTTTATTGATAAAATTTTAATGGATATGCTTTATAGATGACTATATAAAATTCATAAAAGAAATAAATTGAATTAGATAATCTATATCAAACTCCAAATTATGACACGGATTAAAAAAAAAAAAAATTTCGTCAGAAATTTAGAAAATTGAAAAAATTTACAGAATATGTCAATTATACACTTACATTATGCGTAAATTTTTTTTAACAATTTTATCCTCTTGAAGGGATCACAGGTTATTATTCACCTTTTTTCACCTATTTAAAATTTTTTCGTCTATTTCATCTGTTTTCTTAATTTGTCATCTTTTTCACCTTTTTCATGGTTTGATTAATTTACGAATATAAATAATTAAATCTACAATATACAGAAAATGTTCAAAATGTTAAAAAATAATTTATTAGTATGAAAAGAATTTTTTTTTAACATTCATTGAACTTATTAATTTAGAGAACACAAAAATTCAAATTTTCATCTTTTCTATAAACGATTCAATTGGTCAAAGATAGAAATTATTATAAAAAAAATGTTCATGGATAAAAAATTTCAATTCAATCTAAATTTTAATTTAAATTTCAAGTGATGTAACTTTCAATCAATTCTAATTTTTATTTGGTCAAAACAAATTTATTAATTAAAATTTAAATCAGGTGGAAGTTCAATGGATTGAAATTTACAATTAACGAAATTTCAATCTATATTTAAATATTAATTTATTTAATTTTCAAATTATTTAAATTTCAATTTGTTCAAATTTTAATTGACTTAAATTTTTTAAAATTATCCAAATTTTAATGTATTCAAATTTTCATTGATTTAAGTTTCAATTTATACAGATTTTAATTGATTTAAATTTGAATTTATCCAAAATTCAATTTGTCAGCTATTTTCGATAAATAATTCTCCTATTTAGCTATTTTTAAGAAAAAAAAAAAGTACTGTGATTCCTGTTTTAGTGAAATATTTCTTTTATATTATTAAAATTCATTAAAAATAAAGCAATTTTTTCTGGGAAAATTGTTTAATATAAGGGAAATTGAAAATTTTATTTATATAGCAATTCTGTATTAAGTAATAAAATATTTTAATAAAAACTAGTTTGCTAAATTAATTAAACAATAAAAATTGTATTTTAAAATATTTTTATTTATTTATATTTTTTTTATTTGCATAGGATGTTCTTATTTCTTGCCAACGGGCAGTAACTGCTTTATCAGTGAATCCTGTAATGCTTCATCAAATTGCAATTGGTTGTTCAGATAGTACGGTGAGAACCTTCGATAGAAGAATGCTTAGCACACATGCTACTGGTAAGTGATTTTCCTTTTTTTTATCTAAATCTTTCTTTTTTTTCCCATCGTAGATATAATCATTTTAAAAATTATAAATTATTTTCTCTATAGGTTCCACAGATAATGGACTAACATCGAGACCATTGAGCAGTTTTACTGTACCTGAATTTGATGGAAATTCTTATAGAATAACATCATTGAGTTACAGTCCTGATGGTCAAGATGTTCTTGTTAGTTATAGCAGTGATCATCTTTATTTATTCAGTATAAAGGTAAAAAATATTTCTCCAATTATTTCATACATATTTCAATTCTTGCTTATTTTTTCACAATTTTTTGTTTAAATTGTTTTTTTTTATTTATTATAATTATATAATTATAATAAATTAAAAAAAACAATTTAAACGAAAAATAAAAATTTAAATCAAAATTGAAAATTAAATTAATAAAAAAATATTAAAATAAAAATACTATTTAGGATCAAGGAAGTGTACATTTTAAGAAAAATATGTCCCACGGTAAAAGTAAAGGGAAAAAGCATCCTTTGAGATCACCACAGCCAGTTCGACGTTTAAGATTGCGTGGCGATTGGTCTGATACTGGACCAGATGCACGTCCTGAACGTGAAGGTGGACGACGTAATGGACCAGGTGGGAGATGATGAAGAATTGAGAGAATAAATTAGTTCAAAAGTGTTTTACTTTCTTCTTTTTTTTTCTCTCTCCTCAAGAAATAGCACAGGCGAGGCCCGTTCTTCATACATCTTTGATGCAGAGAATGACTGACGTTCTCAGTAGAATGCTAAACGATCCAGCAACAAGAGCTGCCTTAAGTGGAGGAGGAGAAGATAGTTTAGAAGGCGTTATGGAACAGCATGTTGAACAAAATCAAAATAGTACGGAAGCAAATGCAGAGCCAAACGTTAATAGAAGTAACGAAAGTGAAAATGTTGAACGTGAACAAAGTAATACATTAAGTAAGTTGACATTAATTTTCTTCACTATTTTTTAAATTTAAGTCTTGTTTTTTTTTATATTAAAATTTGATTGTTTTAAAGAAAACATTTTTTTAAAAATAACTATAAGTAATTTATTAATCTTATAGATATTACTACCGAACAAAGTGAAAATCTACCCGTCAATGAGAGTCAAATAAATGATGATTTAAGGATAGAACCAGTTCAAACTTCCGGTAAATTTATAAAAAAGAAAATTTTCTATATTAAATTTATATGGGGGAAAAAATGCATTAAATTGTTTTTATTTTTTTTTCTTTCTAGAAAATATTCAAACACAAATTGAAGCAAAACCAACGACGAGTAGTGCTTCAAGTAGCGATGTAAATTTAAGTGAAAAAATAAATAACAGCCGAGTTGAGGAGAAGCCAAAACAAGAGGAGAGTGCATCATCGAGTGCTGCCGAATCAGCTGAGAGTCGACTTAGTATTAATGAGACGGTTCCAATGGAAACTGAATCTAGTCAAGGCGTACAGGAACAACAATGTTGTCTTCAATCGTTCATATCAAATAAACGTCGAATGAATCAACTTTCAACATTAAGTGAACATAGTGCAGATGTTGGTACTAGTCATGAAGGAAGTATTATGGAAAATCTTCAAGATCGATTGACAACAATGAGAGATGGATTTCTTGAGAGGTAATAAAAATTAATATTTAATTATATTAAATACTTAATCAAATTTTTTTCAACTAAAAAAAGAAATGAAGTATTAATATAAACAAGACTTTAATAACAGGAAAGAAAAGAATACTTTTTTTTCAATTTTTATGCATTATTTTGTATTTCTAATGAAATTTGAAATTATGCAAAAATTGATGAAATTTTTAAAAGTTTCTGGAAATCAGGAAAAAAGACTAGAATTTTTAAAAGTTTCTTAATTTTTCAAGTTTAAATAATTTTTTTAAAATAAAAAATTAAATGTAAAAACTAATTTTGAATTTCTATTAAATTAAAGGCACGGCAGTGAACCTGCAGTGAGTTTAACATATTCTGATAAAAGTTCAACAAATGCGACAATTTCACTTGGAGTCGCAGACGAAGTGACTCGTGACTCTTATCATCCAGGTAAAAATTTGTATTACGAAAAAATCTCAAAAGAATGATAAAATTCATTATTATTCCAGTTTTTTTTTTTTTTTTTTTTTAATTTTTAATTTTGTTTTTCTCCACAGAACCATCAGCGAGCGGAAATAGTAGAGTGCAATTAACTGATGCTGGACCAAGTTGTTCGCGTGTCAATCAATCCAATTTTAGCGATATTCGAGAAAGTAAGCTCAATTTTTTTTCCTATTTTACTCTCTTGAAAAATCAAATAAAATTAATTTTGAAATAAATCAAAATAGTTAGTGAAAAAAAGTCGAAAATTACAATAATAATAATAATTTGATATTAACTATGTTTCTAGGAACAGATGAAGATGTTTACAATGACAGCGATGATGAAGAAATGGAATCGAAAAGAAGGTTCGTAATTAATATTATTAATATATATATATAATAATAATTATTATAAGAAATTAATAACTAATTAGTTAATTTTTTTTATCAGACTTGATAATGCAATTGAAGTCGAAATGGATGAAGCAATCGCGAATGCCCGCGCGTCTCAAGGTGAAGAACATTTTGATGAATCCTACATAACGGAACTTCATGTCAAGCAAAAATACATGGGACACCGTAATGCAAGGTATAAATTTACGTTTCCCCTTTCCCTCTTTTCTTTTTTTATATCTAATAACTTTGTTGGATTTTTCTGCCAAGACACAAAAAACTTTAGATAATTAGAGAAGAGATAACAAATTAGAGAAGACATCAAGTAGATGAAATTTATCGTTTCAAAATTTACTACAAATTTTTTCTGAACTTGTGTTTGTCCTGTTAACAATTTATTAGAGGAAAAAAAAATGATAGAAAAAATAATAAAAAGGGCCGTTTCATTTGAAAATAAATTTATATTTTTTTTCTTTCATATTTTTACAAATGAAACGTTTCTTAATTGAAATAATTTTCATTATTGTCATTTCTAAAAAAAAGGTTGACGCCCGAATCCTTCGATTTTAACAGCACTGGATTCAAATTTTGGTGGCAACAAATCATTTATAGTTTATAGTTTTGAAACAATGTTTTTTTTGCTATCTGCGACTGAACGCGACAATGTCAGCGAGATTCTTTTGTTTTGTCTCGAGAGAAAATACTGCTGCATAAAATGAAAAACAACTCACAAATACATACACATTAAAAAAAAAAAAGTCCCGAAAAAGCCTCCGAGCGGACTGGGCTAATAATTTAGCGTCAGTCCAACGAAATTTCTCATCTTTTGCCTTCCCCTCGTTTCACTCTAGTTTCTTTAGGACTATGATCAAGGAAGCAAATTTCTGGGGCGATGATTACGTCATGTCCGGCAGTGATTGTGGCCATGTTTTCGTCTGGGATAGAGAGACGGCAAAACTTTGTATGTTACTTGAAGCCGATCAACATGTTGTCAATTGTCTACAGCCACATCCTTTTCTTCCAATGCTCGCCACTTCGGGTATTGACTATGACGTCAAACTTTGGGCACCCATTAATGTTGAAACAAATTTTGATGAAACTTTTGCAGATGATGTAAGTTTATTAATTTCATTTTTTTTTCTTAAACAACTTTTAAATGTTTTATTTTTCAAAGGGAAAATAATTTTCTTTAATATAGAAAATCGTTTTGATGAAAATTCTGCAAAATACTAATTTGAATAAATAAAAATTCGGCTCAAAATTAATACTGACAAATGAAATTCCATAAAATGAAAATTCTATCTAATGATTTTTAGAACATAATCATGCGTCCCAATTTAAAGACAAATAAAGTAATAAAAGAGAAAAAATTTAAATAAAAGTAAAAGATAATAATAAACATTTAATGCAAAAATAAATTATATTTTGATGAAAAACTTAATAAATTATATATATTTTATTGGCATTAATAAATTGTCGATTACAATTTTAGTTGAAAAAAAGAAATGCTGTTATGTTGGAAGAAACCAAAGACACTATTACAGTTCCTGCTGTATTTATGATTAGAATGTTAGCGTGTCTAAATCAAATACGCAGAGGTAAGTTAATTATTTTTTTAATCGTTCCTTATTTTGATCTTTTTCGTGAATAATAATAAATTATTTTCTCTCGTTTTTCAAACAAATTTTGATTAAAGGCTCGTTTTCATATATTTATTATTTTTCATTTAGAATAAATTGTTAAATTTCAAAAACAAAGCCTTGAATTATTAAAAAAAATTTTTAATTATATTAAGGTATATTTTTTGAAATTTTATCTGACACCTAAGTTGAACCTGAATTCATATGATTCTAAATATTTAGAAAAATTTGTAAAAATAATTTAATTTTTCACTATTTACAGATTAGATTTTTTTTTTAGAAATAATTGAATTTCAGGAGATTTTAAACTGAAATTTTTCGTAAATTTGAATTGTTGAAGATTTTTTTTTTTCACAAATTACAAACAAAAATTGAATTTTAGAGAATTTTTCATTAAAATTTTTCGAAATAATTACATTTTTGAAAAAGTTTATTAAAGTTATTAAAAATAATTTATTTGTCACAAAATTTTAAAAACAAATCCTAATTACAAATAATTAAATTTTAGAAATTTTACAGTTAATATTTTTGTATAGAATTAATTAAATTTCAGGAAATTTTAAATTGAAATTTTGGTAAATTTGAATTGAATTTATTTTTACAATTTTATAACAGAAATAGAGTTTTGGAAAATTTTACAATACCTAATTAAATTTTCGAAGACTTTTTTTAAAACTTATTGAAAATAATTGATTTGGCAAAAAAAAAATTTATAATTGATTGAATTTTGGAAATGCAACATCTAAGATTTTTAGAATTAATATTGAATTTAAGGAGATATTTTTTAATTGAAATTTTGGTAAATTTGATTTGATTAAACATTGTTTACCAATTTTTTTATGCAATTGAGTTTTAAAGAATTTTAAATTAAAAATTGTTTTAAATAATTAAATTTTGAATAAAAATTCCATTAAAAATAATTGATTTGACAAAGAATTTGAGATAAAAATTTACAAATTCTTATAATTCAATTTAATTGAATTTCAAGAGATTTATATTATCATTATTAATATAATAGAAATAATTCAAATTTTAGAAGAGTTTGAAATTGAATTTAAAAATTTGTGTTTGAAAATTTTTGACATTATTTCAATTTTAAAAGATTTGGAATACAATTCTTTCTCCAATAATTCTGTTTTCGATGAATTTTTTTAAAATCCTGAAAAATTTAAATTAATAATAATACTAATAAAAAAAAATAATACAATTATTTATTTAGGAATATTCCATTTTTACAAAAATTACAAAAAATTTTTTATACAAATAACAAAAATTTATTCTAGAAAGTAATTGTTAAATTAAGATTTCAATTTTTGATGAAAATATTTCATTATTAACTCTAAAAGGAGTAACTGAATTTACTTACCCTCTAAGGGGTAACTTGCGAATAATATATATAGATATATACCTAAAACTTGAAACTTGTATAAAAAAGTCACGTAAAATAAATTATTAAAAATCAGAATAATTAGAAAACTGATCTTTTTTTCAAAAAGAAGGGAAAATTTATATCCCAGTTACTCCTTCTAGGATTAAATTATTTAATTCTTGTTAGAGATTTACAGCACCTCCGTTTTATCTGATATATTTGACCAAAAACAGGTTTTTTTTTTTTTTTTTTTTTTGAGTCTTTCGAACTGTTTTCCTCAAAATGTTGAAGTGGTGGAAAATTTAGTATGACCAGATGTTTGCTAGATTTTGCTAGAAAATTTATTTAATTAAGTACATTATAAAAAATTATTTCAGATTTTTTTTTTTCAATTTTACCAACTATCAAAATAACATTTTTTTGCTTTACAATTCGTAAATATTTTACAGGAAATCATTCTGTATATTTCTTGAAAACAAAATAAAAAAAATTGTATTAAAATTTTTATCATTGTAAAATATGAATTTTAAGTAGAAAAGATATTAAAAAAAAACTGTCAATTTTTTATCTAGTGGAGAACATGTAAAAAATGGGCATAGAATTAATCTTACAAAATTTAATTTTAAAAAATGAACTTTAATATAATTAACGTATTATTTTTGATAAACAATATGAATATTGTTTACAGGTCGAGGTCGCAGAAGCAGAAGTAGCGACGAGACAGATGAAATTGGAGCCGGTTAATGATTTCTACATTGAGAGAAACATTATTTGATATAACCATATACTATAATATTGACTCATTTGAAGGGCCCACTCATTAAAAAAAAAAAAAAAATCCTTTACTTTTCAAATGCTCAATAAGAATTTTTTAAGTCTTCGTGATGAACGCATAGTTTACATAGAAAAACGCCTATATTTTGTAATATCCATTCGAATGTGGAATTTAAATATTCAGCTTGGAATTGTTTTCATATCCATCAGAAGTAGAATAGATTTTTAGATGTTTTCTTTTTTCAATTACACACGCTAAAAAAAAACCAATATAGAAATTTCTTATACGAAAAACATATTTTTAAAGATAGAGCAGATGTTATGCTTCAAATAACAATATTTGCTATTTTTTTGTTTTCATATTTTTCAATATTAGTAAAACAATATTCAAGAAATGAGAATTTAAAAACAAATTTAAAAAAGTAAAATTTACTTATTCCCAGTGAGAATTCTAGTAGAAAAAAAAAATAGCATAAACAAAATTGTATTAAGTTATTATTAATTTTTATTAATTATTTTTTTCGCATAATATTATTTTCGTAAATATATATATATCACTTTTCGGTTCAGTTACCAAAAATGAAAAAATATTTCTAATTTCTTTTTTTTTCTTCCTTACAGAAAAAAAACTTGAATTTTTTTTTTTGTTCAAGTTTTGCGCATTTTTTTTTTTTAATCCCGATTTTTTTCAAAAATGATAAAATTATTCGACTGTTGAATATCAGATCTTCCTATTTGTAAAACTATATCCAATTTTAATACAAAGTACATATATATATATAATATAAAAATTATACATTTTTTTTCGTGCAATACCAAGCGATAGATTAAAAGGTTGTGAGATAATAAATGACGAATTTATTATTATTTTTTTTTTTTTGTAATTAATTCTTTAGAGGTGGATATACTAAAAATAATAATTGTCACACAGCTCTCTAAAAAAAAAAATTCGAGACGTCTTTTTTTTAATCACGTGTCGAAATGTGTGCCTTAAATTATATGTAAATCATTGTCAAAGTTTTGTGAAATCTTTGATAATTTAAGTAAAAGGCAAAAAAAAATGTTTAACTTTGCGTAACTATTCAAAAAAAAAAAAAAAAATCAATTACAACCCAGTGTAATAAGTGTATTTCACCTCTGAAGGATTTTTGAATTGACTGTAGATAGGCTAATTAGATTTTAAGCACAAGTTCCTTAAAAAGAAGAGTAACTTAAAATTTCGAATACATAAATTTAGGTTTTAGATAATAATAAGAGTGTTTTGCCAAGATGCTTTTCAAACGTACGTATATAAATATAATGTGGATACTTTTACAGAGCGAAAGTATATTGTAGGCATTTTGTTAATAATAACAGGCTTCGAAGTAAATTAAATTGTCTTATTTCTTATTGTCTATTTTTTTATTTTTTATTATTACATTTTTAGGAAAATATTTTTAGACTTTAAATTTTTTTGCTTTATCGTTTTCTCGAAATTAAAAGTAAAAAGAATTATTATCTGAATTAATGACAAAAATATGCCGCGTAATTTCAAAAGAATTTACATTTAATACACCAAAATTGGAAATATATAATAAAAAATATATTTATATTTTCCTCACGTTTTAAATATATAATAATAATTTCTGATTCTTTTTCTTTTGAATAATTTCATTTTCTTCTTTATTACAAGAAATATTTTAATTATAAACTTTTTTCATAGCCTTGAGAAATAATTTCTTCACTCGAAAAACGACAGTTTTCTTTGTTATTCATATGTTTTTTACTAAGAATTTTGATATTAAGAATTTTGTAGAAATTTATTTTTGGACAAATCTTTTAATTATAAAGACAATAAAATGACGAATTTGATTAAAAAAGACAATAGAAAATTATAAAAAGTTTATAATAAAATATAAATGTAATTTAATGAAATTTCATTGATAAATTTTTAGTTTAACTTGTCTTTAGGTGGCAACTTATTTCCGAAAAAGAACTTGAGATTTACATTTTTAACATCATAGAATTGTATAAAAATAGAAATATTTTTTTCTTTTTGAAAATGGCTCTTTTAAAAAGTTTGTTTTTCATCAATTTATTTTTAATATTAATAATATGTGTTTTGTCGGAAGGTAAAAGAAAATAAATTAAATTTTCTATTATTTACCTTTTTTAATTAATATTATTTTCTATGAAATAGCCCTTATATTTTTTTACCATTTTTATTTAAATATTTTTAATATTTTGATTTTTTTTTGTATTCTCTGATAAATAGTAATTACAATAATTTATAAAAAAAAGTAGATATAAAAAATATTTCTTTTCTATAAAAATTGTGAAAAAATATGTTAAATTTAGTTGAAAAACATTTTTTTAAATAAAAGTTCTAATTTTCTTAAAATTATTTTCTAAAAAAAAAAAATTCTATGGTGAGTATAGTTGAAATTTTTGTATTTTTAAAATTAATTCAATGAATTAAGTTTTATGTAATTTATTTTATTTAAAAAAATTTTAAAAAACAATTCTTCCTTTTATAACTATATGAATAAAAAATAATCTTTGATTTTTAATTTTTATTTTAGGATATTCTTGCAAGAACAAAAAATTATATATTCTTCATTGATTCATGGTGTTTATTGTAAGATCGGGAATTCAGAATATAGTGGTGAGTTTAATGATTTATGATAAATTTTCACTAAATGATATGGAATGGAAATTTTTTTTTAATTTTTATGATTGTTTTAGATAAAATATGTTTACAATCCACAACATTGGTATTTAGCATGACACTAAAATGCCACTTGTGTATACCAATATCAGAAAATAATTCAAGTTCTGATTGCAATTATATTTGTTCTTCTACAACAATTGATTTAATTGAGAAGTGCAAAAATTTATCACATTCTTCAAGTTCTTCTTCTTCTTCTTCTTCTTCTTCTTCATCTGATGATTCATCAGAGAGATTTCATCATAAAAAATGTAGGAAATATTTGGAAAAAAAATGTTTTTTCAAACATTATTCATCTTCTTCAAAATCTTTCTCTGAGACTTTTTCATCTAACGAAGAATTTGTGAGTTTTCTACATTTAAATAGTTTAAATAGTTTATAAATACATAATTTATTGTATTTTTGAATAATTTTATAAACTATTAATATTTGAAATGACTATTAAGTTTCGAAACCTTTTAAAACAAATTTTGCTAATTAAGTATTTATTTTATTATTTAACTTTTTTTTTTAAATTTTATCGAAAATTTTATTTAAAGTATATATATTTTTAAATTAAAAAAACAAAAACAAAATTGTTTTAGTGGGGCCAGAACTAAATAACGTATACTGAATCTTTATTATTTCCTTTTTTTTTTAAATATTTTGAAAGTTTCTGAATTAATATTTTTATTTCATGTTATAAATTAGTTTAAAAAAAATGATTAAAAAAAAGTTAAGTATGCGAAATTGTTTTGCCTGAAAAATGATAATTAATTTTGTAAAAAATTTTATTCTAACATGAAAAAATAGTCTTTATTCTAGAGATTATAAGAAAATTTATAATTATTATTCAAAATTAATATATAAATTAAATTGATCTATAAAAATAATTGCTAATTTTTTCCATCGTACTTTGTATTTTAATATTTTACTAATATATAGTATAATATATTAATAATAATAATAATAATAATAAAATGTTTAAATAATTAAAATTAATTAAATTTATAATTCAATAGTTGAGAATTAAATTTTTATTTAAAAAAAAATTAATATTTCCTAATATGAATATAATTTAATTTAATTTATTATACAAGAAATGTAAATTATAAGAATATTCAATTCTCATTCAATTTAATATTCTCACAAGGGAATATAGTGAACTGTTATTAAAAACCATAATTAATAATTTTTATGAATTAAAAAAAAAATTAAAATTCTAAATCTCAATTTTTTTTAGCTAAAAAACAAAAAGCATTGTCACTTTTTGAAAATTCAATGAATTAATTGTAATTTATTTAATTTATCAAAAATTTGTTTATGTAAACATTTTAATTTCTTTTCTTTTTAAGTACCGAATATAATAAACAAATTCATGACTCAAAAATGTTGAAAAAAATAAGCACTGTAATTATAAATATATTTTATCAAATAATACATTTAGTTTATAATTGTATAACTATAATTTTTTAAATATTATAATTATTCTACTCGCTCATTGTATTACAGAATAAATAATAAATAATTAAATTTTTTATAATTATCGTTATTTATTTAATTACATACAAAAAAAAAAAAAAATTTTGAAAAATAAGAATTAAAATCTACAAAAATGTATAGGAATTATTCTTAATTTTATAATAAAAGAAATAAACTAAAATTAATATTAAAAACCTTAAATTATAATAATAATTATAGTTATATGTGTATATTTATGTATATATAGATAAGAAATTTTGCGCAGGGCCACTGAGCAAGTGTGCGCGTTATATTATTGATTTGAATGCGCAAATGTTTTAACAGAAAATCTAGGTCTGATGCAGGTACCAATTGACATGTCAAACTAGTCTGTTTACCAACTTCCAAGTGCCACAGTTTATTTAAGCTTTATTATTAAAATTAAGGTCAAAATTATTTCCCACACAGTCAATCACCAAGCAGTCAAGATTTCAGTTAAAAAAATCAAATTCAAATCCATTGAAGTGGATCCCAGCAACACGGAGCTCTCGACGCTGAACAAGGTTTTTTATTTAAATAAATTTTATTATAATTGCATATAAAATTTAAAAAAAAAAAAAATTGAAATTTATAACATTAAAATAATTTTCATATTTTATCGAAAATTTAATTTCACCTTTTTTTTGTTTGTTTATAATTATAATTTTTTGTTAAATTAATAATTAATTTTAAAGAAAATAATTTTCTTCCTTTTTTCTTCAACTATTCGAAATGTTTTTTTTTGAAATTAATTTTGAATGAATTATTAATTGATTTTGTTTTTAAATTAGATATCGTGTAATTTTATTAAAAAATATAAATGATTTGAAATTTGTCGAAAATGATTAATTTTTTATATTTTTTTAGGTATATCCCATAAGCCCTGTAACAGGGCCGGGATCAGCAAGATCTGTATGGGAATTAAGTCCCGATCCCGACATGGTCGGGAATTTGCCAAACAATTTAATAACAGCCTCATCATTAAACAATCAGGATCAATCGAAAAATTCACGTACTCGACGACGAAATGGTCCTGATGATAATATTTATGCCGATGAAGCAACACCTGGTCAAACACCATCGGATGAAGCGAAACTTCTCTTTGAACTTCTCAGAGCGGGGTCAGTATAAAAAAAAACGGATATTATTTTTCATTTCAGTTAATAATAAATATAATTTTTCTAATTTTTTTATATTAATTAAATAATTTGAAACTAAAGTTAACTTATTTTAAATTAACAAGGTTGCCACAAATTAGGGAAAAGGCAGGAAAAATTTTTGTTTCTCTGTGAAAACATTTTTGTCAAGGAAATGAATGTTTTAGTGAACATAAAAGATTTTCATCTTTTTTTATAAATGATTCAATTGACCAAAGATTGAATTTATTAAAACAATTTCATTGATTTAAAAATTGCTTAGCCGGAAGTTAATTTATTGAAAATTTTAATTGATTTAAATTTCAATTTGTTCAAATTTTAATTGATTTAAGTTTTGAATTATCTGAATTTTAATTTATTCATAAACTTTTAATGCTTCAATTATTTATTAAAAAATTTAATTATTCCAAATTTTAATAAAAGATACAAATTCATTATTTTGCACGTTAATTGGTTTTAACTATAAATTTTTTATCACCTTTTTGTCACTTGTTTTCAGAAAATAATATTCACCTTTTTACCTATTTTTCAAAGAAAAAAGATACTGTAATTGCTGTTTTAGTGAAAATAATGAAATAATATAGAAGGAAACCGCGTTTTTCTAATTTTAAATTTTATTAGATTTATATTACAATTTATTTTAAAAAAGAAATGGTATTATCAAGGAAATGGCAGGAAATTAAAAAATTTATTTTTGTGGTAACTCTGATTAAATTTATTATTAAATAATAATTAGATAAATTATATTTAATTTCTAATATAAAATAAATAATTATAAACAAAAATTCAACACTATGAAAATTACAAAATTTAATGTAAATGTAATACAAATAAAATTTTTTTTTCATTTCATTTAGTGAATTACAAACGGTTGAAGAATTGGTAGAAAAAAATGGATCGTGTATCCTCAGTGCAAGAGATGAATGGGGATATACACCAGCTCATTGGGCAGCATTAGATGGAAATGTTGAGGTTTGTATTTTTGAAAATTGAAAATTTTCATAATAATATCATTAATGATTTGAAGATTAAAATATTTTTCAATTTTTCTATTTCAAGTTATTTTCATCATACTGAAACTAATATTATTATTGGATGTTTAAGTTAATATTTTTATATTTAATTTTTTATTTACTTATGGTTTTTTCAATTAATTAATACCTTAATTTATATTAATTATTATTAGATAATAATAAAATGCTTGGTCTGTCCTTCTGTTCTAACTTGAAGTTGGCCTTTTCTGATTTCACGTGTTTTTTTGAATAGTAATCTTATGACGTGTCAAATTTTGACAATTCTTTTTCTCATTTTTGCCAAAGTTGTATAATTGTGTTTCCAAATTTCGGAATAAGTTTCTTTAAAATTCCAAATTCGAAAATTCAATTCACGAAGCTGAAGTACACAACGTTTACCAACGAAATTTTTTTTAAAGTTGTATATTCATTCAAAAATTGTATACAAATACAAAAAATTTATGATGAGAAAAATGATGCGCCAGGAAATTTCGTACAAGATAGTAATTTGAAAAAAATTAATTTTTAAAAATTAATTTTTAAGGTACCAGGTGCCAACGAATACCTATTAAATATTAATTATAAAAATACAGGTCTCGAATTAACTTAAAGACACAAAAAGTCGTTTTAGTCGATTTATATTCCAAAAAAAAGTGGATTTGTTTTTTATTTTAACAAAAATATTTTACAGATTTTTAAATAAAAAAAATTTTTTTTAATAATAATCCTTTTCGAAGGGTTAAAGTTGAAATTTTTAGAAATAATTAAATTTCAAAAGATATTGTTTATTTTCAAACAATTATTAAATTTTACAGAACTAAAAATGATTTATCAAACAATTTTTGGGAAACATTTTTTAAATTTAATTGAATTTTCAAAGATTTAAAATTGAGATTTTTGTATTTAATTGAAACTTTAAGTGTTTTGTAATAAAAATTTTAGATGATTTCACTAAAAATTTATTAGAAAATGCGGACAAAATACAATAATTTGAAAATCATTTTTAATTGAAAAATGGTTTCAGATAGTTGAAATTTCAAAGAATATTATTAAAATAGTTAAAAATAATTGAATTTCCTTAGAGTTATAATTGAAATTATTAAATTTCAAAAAAAAAAATTTTGATGGAAAATTTTAGAAATAATTAAATTTTAGATGCTTTTAAATTCAATTTATTGAAAATTCAATTAATTTTGAATTCAAATTTTTGAGAATAAAGAAATTTTATTTGATTTTAAATTTGGAAAATAATTGAATTTCAGTTCATTTTGAATTGAAAATTTTGGAAAATAATTGAATTTTATTTCATTTTAAATTGAAAACTTGGTAAATAATTAAATTTTAAATTGAAAATTTTGGATAATTATTGGATTTTGAATTAAAATTTCGGGTAATAATTGGATTTTTTGTTTATTTTGAATTGAAAATTTTGGGAAATAATTGAATTTTAATTGAAATTTTGGATAATACTTTAATTTAAGTTCAATTTTTATTGAAAATTTAGATAATTATTTTTGAATAGAAATTTTAGAAAATAATTGAATTTTATTTCATTTTAAATTGAAAGCTTGGTAAATAATTAAATTTTAAATTGAAAATTTTGGATAATTATTGGATTTTTAATTGATTTTGAATTAAAATTTCGGATAATAATTGAATTTTAGTTTATTTTGAATTGAAATTTTGAAAAAATAATTCAATTTTATTGTGATATTTTTTTTTTAAATTATAAACAATTGTTAAATTTCATAAAAATTTTAATTGAAAAAATAATTTTGATATAATTGAATTTGTAATGTATTTCATTAAAATTATTAAAAATAATTATTTTTGTAAAGAATCATTTTAGTTCAAAATTTGTTAAATAATTGAATTGAAGAAGATCTGAAGAAGATCTGAAGAAGATCTGAATTTTATACTAAAAAATGTATTTTATTTACATTTTTTTTCAAATGTAAAAAAAAATGTCGCATTTTATTAAAATAAGTCGATAAAAGTCGTATTTTTGAAAAAAGTCGGAAAAAGTCGTTTAATCCGAGGCCTGTAAATATATAATTTTCATTATTATCATTTAATATGTAATAATATTCTACTAAATTAAATTGTTATTGATAATATTAATCTTTAATTTCTTTATAACAAACAATTAAATACTCAATTTGGCGCGCGTTTAATTTTGCTAGTTAATAATTAATTAATTATTAACAAACAGTTAATTAATAAACAGTATTTACTTAATTTGTTTCAACTAAGGAATTAATTTTTCATTTGCAAATAAAAATAAAATATAAATAATTTCATTTTGTTTAGGTGATGAGATATATTATTGAGAAAAATGGTCCAGTTGATTTGTCATGTCTTGGAACTCAAGGACCAAAACCAATTCATTGGGCATGTCGTAAAGGTCACAGTGCCATTGTTCAGCTTCTTTTAAAGGTACTTGAAGTTATATAATCAATTTTTAAATTTTATCTATTCAATGGAAATTTTTTTTAAAAAAAAGATAATACAAATTCGATGAACTATAGAATGTCTTCTTTACAAAATTTCGGATAAATTATAAATTCTACTAAATATATATTTGGTTAAATATAATTTCGGGGCGCATGATTGTGTTGTAAAAATCATTAGTTAGAATTTTCATTTTATGGAATTTGTCATAATTATTTTTGAGACAAATTTTTATTTGTTCGAATTAGAATTTTGCAGTATTTTCATTGAAACGATTTTTTCGGTTATATAAAAATTGTGTAATATAGAAAATTGTTTTGATGAAAATTCTGCAAAATTCTAATTCGAACAAATAAAAATTTGCCTCAAAAATAATTATGACAAATTCCATAAAATGAAAATTCTAACTAATGATTTTTAGAACATATGATTATGTTTGATTATGTTATGATTTTTAAAATTCTAACTAATGATTTTAGGAACATAATCATGCGTCCCGAAATAATCATTGAGCCCCTTAAATTTTGTCAAATAAAAATTCTAACAAATTAATTTTATTCTATTTATGCTTGTCGTTATTAATAGTAATAAAAAAAAATTTTTCCTTTTTTCAATAGGCGGGTGTTGCTGTAAATACAGCAGATTTCAAGGGTCTGACACCATTGATGACAGCATGTATGTTTGGCAAATATGCAACAGCAGCATATCTCTTGGGTTGTGATGCATCAGGTTATTTAATGGATATAAATGGTGATACAGCATTACATTGGGCGGCTTATAAGGGTCATCCGGAAATAATTAAACTTCTCATGTATAGTGGAGTTGATCTTGAGAAACCCGATCATTTTGGCTCAACACCCGTACATTTGGCATGTCTCTCGGGTAATGTGAATTGTGTGAAAATTCTCTGTGAAAAGAGTAAAATTGAATTGGAACCACGTGATAAAAATGGAAAAACACCATTGCAATTGGCCAAAAGTCATAATCATACTGAAATTGTTCAAATTCTACAAGCTGAGCAGAGAAGACGCGCCAGATGGATACCACCAATCAATGAACTCTGGTTGGTATTACAAAAAAAAAAAATTCTTTTTTTTATATCTTATTCATATATGGGGGATTCTTTCAAAAAAAAAAAAAAATACTCTATTTTGTGAGTTGGTAAAAAAAATTAATTTTTTTTTTATCTCAAAATATTGATCCATATTTAACTTTGAAAAATCACAGTTGGTTCACATTTTTTCCAAAAAACAAAATTACAAATATTTTCCTCTTTTTTCTTTTCTTCAATTTATTTTAATCAAATATATTTTTCGATATCCAATTAAGTATTTAGTTGACAAAATTTTTTTTTTAAACTAATTTTTACTTAACTTTATGAATTTTCATCTTGACATGCGCAAAAATGTAGTATTTTTGAGAGAATCATCCATATTTATTGTATTAAAAAAAAAAAAAAAAAAAAAAAAAATTGTATTATATTATAAAAATATATGAAGCTTTGAAATTCTGGAAATTCGGAGCTTTGGTTAAAATTCTAGCCTTCATATTGCAAGGATCGGTGCTCTCACCAAAAGTAAAAGCTTCAGGGCTCTGAAGCTTCGTAGCCGATGGAACTTTGTGGAAGAACCATATTCGAAACTTGAAGACTGAAGCTTACGAACTCCAGGGAGTGTTCGAGGCTTTTTAACAGTGCCAAAAAGGTCTGCCATTTTTGGGAATGTTTAGATTTTAACTTGGAGCCTTGAAATTTACCATTTTTTCAATTATATAATATAATAAATACTTTTTTTTTGAAATTCTCATCAAGACGCCTCAATTGTCTATTGATTTATTGAAGATGAAGCCAACTTCAAAATCAATATCAATTTTTTCCCTTCGTTTAAAATTCTTTTTGTGAAATTTTCACTCGTCTTTGACAATTTATTACTCTTATATTTTGTCTGAAATTTAATTTTTTTATTATAATGAGAATTAATTATTTTTTTATAAAAAATTGTGATTTATTGATGAAAGGATTAATGACAACTTATGCGTCTCTATTTTATGGTCAAGGCATCACGTTAGACGATGATTTGACTGTATATAGTATATGTAAATTATTAAAAAGTTCAAATTCGAAGCTTCAAGAATTATTATTATTATTATTATAAACGAAGCCTGTGAATCGATTCTACATTGGATTCGAACACTGAAGCTTGACATTTTCTGATGATGATGATGATGTTGCTATTGAAGACTGTTACTAGAAGACTCTCAAAACATCAACAAAATCCCATGAAGCTTCGAACACTGTTCAAAGTAGTTGTTCATTATATTGAAATGTATATTATATTGAAAAATTTTGATAGTAATATTGAATATTTGTTTTCTTTTTTTTTCTTCTTTTTTTTTAAAGGGCATTGCTGTTTGGCGGTGCAGGAAATAGTAAAGGACCTCTACTTTTATTCATGGGTTCAGTTATTTTTTGGGGCTATCCCATGTATTTCTTCAAATGTATTCCATTAACGTGGAATCTTCTACGAGGCAGCCACTACTGCTTTACTTATTGGAATATCGTTATGTGGATATCTTGGATTATTGCTAATAGAAAAGATCCTGGATATGTGCCACAAAATAGTGACGCCTACTACAGAGTGATAAGACAAGTATAAAATTTATTTTTTCATTTATTATTATAAATGTTTAGCGGTCCTTAAAAACTATTAAAATCGTTGAATTTTTTAAATAAAATTATAAATTAAAATATAAAATATAAAATTATAAATTGAAATAAAAATAAAATGAAATATTAAATTTTTAATTTTCAACAATAATTCAAATTTAAGGAATTAAATGCGATGTAAAAATTTTTTTTCGTCTACTAAATTCATTCAAATTTATAAAATTATTTTAATAATAAAATTAACTAATAATAACAAACAAATACCTATGTAAAAAAAAAAATTGAGAAAAATTTATAAAAGTAGATCAATTTTTCAAAATTTACAGTTTAGATTTTTAATTAATTGAACTTTAGGAGATTTGAAATTATAATTTTGTTATATTTAAATTGCTGAAAATTTTCTATTGAAAATTTTCTAAATAATTCGATTTTTTAAAAAATTTAGTAAAGTTATTGAAAATAATGAAAAAAAAACAAATTTTTAACAATAATTGAGTTTTTGACAATTTTTAAAGAATTGAATTTTTGAAGAATTTTATTAAACTTATTGAAAATAATTGATCTGACAAAAAAAATTTGAGATAAAACTTTATAAATAATTGAATTTTAGAGGAGCAACAATTAAGATTTTTACTAGAAATAATTGAATTTCAAAAAAATTTGTAATTGTTGAAGTTTATTTTCAAATGTTGAAAAAAATCTGAATTTTTGAGAATTTTTAATTGAATTTTTGAATAGTTTCTATTAAGATTTTTACGGCTTTCGGCCCGTTGAAGTGTAAATAAATAATTAAATAAATAAATAATTGACTTTGAGAAAATTATTAAATTTTTTTTTAAATAAATAAATTTAATTAAATTTTAATTTTAATTTTTAAATAAATAAACTTTGAAAAAAATTATTTTTGATCTTTAAAACCATTAATTTTTCTCAAAAAAAAATGGATGGACTTTTAATTTTGATAAATATTTCACCGCATATTTATTTACCTACAACTTTTATTAAGTAAAAAATTTTAATTTGAATGAATCTTCAAAATTTTTGTAAATATAAATTCTGTTGCCTACATGAAAATTCAACTAAATAAAAATTCTGTTCAATCAAAAATTGAATTAAATACATAATTTGCAAAATGAAAATTCATTTAAATAGAAATTCAGTTGGAAAAAAATTCTGTTAAATGAATAATAATCTATTTGATATAAAAATCTTGAATAAAGAAAATATTCTTTATTATTCTTTAAATAAATTCTGTTTAATAATAAAATTGAGAGTAAAATAAAAAAAAATTTTTTGAATGACAAAAAATTGATTTAATTTGTGAATAAATGAATTTTGTGTAATATATACGAATAAATAGAAATTATTACTCCTTTTAGATTCCGTACTTTGACAAATGGAAAAAGAGGAATGTTATTCTATCAAAACTTTGTCACAGTTGCCGATGCTTTAGACCGCTTAGAGCCAAGCACTGCCGAATTTGCAATCGTTGCGTCACTTATTTTGATCATCATTGTCCATTTATTTACAATTGCATTGGATTAAGAAACAGGCAAGTAAACGTATTTAGTTTTTTTTTAATTTTACAATTTTTTTTTACGTTATCAAATTCAAGATGGTAGCAAAATTTAATTTAAAAAAATCTTTTTAATATTTTATTTTCGAAATAATAATTTTTCAATAAATTTTAATTGTAAAATTTGGACATTTTAAAAAAAAAGTTTCTTTTATTAAAAAAAAATTTAATATTCTATTTTTCAATAATTGTAATTGTTTTTAATCAATAAATTTCTTCTAGTTATATAATTTGAAATAAATTAATTTTTATTAACTTGCAGAATTTGGTTCTTTTTCTTCGTGATGAGCGTGGCCATTAATTGCTCATTCACCGTTTATTTTGCCTGCTATTGTATGGCAATCGAGGGAATTCATTTGCTTTACATTTTAGGCCTAATAGAAGCACTCGTTTTTTGTGGACTCGGTTGGATTTTAACCTGTACTTTGGTAAGTCATTTTATTTTTTCTTAATAAGAAAAAAATTAAATTAACTAATTTTTTCGCTGAAGTAAATTTTTTTTTGATAATTAATCATCTTCCTTTAGGTCCTTCATGCCTGCATGAATTTAACAACGAATGAAATGTTCAATTACAAACGCTATCCATATTTAAGGGACAAAAAAGGACGATATTGGAATCCTTTTAGCAGAGGTCCAGTTTTGAATTTCATCGAATTTTTCCTCTGTCCGTCCGATCAATACGCATACAACCCCCAAAATTATCATATATTCTCTGATGAAGTAATGTAGACAATTTAATAATATGGCCTTTGAGCATATATTTTTTTTTTCGTTTTCCAATGATGAACAAAATATATATTCCACTCTTCGCACAGTCATGATGTTCAAAATAATACTGCGGCACAAAAAAAAACACTTAACGCTTAAAAACAAAAACTCATTTCAATACGCTTCTTCAGTCACTGGCGATAATGAATTTTTATTATATTTCCTCGAAACGTGACTTTTTTCTATTATTAAAATAATTTTTTTTTTGCATCTTAAAAACATTGTAAGATGGTAAATTTAATAAAAAAAAGAAGAAAACATTTTCTATTTTATCGAAAGCAGTGTATATAATTTTTTTTTCGTAACAATTAAGACTATTATATAATATACAAAACGTGAATACTGATAAAAAAAAAAAAATTCATTGTAGCATAAACACACGCACACACACACATACTTTAAAAAAGTTCTTTAGTAGAAAATTGATATATATATATATCAAGATAAAATTAATATCAAAAATTGCGCGCTTAGAAGATTTTTCAAATTAAAATTTTTAAAATCACTATATCCTAAATATGATCAGTAAAATTGTAAATATGTACATGAAAATTGTATACAAGAAAAAAAAAAAATCTTTGGTAAAAATTTACGTATGGAAAAAATTTCGCTCTTATAAATATTTCTTATCACCTAGAATTATAATTGTATAAGCGTTATATTAAAATTAGAAAATTTTAAAGTGTATAGAAAATGTCTGTTAATGACAATTATTTTTTTTTCTTATTTTTTTTATTCATAGCAGAAGTCGTAATTTGAAGGTGATTCTGGAATTGGTGGTGGATCCTGTGGTATATCAATTTCCTCTGTATCTAATAATCTCAATGTTATATCCATTGACAAAAGTGTTTCAAGATCTTTTTCTTTTTCCTTACTAATCATTTTGTTACCTGAAAAAAAAAATTATTCAGCTCAATTGAGACAATATACTAAATAAGCTACAATTTTTATACTATTAATATATATACAAAATATAAAAAAAAATTCAATTATTTTGTTCACTAACCAAGTAAAGCATTAATGCCATCGGTCCAATAATCGAAAATCTCTTCATCGGGCGCGACAAAATCTAAACTTGTAACATCAACTGAATCCAAAACAAGTGAAAATGCAAGTTGATGAGTTGTTTTTCGTCTTTGTAAATCTTTCATATGTGGACAATCACGTCCAATGAGAATACCTCGAATTTCGACGACTGCTAATTTTGTTGGTAGCTCATCTATTGTTGGAGCTGATTTTTCATCACAATCACCATAATGGAAGACTTTGTGATTTGGTGATAGGCGAACATACCAAAATTTGTCTTTGATCCTCTGTAAAGCGTTTTTATTATAATAAAAACATTTTTTTACAATCATCATATATATATATAATAATCTCGTCGTTTAAAAAAAATAATGTCAATAATATTATTGATAAGGTCAAAAAAAAAAAAAAAAAAAAAAATGTTAATTATACACTATATTAATTTTAGTGAGAATAATAAGACTTTACAATTTTAAACTTATTATAAGTTACAGAAATAAACGAAAAAAACAAACAATTATAATCTATATTGTAGAAACAAGCTTTTTAACATTGGCAATATTAAAATTAATTCTGCTTCAATAAAAAAAATGTCAGCGGAGAAAAAGAAAATTATTGATTTTTAATTTATAAAGTTTTCCTTGTCCTTCTTTATTTACAGAAAAAATATATAATTATTTAATTATTATTTAAATTTAAAAATTACAATTTTGTAAAGTATTTTATATTGTAGTAAAATTGCTTGGCTATAAATCACAACGAAAAATATTCATTGTTATCTTTATTGTTGTGATTCATAGTCTATATGTGTTCTAATAGATAAATTTACAGTATTTCATTATTTTCTCAGGGAAATGTCAGGGAATTTAAAAAAATCTGTTGAAAAAATAATGTATATCTAAATAACAAAAATTGTGTTAAAAAGTGTTAAAAATCAAAGTGTCCAGCGATAAACGGTTAAAATTCAATATTTAGAAGAAAAATTCAATCCAAAGAGTGATGTAAAAAAAATTGTTCTCGTCAAAATTCATTCATTCACACCTTACTAAATTTCTGATTTCCAACAACAAAATGACAAATTTTTTTTTACAATTATTAGCACACAAATGCGTACAAAATTTTTGAAAATGTATCAAAATAATTGAATTTTTAAAGATTAACGGGTTATATTTTTAGAAATAATTGATATTCAGACTTTTTCTTTTTTTTTGATATTCAGAATTTTTAAATTGAAATTTTTTGTAAATTCATACTCCTGAATTTTTTTAATACAAATTTCAAACAACAATTAAATTTTTTGAAAAACTATTTAAATTATTAAAAATTATTTATTTATATAAGAATTTTGAGAAAGGAATTTATAAATAATTAAATTTTCGAAAAGTTCCTATTAAGATTTTTCGAATTAATTGAATTTCAGAAGATTTTTTTTTAATTTTAATTTTTTTTAATTTTTAACAATAATTGAGTTTTAGAGAATTTTTAATTGAAAAATTTTGCAAATGATTGAAATTTTTTGTAAAAAAATTTTAATTATTTAAATTTTTTAAGTTTATCAGTTAAATTTTTTGTTAATAATTAAATTTTTTAAAATTTACAATTAAAAATTTGGGAAATATTTAAAAGTAGTTTCATACTACTTTTAAAACTATAAATTTTAATTTTTTAAATTTTTATATTTTTTTTATTTAAAATTTTTTTTGTAATTTCAGATAACTTTTTTTTATAAATAACATAATTATATGGATTTAATAGAGATAATTCAATATTGCAAGAGTTACAATTAAAAGTTTTTACTTTTTCTATTTTTAAAAGTTCTAATCTAAAAATTTTTAAAAATAATTCAATTATCAAAAAAATTTATTAAAAATTATGAAATAAATTAAGTTTTTTTTAAATAATAATATTTTAAATTATATTTTTGAAAATAATTTACTTTTCGAATATATTGAAATTAAAAGAATTGTAGGTAATTGAAATTTCGTAAAATTCTATTGAAATCTTTGAAAATATTTGAATTTTTAAAAAGAATTTCATTAAAATTTTGGAAAATATATAATTGGATTTTTTTTCATTATACAATGTTTGTTTAACATAATTTTCATTTGATTGAATTTTCATTTATTACAATTTTTTAAAAATAGATTTGTTAAAAATATATGGGACATTCTATGGGAAATTTTCATTGAAAATTTTTTTTTGTCCGAAACATTTTTTTTCGAAATCTATATGAAAAATAAGGAAATACGTATTTTTAAATTTTTTTATTTGATGAAAATGAAGGAAGTTATGATTTTTTGAAATTTAACGTCAACGAAGAAAGTGTGTTTTTGGAACATTTTTTAATCTATTACGAACTAAGAAATTAAAAATTATGCTATATATGAAATTTGTTAATTTTTTCTCAAATTTTTCAAATATGTGCTCAAAAATAACGTACCTATATAACAGAAACAACAAAAAAGTTGGAATTAAATTTATAAAATTAGTTTTCTCAAAAGAGACACTTTCGACTTTTAATTTTTTTTTGCATTACAATTTCTTAGTACAATAGATTAAAAAATGTTCCAAAAAGACACTTTCTTCGTTGACGTTAAATTTCAAAAAATCATAACTTTCTTCATTTTCATCAAATAAAAAAATAAAAAAATACGTATTTCCTTATTTTTCATATAGATTTCGAAAAAAAATGTTTTGGACAAAAAAAATTTTCAATGAAAATTTCCCATAAAATGCCCCATATTTGAGAATCCCAATTCAAATTAATTTAAAACAAATTAATTGAAAAATAATAATCTTAAAATTAAATTTTTGATACTAAAAATATAGAAATAAAAATACCCGTGTGGAAAAGTGATGTGGGCCCCCAGCGGGGGCCCTTATGGATCGCCCTCATGCCATGAGGGCCGCATATGGATGATCCATAGGGGCCCCTCATGGAAACGACATGCTCATCGATGAGGGCGCCCGCATGGGCGATCCATGAGGGTGCCCCTACGGGCGCCCTTATGGGCCCTCACGTTTGCCCTCATCTTGCCCTCAAGTTTGCCATAATGTTTTTTAATCAATAATATTAATAATAAAAGTTAATTAATAATAAATAAGCTTAAGTTATGAATAAATAACATATTTATTTAATAATTATTCAATTTTAAATTAAATTCTTACTCAAATTGAATTTATTAATTAACGTTCTAATTAATTAACTGTCGGATATAATTAAAAGTAATAATAAATTAATTAATTAAAAAATTAAAAAATATTTAATTTATGCATACTATTAACGGATATTTTCATTTTTCAATTAATTCATACATAGAATTAATGATTAAACGCAAACCTGAGAAATAAATAAATCTAACGCATGGGGGGAATCGAACCTACGACCTACGGACTATGAGTCTAACGCTTTACCAACTACGCTACGCACGCTACTTCAAAACGAATGCTAACTTCTTGATGCTATTTAAACTTCAAAAATACCTAACAAAGAAAAGTGCTTAACATCATTTAGTTAAAGTTAAGATATTAAATTATATTTTCCAATCAAATGCAATTTATAAAATATAATTAATTATATGCTTTATGATTATTATCATGAATCATCTCAGGTGAATTTTCAAAAAAGTGTAAATATATTTTTATTAAAAACGCGTTTTTCGTTGTTTTGAATCATTGGAAACATTCATTTTTTGTTGATAAAAAAATATTTGATTTTTGGACTTAGAAAATTTTGCTAATCGATCATGAGGGCGATCCATGCGGGCCCCTACGGTGGCCCTCATCTATTTTGCCATAAGTGTAAGTGTTATTTTCAAAAAAGTGTAAATATATTTTTATTAAAAACGCGTTTTTCGTTGTTCTGAATCATTATAAACATTAATTTTTTGGTGATAAAAAAATATTTGATTTTTGGACTTAGAAAATTTTGCTAATCGATCATGAGGGCGATCCATGCGGGCCCCTACGGTGGCCCTCATCTATTTTGCCATAAGTGTGAGTGTTATTTTCAAAAAAAGTGTAAATATATTTTTATTAAAAACGCGTTTTTCGTTGTTTTGAATCATTATAAACATTAATTTTTTGTTGATAAAAAAATATTTGATTTTTGGACTTAGAAAATTTTGCTAATCGATCATGAGGGCGATCCATGCGGGGCCCCTCATGGATTCGCCATATGGATCAGCCCTCATGGGCCCCCGCCGGGGGCCCCGAACTCTTGAGGGCAAGATCGTGGCTTTTTCCACACGGGTATTATGATTTTTAATTTACTTAACAATTCAAATAAATTAACAAAGCAACACATATTTCATGCGCGCGTATTAGTTTGGTAATATTTAATAATAAAATTATTTTATTACTAGAAATCGACGGTTTTGTTGGAAATCAATTTTTTTTTTTTTTTGACGTTAAGTCAACATTTCATAGACCAAGTCACATTTTTTATATAGAAAAAGAAAAGAGAAATTTCGAAACAATTAGAAGAAAAAGGGTAATAATTACCTGGCCTCTTGCACTGTATTTCGTGAATCGTGTCCCATCAACTAAAAATTGTAATCTCTGCTGTTGAATAATATCCAATATTTCAGGCGTTATTTGCTCTCTTAATTCAACAACTGGTCTCGCATGACTTTCCCATTCTTCTCTATTGGTTCTCTCCTGTTGCCAAAGTGTTGTGATTGTCGTATATGTTAATTGTTGAAGTGTACTTTTAAATTTATCAAAACCAGTTGGTTTACATTGCAATGCTCTTGTTATTTGTTCTCTCACAACGGAAAATACTTTAACAAAATCCTCCGTAGTTGCACGCATTTCTTTCCAAGTTTTATTAAGTAAAACAATACAGGCGCAATAAAATTCCTCAAATGGATGATCGTGAGTGAAAAACATTGGATGATAAGATTGTCCCTGTTCACTTGGCGCCTCTCTTATTCTCAGAACCTAAACATAAGATAAATTAATTTTTTAAATAATCAATAATTGTTAATTTAAAAAAATATATATTTCCAATAGTAAATTTTGTTTATTAAAAAAAAATTCGATATTTAAAAAAAATAGAAACAAACAAAAAATTTTCTAGGATAATTTTTTTTAAATGAAACAAAATTTACGTTTAGAAATATATATTTTTTGGTAATTAAAAAATTAATACTTACGTCACAGAGTAATTTAACAAGTTCGACACTCGTTCTTCCAAATGGACATTCGTGTTCATCGGCTCGGCATGAATTTTCCAAAACAACTTTGGTATAACTTTCGGTATGATTTCGTGCAAAATAAATCATACAATCAAGAGCGAGCATTCCCGGTGGTGTTTCAGTGAAATCAAGAGCAGGATTTATATCATATTTGAATCCTAATTTTTTATAATCTTTGGCAAAAAGTCCCTGTTTACGTGCTGCCATATCGCCAATTGATGAACCTTCTGTGTCAAAGGCAATTTTTCTTAATTCTTTTATTTTATCATGTGCATCCTGATCCTGTGGATCCATTTTCATCATCATTCGTTGTTCCAATAGACTCATCATTAATGTTTGTAGTACGTACAATTGATGTGCCATTTCTGTTCCAACCTGTGCTTGAAAATTTATCTCATGTATAGTCTCTTGCTAAAAATAACTATCTAACTATTCTAATCACTTTGGTAATTTCAAACACCGTGATATATAATTGACTTGGTTTAGTTTTGTTGATTTTTGTTTACTCTAACTGTTAAAACGTAACTATTTCTATATTTACGTATTATATGTAATTTATAAAGAATTTTTAGAAGAGAAAATTTATTTTTTGAAAAAATAAGGATATTGTAATTCCTTTTTTTTGAAAGTACAATTTTCAATTTTTTAAAATTTTAATTAGTTTAATAAGTCTAAAGATTTATTTATAAACTAAGTTGATATTAAATTCAGCTTTTAATTAATTTCTAGCTTTTAGTATTATAAATTGTTAATTTCAAATATATAAATGAAATAATATTCTTAAAAGTCCTTAAAAAGTGAAAATTTAGAAATCATTATTATTATAAAAGAAACAATTAAATTTTCAATAATTTTTGAAAACTTATTTTTGAGTTAAAAGTTTTTTTTTTTTTTTAATTTTATGAGTTCAAATCTTGAGAATTTCAATTTGATTAATTAAAATTATATTAAATAATTAAACATTTCAATGGATTTGGAATTGAAAATTTTGCAAATTTGAATTGCTGAAGACTTTTTTATAATAATTTTAGGCATTCATTGAATTTTAGAGAATTTTCAATTGAAAAATGTTTAAAATAATTGAATTTTTGAAGAATTTTATTAAAATTATTGAAAAAATATTCTCATTTCAATCTTTGATTTCACTTTTCTCAAAATAAGCTTTTCAGCAATTTTAACTTTTAAGTTCTCTAACTCCGCGGGTTTTTTTTTATCTAAAGGATTCTAAAACTTTTTAAATTTTCCAAATTTATCATAAAAATTCTACGATATAAATATAAGTTCAATAAATTTTAAATAAATTATAATGCTAAAATCCACAACGTTTAATGATCAAAAATTAGGAAATAAAATTTTAAGACGGGATATTATAAAACTTTGTATCTAAAAAATGTTTTTTTTTTTTAATATAATTTGTCGATTAATAATGATCACAAGAAAAAAAAATTCAGACGAAAATTCATAAAATTTTTCATTCAAAAAAGAAAAAAAAATATTTCTCTAAAATTCCATTGATCATAAACGTTGTGTATTTCAGCATAAATTTTCGAGAAATATGTTGAATTTTTTTTTTTTTACCTGATCAGTGGATTGAACGACATTAGTTAGAAAAACATTTCTGACTTGTTTCGATTGTAATGTCGCTGAGACTGCTCTTCTTTTTGAAACATCTGCTTTTAAAACAAGTGCATTTATTAATGCAATTGCATTTTGTTGAATTTGTGAACTATTATTTTGTAAATGCATCACTAAATTTGGAAATGTCACTTCTTTTTCGACCTGTGTATATTTTCCCGATGAATTCAAAACAATATTCTCCAAAATACTAAGTGAAGCTTTAACGACACTTGAATCTTGTGTTATCGATTGATTATTCACATAACTTGCAACTTTATTTATAAAAGGAGTTTCTAAAATATCCCACGATACAATACCATGATCCATTAATTCAACGAATGATTGCAATGTATAGGCGAGATCACTTCCTTTATATTTTCCTGATTCAATCTGTAAATGTGTGAATTAAAATTTAATAAAGATTTTAAAATTAATTTTTTCTTCAATTATTGAATTGCAAAAGATTTTAAATTTGAAAAAAATTTTCTGCAAATTTAAACTGCAGTAGGTTTTTTATTTTTAATTTCTAACAGCAATTCAATTTTAATTTTTATTTGAAACTTTTTAAAATAATTGAATTTTCTTAAAGAAATATTAAATTTTTTTAAAATAATTAAATTTTGGATGAGTTACAGTTAAAATTTTTAGAAATAATTGAATTTCAAATGATTTTTATTAAATTTCAGTCAATAATTAAATTTTACAGAATTGAAAAAAATTTATCAAATAATTTTAGATAACCTTTTTTTAAAGAATATTTGAATAAATTCGAAGATTTAAAATTTAGATTTTTGAAAATAATTGAACTTTAAGTTATTTTTTATTGAAATTTTTGGTAATTTCTGTTGCTGCAGAATTTTTTAGAAATTACATAAAAAAATTGAATTCCAAAAGTTTTTAATTGAAAAATTGCATAAATGAATTTTCAAAGAGTATTATAATAATTAAAAATATTTGAATTTCAGAAGAGTTATAATAGAAATTATTAAATTACAGAAAGTTTTAGATGAAAATTTTTGAAAATAATTATATTTTAGAAGGTTTTAAATTGAAATTTTTGAAAATAATTAAATTCCATGTGATTATGAATTGAAATTTTTGGTTATTTTATTTATTTTTTTTTTATTTTAAACAATTATTGAAAAATTATTAAAAATAATTAATTGAAAGAATTTTATGTATTTCAATAAATAAATAAATTTTAGTTAAAAATTTATTAAATAATTGAACAGGGTGTCTAACAACTGTTAGGAAAAAAATTCCCTGATTTTCCACTGACTTTTTTCTGACCTAAATTATACTAAAAAATTTTTATTTTGATCAAATAAAATTTATTTTGATACAATTAAATCATTTACCTGTCTATTATCCACTAATTTCATATGTATTTGAACCAAATAAATAATGTTTCGTAAAAAATAAAATATTTAAGAGAAATAAATAGGGTCAGTTGGGGTAATTGGGGACAGGGGGTAAATGGGGACAAGAAGTTTTAGAGCTTAATTTACAGTTTTAAAATTAAGTTCAACGTCAATATAACCTCCGATCACCTGCAAGAGGTTTTGAGTATTGCCAAGCTTTTATCTTGACAATTGGCAGCAAGATAAAAAAAGTTATCGCTCAATGCATAAAAACTTGAAAATCAAAGTCAAACTGTTTCAGTATTTTGTCTCGCATTTCAAAGAAAACAGACTTAAAAATCATACTAAATTTTTTTCTTATTCCTTATGACTCCCATAACAGAAATTCACTTGAATTTTTGATTTTTGTTAATTTGGTTAATAATGACAAGCTGTCCCCATTTACCCGGAGTTTTCAAGTTTTTGGGGTAAATGGGGACAAGCTCGTCATTATTAACCAAATTAACAAAAATCAAAAATTCAAGTGAATTTCTGTTATGGAAGTCATAAGGAATAAGAAAAAAATTTGGTATGATTTTTAAGTCTGTTTTTTTTTCAAATGCGAGACAAAATACTGAAATAAAAAAAATTTTTTAAATTTAAAAATTTCAATTAGTTCAACTATTATATATCTACTACAAATTTTTTTCAAATTTTTTCATCCCTTAATACAGTAATATACTTAAGGAAACTTTTTTCTTAAAACTTTCTTAGAAACTATGCTGTCCCCATTTACCCCAACTGACCCTAAACTAATTGTGGATGTATAAATATTCTTAAAATTTAATTTCAAAGAATTTTTACGTCGTCAAATCTTAAACAGGGTGTCGTAATAAGGATTGAGAAAAAAATTTCCTGATTTTTCCCTGACTCCTCCCTGATATTTTTTTATTTTTCCCAGACTTTTTAATAACCTTATTTCTGCTTTCTTTGGACAAAAATATGGTTACTGACATATTTAACAATAAATTAATTTCTAATGGTAGTAACAAATGGTAATAAAAAGCATTCAAGTTTTTTTAGATTAAAAAATTTTTAAATTCACAAAAAATTTTAATTTTTGTAGAAATTTACAGAAATATCCCTGACTTTGAATTAAATTTTCTAAAATTCCCTTACTTTTCCCTAACATTTCCCTGACCAACAAAATTCCCTGACTTCTCTGACCGTTAGACACCCTGTTAAATTATCAAATTTTTATTTAGTAAAATAATATAAAGTAGATTTTCTAGTACATCGAATTTACAAATTAATACAATTTCAATTTAACGGAATTTATGTCAAGAAAAATTGCATAAAGAAAAATTTTTTTAACAGAATTTTTATTGTAGTAAATTTTGATTTATCAAAATATTTACTTAACAGAATTGTCATTGAATAAATCCACAATTAACAGAAATTCTATTTAACAAAATTCTTAATTAACAAAGTTTTTATTAAAGAAAATTTTAATTCCAACTGATTCTTATTTAACAGAATTCTCATTTAAGAAAAATTCTACTTAGTTCTCATTTTTTGTAAATTTTTATAGACATAAATTTCGTTAAATTGAAATTAAATTAATTTAAAATTTTTAAAAAAGTATTAGAAAAAATGCTTTATAAGAGTTCTGCTAAATAGAAAGTCTTTTAAATCGAATTTTAGTTAAATGTAAATTGAAAATTTTGCATAATATAAATTTCACTTTATACAATTTTGCTAAATAGAAATTCGATAATTTAATATTCGACGCTGTAAAACTTTTTATAAGTTAAATGTGTGTATTAGCATTAAATAATAAAAATTATTCGTATTAATGAATAATTTACTTTATTTGAAGCTTAACCGATAAAATAAAATTGTATCAAATAATTTTTATTTATATTAAAAAACCAAATATTTCACTGGAAAAAATTAATTAATTGTTATCCAAGTTTAAAAAATCATTTGTTAGATTCAATAAATAGTATGGTAAATAATTATTTACTTAATGAATATAAGATATATCACATGCTTAATAATTGAGTGTGAAGGCTAACTTTTTAATTTGCATTTGCTTTGGGAAAAAAGTAAAAAAATTTTTGAAACTAATAGTTACTTTAATTTATTTATAAAAAATTCCCTGACTTTTCCCTGACCATTAGACACCCTGTTGAAATAAAGAAGATCCGAATTTTATACCAAAAAAGACGTATTTTGTTTAAAAACTATGTAAAACAAGTTGTAAATTCAGATGTTCATTACATGAACATTTTGCTTCCTCTTTACGATCAGCAAAAAAATTTGCTTCCTCGTGGAGAAAGCATTACATTAAAATAAACATACAAAAATAATATAATAATATAAACATTTGAGTACCTATACATTTGAGTTAAATTTAAAGAATTAATGGAAGTTAAAAAATCAAAAATTCATATTTTAACCGAAATTTCTAAATATTAACGAAAAATAATATATAATTTATAATTATTTACAATTATATCGATTCGTTTTAATGCAAGGAACACAATTATTTTATATTTAAACTTGAATTTAAATAAATATAAAATTTTTCAACTAAAATGTGTATTTTCTATTTTTTAACTTTCATTAATTTATTAAATTTACCTCAAATGTAAATTTTATATATACCAATCGATTCGTTTTCATGCAAGGAATACAATTATTTCATCTATAAACTTAAATTTAAATAATCACAAAATTTTATAGCCAAAATGTGAATTTTTGATTTTTTAACTTTCATTAATTCTTTAAATTTAAATTAAAACTATACTTTATATATACCGATCGATTTATCTTGACGTAAGGAATACGATTTTATTATATATAATCTTAAATTTTTCTATTTAAAAATTTTTTCGATTAAAAAAAAATTTTTGGAAAAAAGACGATAAAATTTTTTTTGAAAATTTTTACAAACTAAAGGACTACAAAGTTTCCTCCAAGAGGAAGCAAAATGTTTTAAAAAATCAGAAAAAGTTGAAAAAGTCGTATAATTCGGGGCTTAAATATCAAAAAAAAATTTCAGTTCTGAAAGATGAAAATTCTTTAATTTTCTCTTATTTTTTAAATTTTCTTTTCTTTTTTTTTTACTGATTTATTTTCTATGAATTCTTTTTAATTACCTGCGAAATCAACAATGCCAATCCTTGTTTATTAATAAATTCAAGTGCAAATGTCATATCAATACTGAGAACACCAAGTTTTTGAAGTGATTGCTCATCTGTATTATTACTATTGAGTTGAATAAGAATATCACTCGCTGTTTTTGATGGTGAATGCTCCAATCTAAGAACACTTCCATTTTTGACTTCATTGCGATTTTTTTCCGTTATATAATTTTGATTATTGTTTTCCGAGAACTGGAGAGCAAAAAATTCCGAGTCAGAAAGACTCCAGCCATTACAAAGTTCCTAAAACAAGACACGAGAAAACAATTTCACAGGGGAACAAAAAAAAGAAGAAACGACGAGAAAACAAAAATAATTATTTTTTATTTACGCGAAAATGTCGTGTTCCCCTGATAAAAAAAAATAAAAACTAAAAAATATTTTCTAATAAAAATGTGCGTGCAATAAAGAAAATAATTTGCGTTTTTATTTATATTTTAAAACAAAAGAAACAATGCTAATTAAAAATTTTGGAGGTTAGATTATTATTAAAAGCTGGAAAAACTATAATGTGATATGAAATTTTTTTTTACTTACTGTAATTATTCCAGTTAAGGGTTGCTTCTGATTAAATTCTATTAATTGTGGCACTTTATCTGTCATTTCGACAGCAATTTTAACAATGTTTGAATCTTTTTGTGTTGGTATTTTTGTTGTTTGTGTATACATGACAGAAAGTATAAAAATTCAATTGTTTTCGATTATTTTCTCTTTTGTTAAAAAAAGTTACTTTTATTACTATTTAATCAATTGTTACAAAAAGGGAAAAAGGAGTGTTGATGAAAACAATGTGACAGTCAATAATGTCAAACTGCGTTCAAAATCTACTGCTATTTCAAAAAACATCGGCTCATTTACAATTACAAGTAAAATTCATACTTTTACATAGAAATTTTAACTGGAAAATTTAAAATTTAAACACAAAATTAATAGTAGAATTTAATAACACAATATATATATATATATAGAATTCTTTTTTAAATAATTTTTCCAGCACTTTATTTATCAATAAAATTTGAATCTCCCGCGCTTCTAAAACATTTTCCACTCTAGAAAAAACACACTTGCAGTGAAAACCCTATTAACCCCTCCAAAGCGTTTCTAACCTCTTTTTTGTGTGTTTACAGTCTGATGTATTTTATCCTAAAAAAAAGTTTGCACATGGAATGCGACCGGTTTTTCTTAAACAATTTTTAATATAATATATGTTAATAAAGTTTTGGTATACAATTTATACATTATGAGCATCATTTTCAATATTTGCGTAAGATTTTTTTAAAAGGTAAAATAAAAAATTTCCTCTAAAGAAGACTGGGAAAAAAAAAAAATATTATTTCAAAATGAGATTGGTGAAACCAAGTTGGGTTTCTCACGATGGTAAGTATTTCATATTATTTTATTGATATTATTTTTTTAAAATTAAAAAGAGTTGCAATTGTTTATTATATATCGTTCTAACCTCAAATTAGATAATCCGATATTTTCGATCGATATTCATCCGGATGGAAAAAGATTCGCCACCGGCGGACAAGGTGAGTTTATTATTAATTTTCGTATTTGCTAAGAATTAACAAAAATTTTCTATTTGTAAATATAAAAAAAAAAGTATTTAAAAGTATTCAAATTTATGAATTTGAATATTTTTCACAATAAAAACATATATACGCAATATATGAAATTAAAAACTTAATTGAAATTTATTTTTTCGATTTTTTTTTTATTGATTGATAAGAATTTGATAACTTACAAAAAATTTGAAAATCCATTTATTTGCATTTTGTTACAAAAGAAATTTGTAAAAAGAAGAAATAATTTTCGAAAAGTTTTTTCTTATATAAACAAAAAAATATGTTGAAGTTCACAATATTTATTTATCAATAATTTTGAAAAAAATATATTACTATGTAAATTATTATAATTTGTTGTCTAAAAAATATCTTGAAACGTTTTTTTATTTTTAACAGTTTTTAAAAGAAAAATTTTGCAGGGAAAAATTTTCATTATATTATGCAAGTAATATTTCTTTTTTTCCAATATTGATCATAAACATTTTGAAGTTCAATGACGTCAAAAAATGAGGTTTTTTTTGCACATTTTCTTAAATTAGGAACAGAAAAAATTATTACAAAAAAAAAAAATTGCAAAGTTCTATTTTTATGTTAGCTATAGAAATTTAAAAAAAAAAAGTACAAAATGAAATTAAATTTAATGGATTGACTAAAACTAAAACTAGTTAAATTGCAAAAAAAAAAAAATTGTTACTTTTTTTTGAAAAAATTAATCCATGTTTGAGTCAATTTTTTGTAACTGAAGGTATAAACCCTCTTTGCCTGACGTAAAATAAACCCTATGATCTACTTTTACTGAACTTTCAGTTGATAAAGTTATGAAATACTTCGATATTAAATGAATTATTCCATATTTTGCAAGGGTTCGACCCTGATGAAATGCTGTAACGAAAAAAGAAAGAAAATTTTTAAATTAATAATTTCGAAGTTTTTCGTGATAACAGGGTGTCTAACGGTCAGGGAAGTCAGGAAAAAATTAGGGAATTTCTTTAATTTTCTGCAATTTTTTATGAATAAATTAAAATAACTATTAGGTTCAAAATTTTTTTTTACTTTTTTCCCAAAGCAAATGCAAATTAAAAAGTTAGCTTTCACACTCAATTATTAAACATGTGATATATCTTATATTCATTAAGTAAATAATTATTTACTACTATTTATTGAATATAATAAATGATTTTTTAAACTTGGATAACAATTAATTAAATTTTTCCAGTGAAATATTTGGTTTTTTAATAAAAAATAAAATATATTTGATACAATTTTATTTTATCGGTTCAACTTCAAATAAAGTAAATTATTCATTAATACAAATAATTTATTATTTAACTAGCAAAGTTAAACGCGCCAAATTGAGTATGTAATAGTTTGTTATAAAGAAATTAATATTAATATTATCAATAATAATTTAAATTTATTAGAAAATTATTACATATTAAATGATAATAATGAAAATTATTTATTATATAATTAATATTTAATAGAATTGAAACGAAGTTGAAGTACCTAACGTTTATCAACAAAAACATTTAAAAAAAAAAAATTACTAGTACGAAATTTCCTGGCACATTTTTTTTTCTTTTCATAAATTTTTTTGTATTTGTAACAGTTTTTGAGAAAAATGCAAAAAAAGTAAATTTTTCTAAAAATTACTTTTAATTAAAATTTTTATTTTAATTCGTTATAAAATGTAAAGTTCTGAATTCTTTTACATACAATTTACAGGATTTATAGTTTAAACTATCCTTTAAATGATCCTTAATAATAATTCATTTTTAATTTTATAAAAAAATTATTAATTTTTTTGTTGCTCAGTGCTGCAAGGCTTAATATTATTTAAAAGCTTCGTTTATGTAGGGATTTTTCTCTGAGGATAAACTTCCTCTGAATAAAATGTTCATTGATAATAAAAAAAAGTGTATTAAAATAAAACTTTACAGTAATCTTTATTGTGTATCAATAAAAATTTTATTCATAGGAATTAATAACTTTTTTTCTAATTAAAAAATGAAGAATTATTATATTAAGGATCATTTAAAGGATGGTTTAAACTATAACTCCTGTAAATTGTATTCAAAAATATTCAGAACTTTTCATTTTAGAACGAATTAAAGTAAAAATTTTAATTAAAAGTGATTTTTATGAAAAATTTAGATTTTTGCTTTTTTCTCAAAAACTGTTACAAAATACAAAAAAAAATTTATGATGAGAATAAAGATGCGCCAGAAAATTTCCTACAAGATATATATAATAATTTGAAAAAATTTATTTTTAAAAATTGATCTTTAAGGTACCAGGGGCCAACGAATACCGCTGTAGAAATTTTAATTATAAAATATCCGGTGGCTCATATTTAACATAGGCGGAATATTTATCTGAAAAATGCTTTAAATATTCCGCCAACAATAAATATATGTAATTTAGGGTCAATATATAACTTTAAACAAAAATTTCGTTGATAAACGTTGTGTACTTCAGCTTCGTGAATTGAATTTTTGAATTTGAATTTGGAATTTTAAAGAAACTAATTCCGAAATTTGGAAACTCAATTATACAACTTTGGCAAAAACGAGAAAAAGAATTGTCAAAATTTGACACAAATTTGACACGTCATAAAATTACAATTCAAAAAACTCGTGTAATCAGAAAAGACCAACTTCAAGTTAGGACAGAAGGACAGACCAAGCATTTTATTATTATATATATATAATAATAATATAATAATGTTAATACCCACATTTAACTTATAAAAGTTTTTACGGCGTCAAATATTAAATTATCGAATTTCTATTTAGCAAAATTGTATAATGTGAATTTTTTATTATGCAAAATTTTTAATTTACTTCTCTTAAAAAGCATTTTTTCTAATACTTTTTTAAAATTTTAAATTAATACAATTTCAATTTAATGAAATTTATATCTATAAAAATTGACAAAAAAAGAGAACTAAGTAGAATTTTTCTTAAATGAGAATTCTGTTAAATAAGAATTAGTTGGAATTAAAATTTTCTTTAATAAAAACTTTGTTAATTAAGAATTTTGTTAAATAGAATTTCTGTTAATTGTGGATTTATTCAATGACAATTCTGTTAAGTAAATATTTTGATAAATCGAAATTTACTAAAATAACAATTCTGTTGAAAAAATTTTTCTTTATGCAATTTTTCTTGATATAAATTCCATTAAATTGAAATTGTATTAATTTGAAATTCGATTAATAAATAAATTTAATAACTAATTGTAATTGTTGAAAATTAAAATTTTTTTTTTGAAAAATAATTTTTAACAATTATTAATTATACTTACCAGGACACATTCGTGGGCCAATGCCAAATGGCATATATGGTGGACCAGTTAAATTTTCTGATTTTTCAAAATTTTTTGGATCAAAAATTTCCGGATTTTTAAAATAATTTTTATCATAATGAAGACCCGTTAATGAAATCATTATGGGTGTATCTTTTTCAATTTTTAATCCCGTTTCTTGAATGATAAAATCTTTAGTTGCTGTTCTATCAATAGTGGGAACAGTTGGATGTAAGCGTAATGTTTCACAAATAACACTGTCCAAAAATCGTAACGACATTACCTGTGCAACAAGTAAAAATAAAAAAAAGAAATTGTAAAAAATTTGGAATTTATTTAAAACATTTATTATTTATGATTAATTATTTACTTCTTTTTATTGATAATTTAAAAAAAAATTACTTCCAAAGAAATTTTTAAAGTTATTATTTTTTTTTAATTTCTTCAGATATAATTATTACTTTTTAACCCTTTGAGTTTTTTATACAGATGTAAAGTAATTTCTTTTTTTTTTTATTTATTAGAAATTTTACGATTCAAAAAAAGAAAGTATCAGTTTAGAAAAATACAAATTTTTTAAACCCGTTTTTTCAAAAACTAATATTTTTTTTTTGTGAAAACCAGAGATTAAAATAGAAAAAAAATGTCGAAGATCAATTTTATAAAAACCAAAAAAAAAAAAATTGTAATTTAATTTGTAAAAAACTTTTCATACCATATCGTAAGTTATCACTCCATTCGTTTTCTTTAAATTTTCCTCTATTTCTTTTCTTAATTTTTTTTGGATTTCTATATTCGATGCCAATTCGAATAAAGTAAATGACATTAATGTAGATGTCGTATCGAATCCAGCGGTAAATAAAACAATTGCCTGTGCAATAATATCGTTCAATTCTAAAATAATAATAATTAATATTTTTATTATTATATTATTATTATTATTATTATTATTATTAAAGACGTAAGTTGTAGATTATGTGGTTCAAAAACGGAGGACATAGAGCATATGGGCAAATCCACAGAACCGGCCGATTTCATGTTACTCACATATTTTTCTATTTTAGAAGTATTATATTAATTATTTTCATACTTCAACCATTTTGTAATATCTCTGAGAACCTATTGAAATAAGAAAATTGAATAAATGTGAACCTTCTAGTCTTTTATAAAAAATAAAATCGAATTAAGTAACTTAAAAAATGAAATTTACGGTGTTACTCCAGGTATAAATTTTAATTCTTATAGGTATAACTTGTTCTGCATAGATCCGAACAATTCCAAACTGTGGTGAATTATAGTTTACTTATTGAAGAATGTTTTGAAAGTAATAAAAAATATGTGCTCTTAAATAAAAAGAAATGATAGTCGTTGAAAGTAGCGTTACTCATTATTTTATAATAATGAAATGTCTATACATTTTTGTAAATATCTTTTGCGGCGATTATTCTATTTGAATTTTTCAAATTGGAGCTTATTGCTTGTGAACAGACGAACAAATGTATGTATCATAGAATAGAGTGCAATCAGAATTAAAGAAAATATTCCAATAATTATCACTCTATGTTTAAGCGTGAACCATTTTCAACTTAGCCTTTTTTCAGTAGCACAACTACAGGATAAAATATGATGAGTTGAAAACATGTGTGATTATATAAAGACATTATTATAATTCTTGTATGCAAACGCCAAATTATATTTTCAATTTATAACGTCTAAAAATTAAAAATAAAAAAAAATTTATCGAAATTTAACTAGTTAATCGTGAAAAATGAATTATCCTTTCATTTGTTTTATTTTCAAAGTTATATCAAAATCGATGTCAATAATGTCAGTTTGTTGGTTAAAATAGTTAATATCAAAATTAGTAAGTAAACAATTTAATTTACAGAAATAAAAAATTAAATGCTAATAAATAAAATATATAATAAAATATGATAAAATATAAATAATTTATTTTTGATAATTAAAAAATTAATTATTTGTATTTTATCATATTTTATTATTCAAAATGTTTTGCACATATTTCAAATAATATATAAAAAAAACAAAGAAATGCCATTTTTAATTATAATTTCCAGAAGAAAAATAATATTTTCGTTTTTGGCTTTTAACTCAAACGGCATTAAAATAAAATGAATCACGCAAGAAGATAATTGTTCTTGAATATATTTTAAAGAAAGTAAACCATAAATAAAAGGTGTGCTTGCTATTTGGAAAATTTTCATCTTGATAAGTAAAAATCGGCCGGTTCTGTGGATTTGCCCATATCTGGGTATGTAAAAAAGCTAGAGAGTTGATAGAAAAAAAGTGGGTTGAGGAAGTGGATAAGTGGACCGATTGCGGCAGAAATGTTAATCAGCAAAAAGTTCGGGAAATTTTGTCTGATAGGCCGAGTATAGCTCTCTGCAGATACACAAGAGCTTTCGAGGAGATAGCTAAATGTAAATAAAGCGGTTTATAGTTTTAAATGTTATAAATAATTCTAATGTATTTTTAGTTAAGTTAATTGAAACTATTCATGTTTTTAATAATTTGCAAATAGGGTAAGAATTCCTGAAGTGGCCCCCTAATATTTTTTGTGTAATAGAAAAAAGTGATACTCACATATTTTGGTAGTCCATGATGTCACTAAAAAACCTCTGAAACGATTTTTCAAAATTCGAATTTTTTTAAAAGTTATAAACAATTAATCTTTTTTGCAACGTTTTGGAAAAAATTCTGTATCTTGAAATTGGCCGAACCGATTTTAATAAAAATTGGATTGGAGAAAGATTAAGATACGTACTTTTGATAAATAAATAAATTATGAATAAAAAGTATAATTTGTTTAAACAAATTATATTGTTAATTTTTAACTTTATAAATTAACAATGTTCTCAGTCGATTTTTCCAATTTTTTTTATAGAATCATAAAAAGGGTCTTTTCACGATTACATGACAAAAATAAAAAAGTGGGATTCTCAAAAACTTTAGAAGATACAGAATTTTTAGTCTTAACGCGCGCGAGTTTTCTGAGCAGCTCACGCATACGGCGCGGCATCTCCCGCGCGCCCCGCTCCAACCAAGACTCCATGAGAGTTCCCGATTATAATATTTTATTAACTCAATTAAACTAAATAGTTGTTTATATGTATTTTATAATTCATATCATTTTTGTTTATATTTAATAATTTTTATTGTTTCTAAAGTTTCTGTTTATAATAAGTTTCTGATTATTTAATTTTAATGATAAATTTTCAACGTTTTTTAATTGTTTTGTTTATGTATCAATGAATAATAAAATATATTATTGCGAATCCGTGTTTTATTTTTTTAGACCGCATTGTTTAACGTTTGCTGTCAAAATTTTAACAAATTTCACGTTTATGCGTACTGAATGAAAATTTGCGCGTTTTCACGTGAAAACAAAAGAATCGCGACAATCGTCTGGTCATTCACCTAACATGATAATTTCGTTTTTAGATCATAGTATTTTCTTTACGTATACATAAATGTAAGTCCGTGTTTGTTGTTTCGATTAGTATTTTTCACGTTGTATATTAAAAATTTTACTTTTTCGCGTATGTGCTATAAAAACAAATCTTAAAATATGCCAAAAGCAAATACTTGCTGCAACCCGTTGAAAAAAACGAACATAAAGCAGTTTATAAAAATCTTGTGAAAGTGCCTAATTCGTGGAATTATAGATTTAAAAATTTAATAGGACAGTTCATTTGTTTTTCGTGCAAAGCAGCCATCAACACATTTAACAAAAACAATTAAAAAACGTTGAAAATTTATCATTAAAATTAAATAATCAGAAACTTATTATAAACAGAAATTTTATAAATAATAAAAATTATTAAATATAAACAAAAATGATATGAATAATAAAATACATATAAACAACTGTTTAGTTTAATTGAGTTAATAAAATATTATAATCGGGAACTCTCATGGAGTCTTGGTTGGCGCGGGGCGCGCGGGAGATGCCGCGCCGTATGCGTGAGCTGCTCAGAAAACTCGCGCGCGTTAAGACTAAAAATTCTGTATCTTCTAAAGTTTTTGAGAATCCCACTTTTTTATTTTTGTCATGTAATCGTGAAAAGCCCCTTTTTATGATTCTATAAAAAAAATTGGAAAAATCGACTGAGAACATTGTTAATTTATAAAGTTAAAAATTAACAATATAATTTGTTTAAACAAATTATACTTTTTATTCATAATTTATTTATTTATCAAAAGTACGTATCTTAATCTTTCTCCGAACCAATTTTTATTAAAATCGGTTCGGCCAATTTCAAGAGACAGAATTTTTTCCAAAACGTTGCAAAAAAGTTTAATTGTTTATAACTTTTAAAAAAATGCGAATTTTGAAAAATCGTTTCAGAGGTTTTTTAGTGACATCATGGACTACCAAAATATGTGGGTATCACTTTTTTCTATTACACAAAAAATATTAGGGGGCCACTTCAGGAATTCTTACCCAAATATGAAAAAATATGTATATGGGAAATGTAAAAGGCCGAAAGGTCATACATATGAAATTAATAAATCTATCTAATCTATTATTATTATTATTATTAGTACTTTTATTATATAGACACGAAAATTTAAATTCAATGTTAAAATTTTTACTCACCTAAGCGTTCCTCATTTTTTATTTCAATTAAAATATCCAATAAATCATTTCTATTTATACCTGATTCTTCTCTACTTTCTATGATTTTTTTAAATTCTTTTGCAAAAAATTCACCACTTTTCTTTTCAAAAAAACGACAATCAAAAAAATCTTTTATATACGATGGAGTCAAATAAATTGCCGTCAATTCAAATGAACGCCAAAGTGTAAAATCTCCGAACATCATTTTTCCAAATTTTCGAAATTCTGCATCATCATTTTTTAGACTATTCAATTTTAATCCAAAACAAATTAATCCAATTATATCAGTTGTATATTTTGCACAAATTTCTTTTATATTGATTGTTTTTCCAATTTCTATATGAAAAAAAAACATTTAATTTTCTTTTAATAACCTTTTTTTTTTTAATTCAATAAAAATTAATAAATGCTTGAATTATAATAATTTTCTAAAAAAATTAATAATTAATAAAATACAAATAAAAGCAAAATGAATCTTACCTAAATTCAATGAGTCCAAATATTCGTCTAAATCATTTGTAACTTCAATTAAATAATTAAAATCGGCTCTTATTTTTTTTGGTGTAAATGCTGGACTTAATTTTTTTCTCAATTTATTCCATTCAAAATGAGATAAAAATGGCAAACTTCTATTACTCAATGGATCATGTTTACTTGATTTCATAAATTTATCAGAAAATTCATGAAAATTTGTCGCAAGAATTGATTTAATAATTTTTGGATCAATCAATAATAATGTGGGCTTATCCACAATATAAATACCCACATATGGTTTATTTTTGTATTGATTATAAAATTTTTTTACAATATCTCCCGGTGATTGACTTTTAAAAAAATAATCTGCAAAATTTCCAAAGAATGGATAAGGTGTTATTTGTGTGACACCTAATTTTCTCCAATAATAAAAATTTCGTGACATATATATCACTATTGTTAGTATAATAAAAAAAATTATTCCTATTAATGTCCACATTATTGTCATTTTAAAAAACAAAAACAAAAAAAAGAAAATTGAAAGAAATAATTTTTTTCTATGTGATGACAACGATTGATTTTGTTTGCGGATTCACTGTGTGACTGATGCGATGAACTCTTCAAACTCGGCGAGTTGAATGAAACCCCTTCCCAAATGAAACTGAAAATGAGTGTTGCTTTATAAAAATGATACAAGACATATAACTAAACGAAAACTTTAATTAATTTCATATCTTATCAAGGAAATATAAGATGCTACTTTAAAAAATATTTATTTATTTTAAATAATAATTGAAAAAAAAAATTAAATACTAATATTTTTTGTTGAAATATGTTCTAATAATACATATTTGACAATGATTTTCTAAAATTTTACTCAGAAATATTTTAAAAAATAAATTATATTTTTTTCTAGAAAAAAGAATTAATATACAATATATTTTTTGATTAAATTTTGTTTAAAATTTTCACGAAGCTGAAGTACGCAACGTTTATGATAAACAATTTTTAAAAGATATAATTTTTCGCCTAAAAAATATTTCTTGTAGTTTTCAAACAAATTATATAAAAAAATATTTTTCAGTCAAAAAAATTATAGAACTTTTCATTAAAAAAAAAAAATATTTCTTTAAAAATCATTTATCATAAACGTTGCATACTTCAGCTTCGTAAATTTTCCGTTTTTCTGGTGAGAAGATATGGTTATTTGGAAATTGTTCGAAATTTGTATAACTTCAAGATTTAAGCTAAAATATTTCATATTTAAAAAAAAAAAAAAATTAAAAATACTTAATTTTAAGCAAATTTTGTGTTTCAAAAATATTAATTTATTTTTTAGAAAAAAAAATTTCTAAAAAGAGTGTAAATTTGTTATTGTCAAATATGTAATATTAGAATATTTAAAATTATTTCTAAAAAAATATTAATCAATAATAAAATAAATTTTCAATATTTCAGAAATTTAAACTCAACTTTTGAAAAACATTTAAGGGTGATTCTCTCAAAAAGGACAAATTACGCTTTTAAGATATTTTGTTAAAAAATATGGAAATTAATTATTGAAATTATTTAAAATTCTGTCAGCCATACGTTAGGATTTAACAATTTTCAATCGGACCACTAAAGAAAATTTTAAAAAAAGGTAAAATAACTGAAATATTGAATAAAAACTGATGTTACGGAATGGAGTTTTAACACTAGTTTTCATCCAATAATTCAGTTGTTTGCCATTTTTTTGAAATTTTCTTTATTGATCCCATAAAAATTTGTTGAATTTTATCGTATGGCTGGGAGAATGTTTATTAATTGAAATTAATGTTATTATTTTTTAACAAAAACCTCGTCCAAAAATTGTGAACAAATAATTTGTTCTTTTTGAGAGAATCACCATTAAGCAATTTCTTTTTTTTAATGTATTGTATTAAAATTGTGTTAAGATAATGCAAATTAATCTTGAAATTTTAGATGTCTTATTTTACAGTTTACAGACAGATAAAAATTGTTGAAACAATTGAAAAAAGAGAAATCGATAAAAGTCTCAACTGACAATTTCAGTCATTATATTTTAATTATATAAATTAAATTAGTAATTTTATATAATTGAAAATTTATTATAATTCTCATTTATATTGAATATTCTCACAAAATATTGAAAGTAAAAACAAAATTAAAAATCAAAATTCCCCAAAAAATGGCAGTTTTTTAAAAAAAATTAATATTAATTGGTATTACTAATAATTGATATTATTTAATTAGCATTAATATTTCTAAGCAGTACAAAGATTTTCAAAGAATTTTTTCTTAAAAATACACATATAATTTCAAAAATGGGTGTGAAAATTTTTATATTCGTTATCATTAAATTTAACACAAATCAAGAATTTTTTGCCTGCGAATGTGGTTTAAAAAATTTCAAAATCAATTTAGAATCTATGTTTTTAATTGGAGAAAATATTTTAGCTTTCGTTTAATAAAAATCGTATCTTTAAAAAAAGTGAAATTTTCCGTTTTAAATAAGAATAATAAAAAATTTAAAAAAAAAATCTGATATCACTATTAGAAAATATAATAAAAAAAAGCATATTAGAAATATATTTTATTAATTTTTTTTTGTTTTATATAAATATTCTCAACATTAATAGAAATATGAATAAAATAGGTGCTGATTCAGGACGTGTTGTAATATGGAATATGGAACCAGTAAAGGATGAAGCTGCCGAATTAAATCAAAATATTCCGAAAATGTTGTGCCAAATAGACAATCACCTTGGTACGTTTAATTTCTTATTAATTTAATAATATAAAATTTTTAAATTAACTTAATTTCATAAGTGATAAAAAAATTATAATAATTTTAATGAATGAAAAAATTATTTTAAAATTTTTTTACCGAGCAATAGAATTTTAACTCACTGAAAATTTTAAATTATATTGCGTCCTTGCTCTCTTAAATTACTTTTCTAGTATACTTCGATCCAATAGGTAAAATCACAAGACTGTAAGAGTTCATAAGAATAAGATTGACCCCACTCCATCATCTGGGACTGAGTTGCATATAAAATGAAATAAGACCGCTATATGAATTTAAAAAGCAATTACAGATTGAATTTATATGGTTTTTAAAAGGATATAAATTCAAAAAGCAGATTGTAGATTATAAAAAGTAATTTATTTTGACTTTTAAAAAGCATTGTAATTTAACTTGATTAAATTTTTGAGAAAAAGGAACTGTAAACTTTTATTAAATATCAGTTTTATTGAATTCAAATCTGAAAATTGAATTAAAATTTATTTTTATTAAATAATTAGTGAAATTAATTAAATTATCAAATTTTAGTTTAAGACGTTATTAAATATTTAATAATATTAAAATATTTATTAACTAATTGAATACAATATAAAACGAAAAAATTTAGACGATTTTTGAATTTCACTCCAGCTGAATAAATTAATAGTAATTTTTTATGTAACGTCACAAAATTCAGTTTAAAATTACACTTTTATCCATTAAAATGTATTAGAAATTTTAAATTCTTAAAATATTAAAATTTTTAAATATTAAGTTAGTTATGACGTGACTGCTAGCTGAATATTGATGCTATTATTAAAATACGTTTCACATAATAAATATTTGCAATATTTATTTATTATGTCTATTATTTCAGTGTTCTTTGCCATCTTTATTTTATTAATAAGCTCAATTTTGATAATTATTGTTCGATTTCAATGCGAAATGTAATAACATTTAACTTTAATTTTTTCTTTCTAACACTGTTAGGTACTAGAGAGTTTTTTTTTAAAGTTGTAATTTTGTTTAATAACGGTTTATTTTATTAACAAAAAGGTTTTCTACAACTTTATCGTATTGAATTTTTAAAAAAGTTTACTATTTTTTTAAATATTGACATTTGTTTAGAAAAAAATTCAGAAAAAAAAAAATTGCAATGAGTTTTAATAAAAAATTTTTAAACATAATTATATGGATTTAATAGAAATAATTTAATATTGAAAGAGTTTCAATTAAAAGTTTTGACTTTTTCTATTTTTAAAAGATTATAAACTAAAAATTTCAAAAATAATTCAATTATCGAAGAATTTATTCAAAATTATGAAATAATTAAGTTTTTTTTTAAATATTTGAATTTTCAAATATATTGAATTAAAACAATTGTAAATGATTGAAATTTCAAAAAATTTTATTGAAAGCTTTGAAAATAATTGAATTTTTAAAAAGAATTTTATTAAAATTTTTGATAATATGTAATTGAATTTTTTTTTTATTTAATTTAAATCATTCTTTATACAATGTTTGTTTAACATAATTTGCATTGGATTGAATTTTTATTTATCACAATTTTTTAAAATAGAATTCACATTTGGTAAGAAAAAAAAAGAAAATTCGGAAATGTTATAAATAAATAAAAATTGCATATTTATTATGTAAAATGCATTTTAACAATAGCCACGTGACAAATACCTTAATTGGATGGTTAATATGAGATCTAGATAATTTTTAAGTTTAATCAAGATTAATTCGATGAGTAATAATCTAATCTTATTAATTCCGGTAAAACAAAAAGCTATCAGCTATGGTTAGTAACATAATAATCGACAATCATGTCGAACATGATAAATGTAATTAAATTTTAGATGTGATTCACTTCTTTATTATGTAACATAATCATTTAAAAATATTAAAAATATGAATCAGACTTATATTTAAAACGGTAGGTAATGGTATATTTCAATAAATAATAAATACTATATGAAATGGAAGTGTGGAAAAGATTAATTATTATATTCGTAGAACCCCATTGAATTAATTATCATAAACTTTTATTTTAAATTTTTGTTTAATCAACGGAATTTCGTTTTACAGTAGAAACTAGTTTATCCGGACTAATAGATGCAGAAAAAAAGTAATTTCATTCATTATTCGAATTCAGAATTTCGGAAAAAGTTTTAAATAATGAAATTTTCGAAGAATTTCATTAAAATAATATTGAAAAAAAATTGTTTTTAATGAAAATTTATGAAATAATTGAAATGTCAAGAGATTTTCAATTGAAAGTTGTATAAATTTGAATTATTATGGAATTTTTTCTCTATATTTCAGATAATAATTGAATGTTAGAGAATTTTCAACTGAAATATGTTCTAAATAAGTGAATTTTGATGGAGTTACAGTTAAGATTTTTAGAAATAATTGCATTTTTTGAGATGTAAAAGATTATAATTTTGTTGTAAATATAAACATTAATTGAAAAATTATTTAAATAATTGAATTTTTGAAAAATTGTATTATAACTTTTAAAATAATTAATTAAACAAAGAATTATATTAGATAAAAATTTGGGAAAAAATTGTCAATTGAATTAACATTCAATTAATTATTATTCCATTACTAATTGAATTTAAAATAGTTTGGGGAGTTAACATTTTTTTGAAATTAATTTATCGAAGAATTTTAAATAAAATTTTCAGAAATAATTGAATTGTAGAGAATTTTCAATTAAAAAATGTTTTAAAAAATTGAATTTTGATTTTTAAAATTTTTAATTAAAATTTTAATAAACTTGAATTATTAAAATTTTTTTAAAATTATTTAAAAAAAAAATTAATTTTAAAGAATTAATAATTAAAAAACGTTTTATGTAGGTACCTAATTGAAGTTTTGAAAAACTTGATTCAAATTATAATTCAAAAGGAAATTGAAGTTAAAAATTTTAGAAATAATTGATTTTTGTAAGGGCAATAGTTACAATATTTGAAACTAATTGGATTTTAAGAAGATTTTTAATTAAAATTTTCGTAAATTGAAATTTTTGTAGATATTTTATAAGCTTTAAATAATACAGGCCTCGGATTATACGACTGTTTCGACTATTTCCGACTTTTTTCGATTTATTTTAATAAAATGCGACTATTTCGACTTTTTTTTACATTTTTTAAACAAATTTTTAAATAAAATATATTTTTTTTAGTATAAAATGCAGATCTTCTTTAGATCTTCTTTATTTCAATTATTTAACAAATTTTTAACTAAAATTCTTCACTAACTTAATTATTTTTAATAATTTTAATGAAATTTATCACAAAATCAATTATTTCAAATTATTTTTCAATTAAAATTTTTATAAAAATTTAACAATTGTTTATAATTTAAAAAAATATATCAAATAAAATTACCAAAAATGTTTAATTCAAAATCATAAATCAATTCAAAATCAAATAAAATTCAATTATTTTCAAAAATTTCAATTCAAAATCTACTAAAATTCAATTATTACCCAAAAGTTCAATTCAAAATCAAAGAAAATTCAATTATTTTCAATATTTTCAATTCAAAATCTTTTAAAATTCAATTATTTCCAAAATTTTCAATCAAAAATCAACTAAAATTAAATTTAAATTCAAAATCAATTAAAATTCAATAATTATCCAAAATTTCAATTAAAAATTAATTATTATCAAAATTTTCAATCAAAAATCAACTAAAATTAAATTATTATCCAAAATTTCAATTCAAAATCAACTAAAATTCAATTATTTTCCAAATTTTCAATTTCAAATCAAATAAAATTTAATTCTTTTCAAAATTTTGAATTCAACATCATCTAAAATTCAATTATTCTTAAAAATTTCAATTCAAAATTAATTATTATCAAAATTTTTAATCAAAAATCAACTAAAATTGAATTATTATCCAAAATTTCAATTATAATTCAATTATTTTCAAAAATTTAAATTTAAAAACTTCTAAAATTTAATTATTTCTAAAATTTTTTGAAATTTAACAATTTCAATTATAAATCTAAGAAAATTTAATTATTTTTAACTATTTTTATAATATTCTTTGAAAATTCAACTATCTGAAACCATTTTTCAATTAAAAATGGTTTTCAAATTATTGTATTTTTGTCCGCAATTTCTAATAAATTTTTTAGCGGAATCATCAAAAATTGTTAATTAAAAATCACTTGAAGTTCAATTAATTTAAAAAATTTCAATTGTAAATCTTTGAAAATTCAATTACATTTAAAAAATGTTATCTGAAATTATTTTTCAGTTCTGTAAAATTTAATTATTGTCTGAAAATTAACATAATCTTTTAATATTCAATTATTTCTAAAAATTTTAACTTTAACCTTTCTAAAAGTATTATTATTTAAAAAAAAAATTTATTTAAAAATCTGTAATATTTTTTTGTTAAAATAAAAAAAATCGACTTTTTCGACTTTTTTTGGAATATAAATCGACTAAAACGACTTTTTTTGTCCGAGGCTTGTTTTTAAGAAGTTTTAGTTTTTTTTTTTTTTTTTTTTAAAATATTTGATGAAACTTATAGAATGTTGATTGAATTCTTTCAATAATATTTCATGACTATAAAAATTCTTCTGAAATTTTAAAATTAAAAAAAAATGAATTTCTATCTCAAACAGCTTGCGTAAATTGTGTACGATGGAGTAGTGAAGGCCTCTTGGCATCGGGTGGTGATGACAAGCTTATAATGATTTGGAGATTGTCAGGCGCAAATATCGGCGGAAGTTCCATATTTGGTGGAAAAGCAGGCGTTGAAACATGGCGTTGTATCGCAACATTAAGAGCGCACGAGGGTGATATTTTAGATATTGCTTGGGCACCACACAATCCATGGCTTGCGTCTGCATCAGTTGACAATAGTATTATCATTTGGGATGCTACAAAATTTCCATCAATTATTGCCGTTCTTAAAGGACACACGGGTCTTGTTAAGGGCGTCACATGGGATCCAGTTGGTAAATACATTGCCTCACAATCAGACGATAAGACACTACGTGTTTGGCGTACAACTGATTGGGGTGAGGCGACATTAATATCGGAACCATTTGATGAATGCGGTGGTACAACACACGTTCTACGACTCTCATGGAGTCCAGATGGACAATATTTAGTTTCTGCACATGCAATGAACGGCGGTGGACCAACGGCGCAAATTATTGAAAGAGATGGATGGACGACGGATAAGGATTTTGTTGGACATCGAAAAGCCGTTACTTGCGTTGTTTGTATTTTTTTTTTATTTTCACTTCGTAAATGATAATTCGAAAATTGGAATGATTTTGTTTTTTTTTTTTTGCAGAGATTCAATAGTAAAATTCTACAAACAAAACAACCGGGTTCTTCGAAACCAACGCAGTATTGTTGTGTGGCAATGGGATCGAGGGATCGTTCACTTTCCGTTTGGTTGACGTATTTGAAAAGACCTTTGGTTGCTATTCACGAGTTGTTTAAGGATTCGGTTCTTGACGCTAGTTGGTCACCGTGTGGAATGCGTTTGGCCGCATGTTCCTGGGATGGTTCTGTTGTTTTTATTGAATTCTCCGAAAAAGAAATTGGACAACCTTTAGATCATGTTGAACAAGTAGGAATTTAATAATTTTTCCTCTATTTTACTGTCAAAGAATTCCCTAAGATTTTTTTTTTTATTCGTTTCTTTTGTAGAGTAAAGTTCATGAACGTATGTATGGAAAACCTTTGATCCAAGGAGGAAGTGGTTGCACAGTAATGGAATCGGCAGAATTGTTGAATGTAAAACCTCCAACTCCAAAGAATCAGACACAATCGCCAAAAATGACAAATTCCGTACAGACTGTAACGTCATCAACGCCAGTCAAGGCACCTATTAATAAACAAATTGAAACGCGAACTTCAGATGGAAGAAGAAGAATTACTCCAATGTTTATTCCTCCTCCAGCTGACACAATGTATGTACTTTGTTAATTCAATTTTTTTTTCATAGTTATTAAATTAAATTTTTATTTTTAAAAGGGATATCACGACTGGAATTGGAGTTAGCGCTCCAACATTCTCGAGTACTTCACAAACGAAGAGTTCAATAATAATTGAAAAACGAGACGATATTGTCACTCCAAATGTTAGTACAACTGTGAATATAACAACGAATGCATCGGCGCCAACATTAACTTTAAAACGTCGTGAACAATCAACACCAAAACCACATCATCATTCGAGTCCACATAAAAAAATGAAATTTGCCTCCGAAAGAAGTGGATCGCAAATATTTTTACCAGCATTAAAAGCAGCGAGTTCTATTTCTCAACAAGCTGGTCATTATGCTGTTACTGTAACAAATAGTCAGGGATTAGCTAATTTACAAGTGTTTCGCGGTACTGATTCTGAACCATTGTGGAATCTTTATTTAGGTTATAATGCCGTTGCACTATCAGCATCACCTTCTATTATTGCATTGGGTCTAATTGATGGAAGTGTTCATACTTTTCATCCAGCTAAAGGAACTCGTCCTGTTCCACCATTGGCACCACCTGCGCCATTAGCACGACTTCATGCCGTTGGCAATGCAGTAAATATTAACACAAAATTTTTTATTTAAATATAAATTTTATATTTGTAAAATAATAAAAAATTTACTTTTTAAATTATTTTTGAAAAAAAATAGGTAATGGTGATATCAAGTTGTGGAGCAGTTCGAGTTTGGGAAATTGGAAATGTCTGTCGACTTATTGTTTCTACTTCGGCGGAACATTTGGCAGCGCCAGGAACTTCTTTATTGTCCTGCACATTGTATAATGGAATGCCACATCTTGCTTTTACGAATGCAAGAGCTTACATTTATCATAAAGAAATGGGTAAGATTTTTCATTGATAAAAGATAAATGATTAACAAAAAGGTAAGTAGAATAAAAATTCTTATAAATGGGGGATTTCATTTGAAATTAAAAGTTGGGATGATTTCACTTTCTCATATTTAGATACACAAGTTAAATTCTTATGAAAAATATTCTTTAAGGTGAAGAGAATTCACAAAATAAAATTTGAAAAAAGTGGGGTTTTTTGAGTAATTTCAATTTAATTTTTTTTTTTAAATGACCATCATTTTGTTATTTTTGAACATTTTTTAATTTTTCCAACGGATTTTTGTAAGAAAAATGAAAACTCTTTTAAATGCAAAAATAAAAAAAATGAGACATTTAAATTACACAGGGTGTCTAGCGACCTGGAACTTCTTGAAAACTTGGAAAAGTTCTTGAATTTTTTTTTTTACCTGGAAAACCTGGAAAAGTTCTTGAATTTTTCATCAGGTCCTGGAATTTTCATATTTCGGTGTAAGAATTTTTTTCCAACCGCGGTTTGGAAATACAAAATTCGTAAATGTTTTTTATGTACATATTCTTATGCAAAATTCAGGACTCGGATTGCAGGACTTTTTCGACTCTTTTCAATGTATGAGACTATTTTCAAGTTAATTTAATAAAATGTGACTTTTCCGACTTTTTCTAAAACATTTTTTAAAAAGAAAATACGACTTTATTAGAATAAAATTCAAATCTTCCAAAATTAAATTATTTAAGGGGGAGTGACACCTTTGACCCGAAACAAAATAGATTTTTTTTTTTTTTTTTGCTTAAACGATAGTTTATTATGTATAGAATAGAAATAAATTATACCATGAAAAGTGATTTCGAAGTTATTTTATGTGAAAAAAATCGAAATCTGCAGAAGGTGTCAAAGAGCTGCTTTAGAGTACGTAGCGGATTTTTTTTGGTTTGTTTATTTTTTTTTGCAAATAGATTTTTTGAAAAAATTTCACCCTAAAAATCGACTTTTTCCCCACTGATTTGCCCTGCAGAAAAAGGGGATCAACTTTGCCGTCCTCTATAGGCAACAAATTGAAACATTTTTTAAGTATAAATATATTTTCGTAAACTGAAAAAGTTAACAAATAAAGTCCTCAAAACCAAATTTTGTTTCCTGTGTCTTAAAAAAATTCATGAAAAACAGGTTCAAAAGAGACCTCAAAGGTGTCACTTTCCCTTAAAAGAAAAATTAATTATGTTTAATGATTTTAATTAAGCTCTTTAAAAATTCCATTTATTTATGTGTTTCAATTGTAAATTTCCTGAAGTTTAATTATTTCTAAAAATTTTTACTTGAAATCTCCAAAACTTCATTTACTTCTAAAAAATTTAACTGCAACTTTTTTTAAATTTCTTATTATTTCTAAAAATTTTTACTACATTTATTTTTTTGAATAATATTTTAATGAAGTTCTTTGAAAATTTAATTATTTAAAACATTTTCTAAACTTTTTAATTCGAACAATTTGCATAAATCATATTTCAAAAAAAAAATTTTTTTTTAATAATTTTAAATTATTTTTTAAAAAATTTGTCCTATACTAAATTGAATTATTGAAAATTTGTCTCAGTTTAATTTTGAATTATTGTAATTAAAATTTTTTTCAAAATATCCCTATGAAACATTTTTATTAAGTAATTAATAAAGCTTATGGGCGATTCCACGTGAGATTTACATATGACATTTTAAATTCGATAAATATATTTTTTTTCGATTTTTATAGAAAAAAAATGTTTACGTATTTTTTATAAGTGCTTAAATTTTCTCGAGTTATGAATTTTTAAAAATCTGATTTTTTCGAGTTTTTTTAAAATACACCTAATTTCAATGACATCTAACTCTAAAAGCATTGAATTTACGAATTATGACCAAGATACAAAAAAGTTTCAGTTTTTCATCGACTTTCAAAATATGTTAACGAAAAAAAAAATTTTGAATTTGTTTATAAAAAACAGCGATTATTTATAAACAAATTAAATTTTTTTAAATTAAGGGGCGATTTTTTTTTTATTTTATTTTTACACACATGAAAATAAGAGGAAAATTTTATAATAAGTTTTGGAGTGGGCCTGATGATCCTTTTTTTAATATAATTTGTTTAAAAAAAGTTTTTACTTTTTTCGTTTTTTTTTTTTATTTTTCGAAATGAAAAGTGTTTTGGGCACTAGGATCTTTTAGTAAACTCATAGAAAAGCAAATTAAAATACATTTTATTTTGAAAAATAAAAAAAAAACGAAAAAAAGTAAATTTTTTTTTAAAAACAAATTATATAAACAAAAGGATCATCAGGCCCACTCTAAAACTTATTACAAAATTTTCCTTTTATTTTCATGTATGTAAAAATAAAAAAAATTTTTTTTTTTAAATCGCCTCTAAATTTAAAAAAATTTAATTTGTTTATAAATAATCGCTGTTTTTTATAAACAAATTCAAAATTTTTTTTTTCGTTAACATATTTTGAAAGTCGATGAAAAACTGAAACTTTTTTTGTATCTTGGTCATAATTCGTTAATTCAATGCTTTTAGAGTTAGATGTCATTAAAATTAGGTGTATTTTATTTTTAAAAAACTCGAAAAAATCAGATTTTTAAAAATTCATTACTCGAAAATTTGAGCTCTTATTTAATTTCTAATTACAATTGTTTTATAATAATAATAATAATAATAATGAAATATTTACTAATTGTATTTATTTAAAAATAAATGAAAGGGACTGTTTTGATTTTTTTTGTTTAAAAATTTTTTTGTATAAAATTCAGGTGATTGTTAATAAAAATATAATTAAAAAGCATACATATATATATAATTATATGTTTATTTTGTTTCCTGTTCTATTAGGAACGTGGATGTTAATTGGCGATAATCAAGATCCCGTTTGGCGTTGGTCAGCTCATAATGCTTCAAGCACATCTGGAATACGTGTACCGAGAGGTCCTCTTTCTACATTACAAGAAGGACTTCATCGAACTGCAGGCAGCAGTCTGTCAAATCCTCGATTACCTCATAGTGCTCCATGCGTTGTTTCTTATTTAGAACAACAATTATTGGCTTCAAAAGCCCTTGGAAGTGCACAGGAATATATTCATTGGCTTATGGCTCTAGTTTCTTTTCTATTGACTCAAGGTTCGTTGAAAATTCAAATACCATTCTTTTTTTTTTCATCAAATTAACTGAAAAATCGAGATATTGTATATGTTTATTTTTTTGTTTCTTCTCTAGATGGTTTGGAAAAACGTCTGAGAATTATTCTTGATGACCTCATGGGACCGAGTCATAGTACGGCTGTCAAAAGTGTCTGGGAACCATCAATATTGGTATTGTAGTTTTCTTTTTTTCAAAACAATATTTCTGTTTGTTTTATTTTCAATTTAATGACACGAAGAATCGGATGAAATTTTATTTCTTAAATTGAAATTATAAATTGTTTTCTTTAAATTTCAGGGCATAAAGAAACATAAATTACTAGGAGACGTTCTAGTCGTACTAGGTGGACATCTTCGATGGCAGAGATTATATTTAGAATACCGTGAACAATTAACAACTATAAAAACTGCTGCTAACGTTTAAGAGTTTATTTTTCATTTTTTTTTTTATACTAAATATAAAATTTTGTATCTGTACATTGAAATTAGCTTAAGCTTAATGATTTCAATAGTTTTTTTTTATTTTATTTAATTTTTTTTTGTAAAAGATAATTTAAGTTGTATTTAAAAATGTGATTTATACGTGGAAAAAAAGTTTATTGTATATGTATGTACTTATTTTTTAAGAGAATTTAAAAGTTACTGAATTTTTCTCAGTAATTTCTTATCGCTGCTTCTTAAAGAAGCCCGCTATGTTCAGAATATAAAAATGTCACAAAAGAAAGGATGAATGGGAAATATATATATATATTTTTTTTTTTGATAATAAAAACAAATTTTCTAAACGATTGTATTGCATTTTACTTGTTCATAGGAATATATTATTGTTATAAATTGTAGTTTTACACCACCTTTTCTAAGCTCTGTTTTGTTTTTTATATAAAAATACATAGTAAAGCACAATGTGCAATAAAGCGAGAAATCTATAATTTTTTTTTTTTAAAGCAAAAATTACCCGAGGCTTTCAAGCTGAATAGTATAACAATTTTCTTAAATGTGCGTTATCAATATTCTTTTTAATGAAATAGCACCAGCGCTTTTTCATTTCAAATATACTTACGTCTCCAACATAAGTATAAAAAAATAACAATAGTCAATTCAATCTTTTTTTTTCTTTCCATAATTCATTCGATTTGCGAGGTTACAAAAAAATTTTCCTTACATCACTTTTCCATGCGTCTTTGAAATTCATTTGTACACATTTAATACACATTCATAATATACAAAAAAAAGAGACAAAAAAAAAATCTGAATTAAGGCTTGATCGTTTGCGATTGTTTTTTTTAAACTGATTGGTCCATTGTATTCAAGTTATATATGTACAAATTTGTGATTCCTGTAAAAAGTATATCACTGATATATTTTCTTTTTCTCACTTTAAAAATTCTCACTTCTGCAATATATCTGACTAGGGGGAAGTTTCCTTTTTTCTTTTTTTTTTTTTTTTGTTCAAGATCCAAAAAAGGTAAAAACATTACAAAGGTGGAGGTCCATTGGGATATTCGACTAGAGGTGTAAAGCTCCTTGCAAGATTATTAGAGAGCATACAACTATAATCTTCCTCGGCCGAAGGTACCAATGAGGCAGCTCCTAAAAGCAACAACATCAATCCTTGAATTGGAAGAGAAGCTCGTAGTACTCTTCCTAAAAATCGGCATCCACGGACAAGTTTTGTCTCGTTCTCTTCGTCACCACTGAAACATTTTTAAAAACAAAATTTTTCATTTATTTTTTTCATGTTGAGTGAGATTTTTTTTATGATATTGAAAATTAATAATAACTATTATTTGAAAAAAACAACTAAAAATCAGAGTGTCTAGCGTTTTTGCCAAATAAAATTTCAGGACTTTTCCAGGTTAAAAAATTTTTTTTTTTTAATAAATAATGACAAAAATACATTAAATGTACAAGATTAAATTATTTTAAGTCTCTTTTTATAATAACAGGCCTCAGATTATACGACTTTTTTTTTTAATTACGACTTTTTTCGACTTATTTTTAAAAAATGCGACTTTTTCGACTTTTTTTACATTTAAAAAAAAAATTTTAAACAAAATACCCTTTTTTTTAGTACACAATGTTAATATGCTAAAAGATTTTCTTTATTTCAATTATTTAAGAAATTTTTAATTAAAATTCTTCACTAAATTAATTATTTTTAATAATTTTAATGAAATTCTTCACAAATTCAATTATCTTAAACTATTTTTCAATTAAATTTTTTTATGAAATTTAATAATTCTTTATAATTTAAAAAAAAAGTATCAAATAAAATTACAAAAATTTTTAATTCAAAATCACTTGAAATTTAATTATTTTCAAAAATTTCAATTATAATATTCTTCGAAAATTAAATTATCTGAAAGCATTTTTCAATTAAAAACTTTCAAAATTCAATTTTTCTATGTGATTTCTAATAAATTCTTCATCAACAGAACTCACGAGAAATTTCTCTTATTATAATTATTGTCTGAAATTTAACACAATCTTTTGAAATTCAGTTATTTTCAAAAATTTCAATTTAAAAGCTTCCAAAGTTTAATTATTTCTAAAATTTTTCATGTAAAATTTTTTGAAATTTAATAATTTTAATTATAAATCTCCTGAAATTTAATTATTTTTAATGATTTTTATAATATTCTTCGAAAATTCAACTATCTGAAACCATTTTTCACTTAAAAAGTTTTCAAATTATTTTATTTTTGTCTGCAATTTCTAATAAATTTTTTAGTGAAATCATGAAAAATTTTAAATTAAAAATCACTTGAAGTTCAATTAATTTCAAAAATCTAAATTGTAAATCTTTGAAAATTCAATTACTTTTAAAAAATGTTATCTAAAATTATATATGATAAATTATTTGTAGTTCTGTAAAAATTTAATAATTATCTGAAAATTAACAAAATCTTTTGAAATTCAATGATTTCTAAAAATTTTAAATTTAACTCTTTCAAAATTATTATTGAAAAAAAATTTTTTATTTAAAAATCTGTAAAACTTGATGATGTATTATATGAAATTTTGTTGACCATAAAAAATAAAAACTATGACAAAACTTTTAATTCGAATAAATAGTTTAAATCAGACTTGAAAAAATTATAAAAATGAAAATTTAAGAATTTTTTTTTAGAAATTTGTCCTACTTAAATAAAATTTTGAAAATTTGTCTTACAATTTAGTTTGATTCTGAAATATTCAAAATAAATTTTCTTGATAATATTTTTATAGAATTATTCTCATTACGGAATTAATAAAATGAATTTAATATCTAATAACATTAGTTATTTAAAGTGAAATAAATATTAACCAATTGAATTTTGTTAAAATAAAAAAATCTACTAAACCCATTTTTTTTCTGTCTTAAAGTCGATCCAAGGCCTATAATAAACTAGTAATGAATAAATTTAATTTTTTGCATTTTTAGGCTTCGGATCGAATGTAGAGAAAGAAAAAAGTCGTTTTAGTCGATTTACATTATAAGAAAACTCAAAAAAGTCACTTTCTTTTATTTTTAAATAAATACAATTAGTTAGTAAATATTTTATAATAATAATAATAATAATTACTTATTATTATTATTATTATTATTATTTCCTATTATGTATTATTAAACAATTGTAATTAGAAATTAAATAAGTTTTATTAATTCTTTAATAAAAATGTTTCATGATATATTTTCAAAAAATTTTAATTACAATAATTCAGAATTAAACTGAGACAAATTTTTAATAATTAAATTTAGTACAGAACAAATTTTTTAAAAAATAATTTACAATTATTAAAGTAAAGAAAATGTTAGAAATATGATTTATGAAAATTGTTCGAATTCAGAAGTTTAGAAAATGTTTTAAATAATTAAATTTTCGAAGAACTGAATGAAAATACTATACAAAAAAATGAATTTAGTAAAAATTTCGAAAGTAATTGAAATTTAAAAAGTTTCAGTTAAAATTTTTAGAAGTAAATGAATTTTTGAAGACTTTAAGTAAAAAATTTTTAAATAATCGAATTTCAAGAAATTTTAAATTGAAACTCATAAATTTTAATTAATGAATTTTTTTTTACATAGATATTTTAAATAATTGAATTACAAAGGACTTTGAATTGAAAAATATTTTAAATAATGGAATTTTTAAAGAACTTGATTAAAATTATTAAATATAATTAATTTTTGCTAAAAAATTCTAGTTAATATTCTTTTAAATAATTCAATTTTGGAAGATTTGAATTTTATTCTAATAAAGTCGTATTTTCTTTTTAAAAAATGTTTTAGAAAAACTCAGAAAAGTCACATTTTATTAAATTAAGTTGAAAATAGTCTCATACATTGAAAAGAGTCGAAAAAGTCGTGCAATCTGAGGCCTGAGTTTTGCATAAGAATATTGTACATAAAAACATTTACGAATTTTGTATTTCAAAACCGCGGTTGGAAAACAATTCTTACACGAAATATATGAAAATTCCAGGACCTGTTGAAAAATTCAAGAATTTTTCCAGGTTTTCCAGGTAAAAAAAAAAAAAAAAATTCCACGATTTTTCTAGATTTTCAAGGAATTCCAGGTCGCTAGACACCCTGAAAAAGTGACCTGTCGCAAAATTTGAATTTTTTTTTTATGTGTGCAAAAAAAAAAAAGAACATTTAAAAGGAACAAGAGAAACAATAAGAGAAAAACATACTCTGTGGATGCTGTGTCGTGGAGTTGAGAAGTTCCAGAGGCGGCTTCATCGAGCAGCTACAATTAAACAAAAAGAGAAAACACAAACAATAAGAGATACTGTGCATTGTGAGTGATTTTCTAATAGGGTTTTAAAAAATTAGTTTAATTGTGTGCAACAATCTCTACGCAATAGCAAACAAATTGTGTTTACATATAAACAACTTAATTTTTTGAAACCTGAAAATTAGATTCAATTTCATGACTGATTGTGCAATTGTTTAATTTTATTTTGACTTTCATTTTGTTTTCGACTATAAATTTTTCAGAAAAATAAAAGTAAAAGTAAAAAATGAAAATCAAAGTCGAACTGGAAGTCAAGCTAAAATCACACAAAATTGCATTTCTGAGAGAGAAAAGCATGAAGAAAAATCTGAGAGGTCATATTTTACAAAATGATACATAATAATTTGAATTGTGAAAAAAGTTGAATAAAAATTTGTGACTTACATCTCGAGAAAGTGATGCCAATGAAGAAGTTGATGATATAAGGCCAACATCTCGAGGATCTAGACCAAGAGTTGCGCCAATTTTAACGACATAAACGCCTGTGAGTCTTCGCAATGACTGTAATTTAAGTTTTAATTCCTGAAGTTTTTGTCGCGATTCATTGTCCTCGTCTAATAAATGATCGGCTGATTCTTTTAGTGATAAAACGCGTGGTTCACATCTTTCCAAATCACTCTTTAATTCCCTGAAAGAATAGATAAATTTTTTATAGAAAAAAAAAATTATTTACTAATTTACAACTAATTTTAAAATTGACCAATCGTAATTTCCTTAATAATTTGTGATTGGTCAATTTTAAAATTAGCGCCAATATCTTTCTATCGATTTATTTGTTCGGTCATTTTCAATTTCGATCAAATGAAAAATTACTAACTTAAACTTTTGATATTTGAGTCGTAGATCAGAATCCTCAGCCAAATCAATTGGTTCACACGATCTTATTTCACTCTCTGTTTTTTCAATCCACAAAAGAAATTCCTCAATAATTTGATAAAATTGTGAATTTTCCATAAGTGTATTTTTCAATGCCAATTGCCATTTTTCAGCTGCCTTACAAACTTTGTCCCAATTTTTATTTGCCTTTGATAATCTTTTTTGTAATTCTTTTCTTCTTTTTTGTAATTCACTTTCTTCGGAATGATCATCATCGAGATGGGCACCAACAATATTTAAACTAATAACAATACTCTTGTGACTGTCAAGATCCAAAAGAAATTCCTTGTGATCTTGAATAATATCCTCCAATTGTTCAATATTAGTTGATGGCGAATGTTGTTCACTTTGTGTTCCTTCAGCGAATTCTAACCATTTTTCCAATCGCCACAAATCATTGTCCAATTGAGCCCAATTTCGACGCGAACAAATGGGACAAGTTAATCTTCCAGCATCACTATAAAAAAAAAAAAAAAATTAGTGATTAGCTATTGATAATTATGTTATAATTCTTTATTATCATTTCAATTATATATTATTTGTTCAGTGCAGATCTATTATAATACTATAATTAAATTTTGTTATTGTCGATAATTTCTCAAATTTTTGTATTTTAATTTTAGATTTTGATACTTTTTGGAAAAAATTTTTAAATTTTGTTGGGGCGAGTAGAAATTAGAATGGATAATTTGTTTTTGTTTAATTAGAGGCCGTTTTCACCGTGTGGATAAATTCAGGCCTCGGATTATACGACTTTTTCGAATTTTTCCAACTTTTCTTCAAAAATACAACTTTTTTCGACTTATTTTAATAAAATGTGACATTTTCGACTTTTTTTTACATTTTTTTCAAATTTTTAAACAAAATACGTTTTTTTAGTATACAATGCAGATCTTTTGAAATTCAATTATTTTCGAAAATTTCTATTTTAAAGCTTCTAAAATTTAATTATTTCTAAAATTTTTCATCTAAAGTTTTTTGAAATTCAATTATTTTAAAAAATTTCAATTCAAAATCAATTAAAATTCAATTATTTCCAAAAATTTCAATTAAAATTCAATTATTATCAAAATTTTCGATTTTTAATAAACTAAAATTCAATTATTTTAAAAAATTTAAATTTAAAATCATTTAAAATTCAATTATTTTCAAAATTTTTAATTCCAAATTAATTAAAATTCAATTATTTTCCAAATTTTCAATTCAAAATCAACCAAAATTCAATTGTTTTAAAAAATTTCAATTTAAAATCAACAAAAGTTTAATTATTTTAAAAAATTTCAATTCCAAATCAATTAAAATTCAATTATTTTCAAAATTTTCGATTTTTAATAAACTAAAATTCAATTATTTTAAAAAATTTAAATTTAAAATCATTTAAAATTCAATTATTTTCAAAATTTTTAATTCCAAATTTATTAAAATTCAATTATTTTCAAAATTTTCAATTCTTAATCAATTAAAATTCAATTATATTCATAGTTTTCAGATCAAAATTAATTATAATTCAATAATTTTGAAAAATTTCAATTCAAAATCAACTAAAATTCAATTATTTTCAAAATTTTCAATTCTTAATCAATTAAAATTTAATTATATTCATAGTTTTCAGTTCAAAATTAATTAAAATTCAATAATTTTGAAAAATTTCAATTCAAAATCAACTAAAATTCAATTATTTTCCAAATTTTCAATTCAAAATCAATTATTTTTCTAAATGTCGATTGACATTAAATTATTTTCAAAATAAACTAAAATTCAATTATTTTCAAAAATTTCAATTCCAAATTATTTAAAATTAAATTAATTCAAAATTTTCAATTGTAAATCGACTAAAATTCAATTATTTTCCAAAATTTCAATTGAAATTCATTCAATTATTTGAAACTATTTTTCAGTTAAAAAATTTTCAAATTATTGTATTTTTGTATGCAATTTCTAATAAATTTTTTAGTGAAATCATCAAAAATGCAAAATAATTAAAAATAACTTGATTTTCAATTAATTTCAAAAATAAAAATGGTAAATCATTGAAAATTCAATTACTTTTAAAAAATGTTATCTAAAATTATTTGATAAATTTTTTTTTAGTTCTATAAAATTTAATTATTATTTGAAAATTAACAAAATTTTTTGAAATTCGATTATTTCTAATAATTTTTGATAATGTTCTTATAGAATTATTCTCATTACAGAATAAATAAAATGAATTTAATATCTAATAACATTATTTATTCAAAGTAAAATATTCATTAACCAAATAAATTTTGTTAAAATTGAAAAAATTGATTCTTTCGATTTTTTTTCGAATATAAATCGACTAAAATATCTTTTTTTATGCCTTAAATTCGATTGGAGGCCCGTAAATTTAATCCTCCGTGAGGTTAAAGGCAGTAGATATATTCTACGTCTGCGCAGAAGCTATATACAAACATTCTGCGCAGGCGCAGAATATATCTTTTTGCCTTTAAACTCTCAGAGGATTAAATTTATCCATATGGTGAAAACGGAGTTATAGATCTAGAAATTAATTTATCAGAGTTGATAGAAGTTTTCTGTTATTATTTAATCTTATTTTATCTGTAATTAATTTGGATCTAAAGATGATGAAAAAGCTTTAGTGGAAGAAAACATAAAAATAGTTCCATATGTGATGGAATAGTTTACAGATGGTTTTTGTGAATAATGATTTTAACAGTAGCACGTGAATTAGAACAAAGCTTCTGATTGTCTAACAATACATTTTTTTAAAAATATAATTTATCAATAGCTTCTAATGGTTATCATCTCAGCAATTATGTTTGTAATTTATCTAGAATTCTAATAAATAATCATTCAATGATACAATTACAAATGGCAAAACAAAAATTCTAATACTTTGTTTTCTATATATTAACAGTGATCATTATCAGATGAAAATAAGTGATTTTGCCTATAATAATAATCAATGAAAGTGCAAAGGTGAAAATTGAATTATTAGTTTCTGAAAAGACTCACTGTGCAGAGAAAAGTATATATAATAATCTGCAGATGAAAAGATGATTACCAAGACGCTTTGGTACTTAGTACATGTCGATTTAAAATGTCTCTACTGAAACTGCGATATGATCCTATCATCACTGATGATCTTTATAAATATACAATAATGCTACATTTCTTATAGTCATATCATAATTATTAAATTATCTTTTTTTCTTAAACTTACTTCATCTCTCGAATTTGTTGTTCTCGTGCTCTTGCTTGTGAAAGAAGTCCCTCGTGTCTCGAAACAAGATCATCAATCTCTGTGACTTTTGCACATTCTCTATCAAATTGTCCATCATTTAAAAGTAAATTATTCAAATGCTTCGCCAAATCAATTGTAGATTGTGAACTTCCTATTAATTTTGCCTATGAAAATACAAAAAAACAAAATTTAATAAATTCATACTAATTTATTTAGAGAACCTAAAGAACTTACGATTGTTTTAGCAGCTGTTGTGAGACCAGATCCAGCTGTTGGTTCAGGAGTGACAGCATTTTCCAAAGAATTCAAAGCTAAACGACATTCATTAATCGCAGCTTCCAATTCAATAAGATAGGCATCACACGATGTCATTCTCACTAATTTCGGTAAAGTATCAACCTGAACAGCCGAGTCCTGCTCAAACTTTAATGTTTCAACCTGAACAGCTTCGTCGACTTCAATTCTCTCTTGATTCTCAATTTCAGATCGAAGCATTGCAACTCGATTCTTTATATCCCTCCAGAGTAATTGATATTCATCAACTAATTCCTGAAGTGTATTCACATCATCCGGATGACTTTCTCTCATTACCACTAAAGCTAATTCATCAGCTTTTTGCAATGTTGCATTCTGTGTCTCCAATTCATTTTCAATAGAAGCGAGTTGCTGTAATTTTTTCCGAGGTGTTGTTTGCTTTGGCGATGTCAAATGTTGTAATTCAGTAAGCCGCACATCTACCTGTGTGAGGCCAACCACCGCCGCACCATGAGCAGTGATAAATTCTCGATAAATCTTTTGCTCCTGTCTTAGTGCCGCTGTTATAACATTCACTCTATGACTCAATCCATGCCACCAATCAATTACATGACGAATGTTAATAGTCAATGATTTTAAATTCTCCGGCTCTAATCCACTTTTTGCCAAACGACTATAATTTTGTTCAAAAATTCTCAATGTAGAATCACGAGATTTAATCTCATCGGAAATTTTTTTCGCCTTAACTATTGCCTTTTCGGTATCTTCCTTGGAAATATCCTTAACAGCATTTTCCAATTCAAGAACACGACTTTCCATATCATTCAACCAATGTTCTTGATTCGATCTTCCAGCTTCTAAATCTTGTAGAAGTTTCCAAATTAGAATAATCTGCCTTTTACGATCAGCCGATCTGATACATGTTGCCTTCCATCGTTTCTCCAATCCCTCCATTCCAATTTTAATTGCATCCGTATTGAATGACGCTTTCCATGCATCACAATCGCTAAGTAAAATTTCACAAAGATTCAATACCTCACCAATATTTCCACTCTCGGTCTCTATCATTTTTTGCAATTGTTCATGATCCTCAAGTTTTTTATCAACTGCACTTTGACTCACTGAATCAATCATAAATGGTTCGGAGAGTTGACATTCTATACCACCAAGCCATGTTCTTATCTCGGCTATTCTCTTTTCAAGATTATTCATTGTTTGTACAAGATCTGTTAGTTTATTTGCTCTAGCTTTACCCGCTGTTAGTAAACGTGACCATCTCTCATTCATCTGTTCCAATGATAATTGTATTTTCCTTTTCTCCTTTTCCTCGGCAATTTCAATTAAATCTTGACCAGTATTGTGAAGCCACTCAAGTTCTCTTTGTTTTAATGCCATTTCAGCTTGTAATTCACATTCAATTCGTTTTAATGCTTCATCGGGCTCATCTAATACTCTTGTATCACAATTATTAATTCTTGCATCGGCATCATCCAACCACACTAACAATCTTCCTAATCTATTTTTCCATCTTGAATGTAAACCACATCTTTCACCTAATTTATAAACTAGTAATGCAAGCTGATGCTCGAGATCTCCATGCTGTTGCCATAGTAGGGAACTGTGTTGATTTAATGATTTCATGTCCGATGGACTAAGGCACTCGCGCAATTGTTCCGTGGTAACGCCAAGGCATTCGAGATCAGTCGTTGTACTTACGAGTTTACTTTTTAGATCTTGCAGTGAGTCCAATTGCTGTTGGGTTTGCACGAGATTGCATGGACCAGCGTGGAAGGCAGAACTCAAGGCTTGACTCACTTCTTGGAAGGTGGCAGTGATCTTGCTCGATTGCTCCACGTGTCGATCATTCAATCTGTAATTATATTTTTCATTAGTATAACTATATTGTCTTTACACATTCGCAGGGATCACTTTATTTTTACTTAGTCCTTTTTTTATCCATTATTTTTAAACTCAATTTTGGTTCAATATAAGCTCAAAGTGAACCCAACCCTGGTAAAAATTCTGGACTGTTTCCGGATTAAAATGGAATTAGTGCGAAACAGTCCGGAATTAGTTCGGCTAAATCCGAAATTTTCCCGATTTGTGTAACTAGGGAATCCGGAATTAATCAGGTCTAATCTGAAGTCAGTCAGATCAAATGTAACTAGTAAATACTGGAACGATGTAAATCGTTAATTATATTGGTTGGTATCTGTCTACGTTTTTGTCCCTCTCGATTAGTCATCTGTTTAGTTTTACGTGTCAGCGTGCCATGAAAATATGTTCTGGTAGTTGTTCCGCGTGAGGATTTGCGCATGTTTCTGCCGCCAAAAGACCCGATTGTCAGCATCGTTATCTAGGTTTTCCTGGGAGTTGCCGCCAAAATCGTTCAGAGAGAAGGATGCGGAGCGCTAGGGGTGATGAGAAAAAGGGAAAACGCGCCCTTCTTAACAGATTAGGAGATCTAGGGGAAGTTGGCGTCAATGGTCAGTCGATTTTGGATCGTATCGAAGAGAAGACCCTTTCGCGGGACTCATAATTGGGTATCGCGTTACACGCTTAATTATTCTGCTAAGTAATTTGTTGTATGGTTAAATAAAACTTTATTCTTTGTTAACTAAATGTGAGTTATTGTGTTTCTTATTTGTCGTTTGTTATTTGGATTTATCAGCGTTATTCAACGTCGCTTTAGTGTCGGCATTTCAACGCTGGTGAGTTGTTTCTTGGTTAATCTTGTTTTGGGATCATCAATGCAATGATGGTTTTCCCTGGTCGGAATCTTTCTTTGGTTATTTCAGCGTAATTTCAGTTAAGTATTTTGTGTTCGATTAACGTGGACAATGCACGCGGGTTTTTATTAACGCGCGAAAGTCTACCATTATAATGTAGATTCTAGATTTACTAATTACACAGGGTGGATTAATTTCGGATTCAATAGAAGTAATTTTGCATTTATTAGTTGTGTATAATCCAATTAATTTCGAATTAAACTGGAATTACCAGTCACACAAATAATACTAATTTCGGACTTAACCGGACTAATTCTGGATAATAGAAACCAGACTGTTTCGGATTATTTCTACATTCCGAAATATTAACCAAAATAGTGACTACTGGCCAGAAGGCAACATGTCTTTTACACCGACAGTGAACAGTTCTTATAGAACTTGAGACTCATCTCAATTGTGAGAGAACTACATCTATTGGCATGATTAGTAAATACAATAAAAGCAGCAAAACCTAACTAAATCCCAATTGTTGGGGACTAATTGCGGATTTAATACATACAGAATGTCGGATTGTACCAGGATTAGGATTTTTTTTACCAGATTGATTCAGGGTTATTGTGGACTAATACCAGATTTTCTACATAAAGATTTCAGATTACTACGGACTCATGTCGGATTCAGTTTTTTGGCAGTTCTTAATCCGGACAGTTGAGTACTGTTTGCGGATAGTTTACATATAAATTCTGGATTTTTCTGGACTCATTTTGGTTTGTTTTTTGATCTAACTAAAAACAAATTGTTGCGGGGTAATTGCGGATTTATTTCATGTCAATTTCGGAGTATTCCGAACTGAGCTCGGATTTATCTTATCATCCAGACTGATTGCTGATTAATAGTAATCATTTTCGGATTGTTTTCCTACAATGTCTGAACTAATTCGGAGTGATCTGTCTGTATTTAATCTGAAATCAGTCTGAAATTTTAACCAGGGAATGTAGATTCAAACTAGACGTATGTGCACGTCGAATGTAGGTTCTAAGTCTGAACAATGTTGGTCTAATGTTCGTTTAAACTAGGCTTCAATATAGGTTTATCCCGAATAATCCAAAACCAGTTAAACAAAAAGAATGGTTATGTGCGACAGCGAAAAGTAGGAGTACCTGCAGGGTAATACTTTGGTTAAATCTCTTATTGGTTCCGATTGCTAAGCTGCTGGCGTGGAGGTTATGACCAGTGGCCTGTGGATGCAGGAGGGCAATTTCGCTTTGAAAGTTCCGCCCTGGCGGATCGACGAAATCCGAAGTGCCATAAATCCATAGCACATTCGTCTCACATTCGCTAAATATTCAGTTTGAGTGAAAATATTGTGGAACATCAGTAGAAAATTGTCATTGAATTGAATAAGTGAACTATTTAGTGATTGATTTATGCCGTATTTGTGATAAATTGAAGGATACATGTTTTGAGTAAGCTTCGCAAGGAAATAAATCCAGACGTCATCCACACAAGAGTGGTAGCAGTGAGAGCTACGAAAAAAATCGACGTCCTGATTAAAATCGCAGACGACTCCAATAAGGAGATTTTCATTACGAAAATAACGAAGGTGGTCAGAAGCATATGTAGTCGATGGATCGAAGGGTCAGACTTAATAATTCGCTTGGATTGCTTTAACCAAGAAGAGCTGATCATAAGTTCACAGATAGTAAGAATTTGAAGACTTCGATTCTGCCTTGGAGAAAGCCAAGAAGACTCTCGCAATAAAAAATAGGCAAAGACATGATTGCGCTAGGATCCTTCACCTACAAAGATAAAAACCATACGACAGTTTCGTAGGTTAAAGATTAGTTCAGCCAAAGGTTGTGGTTTTTAGTGGATCGACCAGAACAAGAGAAATTATTCCCAAATAATCCCCGAGTTTAAATGAATTTTACGTTAACATTTGGTTACATAAAGTTTTACTAAATGGGAATTCGAAAAAATTTTTGCTTAAAATTCATGTAATATACTATTTCTTGATTTCTTTTTAATCTAAAATTGTACAAAAAGTCCAATGTGATCCCTGCGATAGGAAACAAATAACATTCTCAAATTATAAATCATACCTCTTTATCCTGGTTATGAAATCTCTCCACGTCTCCAAACTGGCTCTCAAATTAGTAATCCTCTGTACATTTGCAGCATGCTCCATTCTCACCGATACGGCTAAAGTTTCATCACAATTAATCAACAATTTCTCCTGTTGAAGCTGCAATGATTCTGTCTGAATTTCTCCATTCGGTATCCTATCCAATAAACTCTCTATCCTCTTCAAAATCTTATCGATTCTACTTAAATGAATAAATCTCAATTGTAATCTTCCCTTCTCTCTCTCAATTTCCTTTAACCACACCAAAAGTTTATTTTGATCAATTCGATATTTATCCCAAGCCGAAAGACGATCTCTAACAGCCGCGTGTCTCTCCATAATTCTCGCGAGTGTTTCATTATGAAGATTCGTGAGAGTATTAAATTGCTCTGATATCGAGAGATCACGACCTTCTCCGGCGCGAACCATTAGAATTAAATTTTGTTGATCAGTCAATAGATTTTTGTGAACTTCACAGAGATTTCGATGTTCCGAGAGTCCATTATAGTCTCCTGGAACGTCATTTGAGAGAAATTCTTGAACGTGAGTTAAGTATTCTTGCCATAGTCTCAAGGCAGTTGCAACATCTTGGGTTTTAACAAGACGTGCAGAAAGTCTATGATATTGTTGGAAGGTTTCACGGAAGACACGTTGCCACAATTGAAGAACATCTACGATTGTTGGTTCTTGAGTGGAAGCTTCCAAGGTTCGTTCCTTGATGGAATGCAGTTGAGGTTCAGTTCGTGTCAAGGCCAAAAGATGATTTCTGAGTAATTTTAACTGTTCATTTGATTCTCCATGTCCTACCGATGTTATACTCTGAAAAAAAAATTATTATTTTTTTACTAAAACAATTATTCATTCATGAGAATTTGGTTAATGAATCATCCGTTTTTTTGGGGGGGTAAAACATATAATTCAAATACAAATAAAATTCCTTTGGAAAGTCCATCCTGAATGGAATGTTTGAATTTAATGGTTTTCTTTGTTTGTCTCTCTTATCTTGAAATCGTAAATGAAGGCAATTGAGAGCCACGAGTTTACGTACAATAGCTGTATATATATTGGAAAATAATGTATTCAACTTAAAAGTTTTAGCCAAAGTAAAACTCTCGAGGTGGCCATTCAGCTGTTGAGGATATCGTGACTGATGTAATTGTTAGCGGAAAAGCCCTTCGACCTTGACATAACAAATTGTTTTGAAACTACAATTAAAATATAAGCGCGTGCCGCGATGATTGAGTTGTGCCAAGCACCGCAAGCACCTCTCTCATTCTAGATACAATACGTGGTGAATCAAGTGCGAATTCTGACACTGAATTTATAAATATTATATTATCACCACTCTCGCACTGCATTGAATTATGCAAAATATGTTTTCATTTCTATTCATGTTGGAGTGGAAGAGGATTCTTCAATATTTTTTTCTGATGTTCAAATTCTAACGCGATGACAATTATTATTGGATAAACTTGAGAATTTTATGAAAGGAAATAATAAATCTCATCCATAATCTTACACTTTGGTGTCCTTTTCTTTTTACTGTTTTTAAAACGGAAAAAACCAAAAGTAAACAATTCAAAATTTTGATTCAATGCTTCAAAATATTTCATTGACTACATGATTCATTAGATAGTAATTTAGAATACTTTAGGTACTTTAAGATAATTTGGAGTTCAAAAGGTTGTTCAGGATATTTTAACATACTTCAGATAATACAGAATACTTTAGATAATTCAAAGTACTTTAAGATAATTCAGGATATTTTAGGGTATTTCAGAATATTTTAAAATAATTTAGAAGACTTCAAAGTAATTTACCAAATTTTACATTATTTCAAAATATTTCAAAATATTTCAAAATAATTCAGATTAATTCAAGGCACTTCAGATAAGTCAGGATACTTCAAATAATTTTAAATACTTTAAGATAATTTAGGATATTTCAGAACATTTCAAGATAATTCAGAGTACTTCAAGATAATTCATTATATTTTAGAATAATAAAAGATAATTCAGATAATTCATGGTACTTTAAGGTACTTAAGGATATTTTAAGACACTTTAGATAATTCACGTTACTTCGGATAATTCAGAATGCTTCATATAGTTCAAAATACTTCAAGATAATTCGGAATATTCTAAAATTTTTAAAGATTATTCAAAGTACTTCAAGATAATTTAGTATATTTGACGATTACTTCAGATAATTCAGGATACTATAGAAAGTTTGAAAATAATTCATAATATTTTAAAATATTTCAAGATACTTCAGAGTACTTCAAGGTACTTTAGGATACTTTACGATACTGCAGATAATTGAGGATACTTTAGATAATTCAGGATATTTAAAAATCTTTAAAGCTACTTCAGAGTACTTTAAGGTATTTCGATTCGGAATATTTTAAGATAATTTAGAGTACTTCAGAGGACTTTATTCAATTTTAGATAATTCAAAAATTTTTTTTAATAATTTGGGAGATTTCAGAATAATTCTGATTAAACCAAGGTACATCAAGATACTTTAGATATAAGTCAGGATACTTGAAATAATTCTAAATACTTCAAGATACTTAAGGATATATGTTGATTACTTCAGGGATACTTTAGATAGTTTTAAGATAATTCATGATGTTTTTAAAAAATTTCAAGATAATTCAAAGTCCTTCAAGGTACTTTAGATTATTTGTCGATTAGTTCAGATAATATTAATATAATTTATGATGTTTCAAAATACTTCAGAGTACTTTAAGATACTTATAGATATTTTAAGATACTTTAGATAATTCACGATACTTCATACAATTGAAAATACTTTAAGATAATTCAAGTTATTCTAAAATCTTTTAAGATAATTAAAAGTTCTTAAAGATAATTCAATATATTTGAGCATTATTCCAGATAATTCAGGATAATTCATACAATTCAAAATATTTTAAGATAATTTTGAATATTCCAATAAATTCTTTTCAGATAATTCAAAGTACTTCAAGATAATTCAGGATACTTAATACAATTCAAAAAATTCTAAGATAATTTGGAATATTCCAAATTCTTTTCAGATAATTCAAAGTACTTGAAGATAATTCAATGTATTTGAGCGTTACTTCAGATAATTTAGAATACTTTAAATAGTTTTAAGATAATTCATGATGTTTCAAAAAATTTCAAGATTCAGAATACTTTGTACAATTAAAAGTACTTTAAGATAATTCAGTGTATTTTAAAATCTATCAAGATAATTTAAACCATTTCAAGGTACTTCAGGATATTTTACGTTTATTTCAGATAATTTAGAATACTGTAGATAGTTTTAAGATAATGCAGGATGTTTTAAAATTTTTTAAGATACTTTTGAGTTTGTAAAGGTATTTCACGATACTTCAGATAATTCACGTTACACTTGAGATAATACAGAATACTTTAGATAATTCTAAATACTTCCAAGATAATTAAGGATATTTCCAAATTTTTCAAGATAATTCAGAGTACTTGAAGATACTTCGTGATATTTCACTGTGTGGATGAATAATTTACATTACTTTAGGTAATTTAGGAGATTATTTTTTTTCTGTATTGTAAATTTTTCTAATGATGTAAATACCTGTTGAACAGAGTCTAGGAAATTTTTCGTTTGATAAATATCTTCTCGTGCAAGTTCTTGATTAATTGCTCTTGCATCGGCGTTATCAGCCAGTGATGATAGTGTTTCTCGCACATCTTCAAGACGTTTTCCCAGTGCCTCGACTTCACATTGAAGAGGTCCATTTGCATCCAAGCCAACGTCGGACGCAATTTGGGCCACCAGACCTCGAAGTTCAGCTACTCGCTCTTTATGTTCTGCTAATGTGTTTTCACAAACCTATAAAAAGAAAATGATGATGATTTAATTATCTCAAAAAAATTTAATTAAACTCATTAAAAATTTTTTTTTAGATATTTTATTAATCAATCTAATTAAGTAAGCATTTAGTAAATAATATAATTAATTAATAATCGATTATTAAATTACCTTAGTAATTGATTAATTTTACTAATGAATTTAATAAAATAATTAATTAATTTTTGAATATTATTTCAAACTGATTGATTAAATAAATATTAAAGGGAATAAAATCTTTATCTGGAACAGCGATATATGTTTCTCTAGAATAGCGAAAACTTTCGATGTTTTAGTGAAATATATCGTTATTCCAATGAAACTTATCGCTGTTCTAGGTGAAAATTTTTTTCCGTGTATAATGACAAAATTGAATTAAAAATAATAATTTAATAATTAATTAAAAATTAATAATTTAATAATTAATTAAAAATTAATAATATACTTAATTAATAAAAAAGTATTTTTAAATGTAAATAAAAAAAAGTACTAATGTATAAAGCAAGTAAAAACGTATAAAATATAGTAAAAAAAAATTTTTCGAAAAAATTAATTTAAAAATTCTGTTTTCTACAAGAAGGGAGTTTCATTCATAAAAGAGGCAAAAATTCATTAGACTGAAAATTTAAACCCTACAAAGAATTTACACATGTGCCAGGTCGATATTTATAGAATTTTCGAGACTAAGTTCCCTGAATCTTTCGAGAGGGTTTATAATTCCACATATATATAGTATAAATACCTACATATTTATTTCTATTTTTTTTTTTTAATGTTATTAATAATTTTTTTTCTTATAAATAAATTACAAAATAAGATAGTCATAATATTTTTAAATATAGAACAAAAGTATTCTCAATATAAAAGGATTCCTTCCTGTTGTTTTAATGTAATAATTCCTATGTTAAAAATGATCACAAAAGTGTTCTTCTCAAATTGAGATAATTTTTTTTTTAATATTTAATTTAAAATCTTATTAGTAAAAAAAAAAGTATATATTGAAGATATTCACACACGAAACATTAATTATATAAAAAAGATAATTAGTGATAATATCCAGGAACTTAATTGGTGTTAGAATTAACTACTTAAAAAGAGTCTTTACTTCCATGTTTAAAAACCTTAATTTACTAAATTATATGACAACATTCTTATAAAAATTCTTTCTTTTTCTAAGAAAAAAAAAATAATTTTATTGTGAGAAAAAGAAAACAATAATTATAAAAAATTTTAGAGAAAAATTTTTTTTTTTAATTAAAAAAAAAATAAATTTTTAACAGAAATAAATTTTAAATTATTTAATTTATAATTTTTATTTATAATTCTAATAAAATAATAATAATAATAATAATAATAATAATAATAATAATAATAATAATAGAAGTAAATTTTAATTAACTAATTAATTAAAGAACGTAAAGAAAAAATAATCAATACTAAACAATATTGTGCAATAAAAAACAAAAATAATTTTAAAAAAATTTAATTGTAAAAGTGAAATCTTACTCTGATTTCTTCCGGTGTGCACATAATTACAATTTTTCCCAATCACATTTTTCAAAATCTGCTTTATTATTAAATTCCTTATATTTAGACGAAAATTCTTTGAATATTTTCAGTTTGATGTCGCGCACATGGTCACAATGAAAATACCGGCATACCCCATGTGACCATCATGTATATACTATATATATATATATATGTTTTCCACTCGTTTCAAAAAAAATATTTTTCCGATTTATTCAACAATTTTTTTTATAAATTAATTGTTTACAAAAAAAACATACACTATATTATACATAATTATAAATATTTAAAAAATATATTAGACAATAAAAAAAAATTATAACTAAATTTTTTTTTTTATAATATGCAAAAATAAATTTTTTTCATTTATTAATTATTAAGAAAAATAATAATTAAAATTGAAGCATAAAAAAAAAAAATTTTTTTGCCGGTCTCTTACGCGGATTCGTTCACACACACAAAATTTTATATCTAAAGTAATTGAAGATAGCAAAGAAATGAAGAGAATTAAAAAATATCCATAAAGTTTAATTCTATCGTCATTGACTTTGATCTTTGTAACTCAATGATATTGTGTATGTATATATATGAAGAGATAAAAGGGTTAAAAAAGTCACACTTTAAAAGCACATGGAATGACGCGCGCGAGTACATCAACCAGCTTCTGGTTATGTTCTGGACCAGACTGGCGTCTCTGTCGTTTCTGTATATGTATATATGTATAAGGGGATCGATGAGAGAACGTCAGTGCGACTCCCTTTTCTCTCCCTTATCTCACGAACACACCCTCTCTTCAAACTTATAGGGGGGTAAAAGTCCTTTACTGAGTCATTGTAATAATTTTTTTTTCCAAATCCAGCAATTTTCATTATTCTACAATTTTCTAATTTAATCTCTTTCTCACTTTTCCCCACTTTTTAACAAATTATAAAATTTAATTTTTTTTTTCTAATAGCGAAAGCAAAATTTTGCATACTTTTTTAAATAGAAAAAAATATTCTCATTATGAGAGTATTTATGAGACGCATGGTTAGATACTAAAAATCATTAGTTAGAATTTTTTATTTTATGGAATTTCATTTGTCATAATTATTTTTTTTTATTTTTATTTTTTCGAATTAGTATTTTGCAGAATTTTCATCAAAACGATTTTCTATATAATTTTTATATTTAACCGAAAATTCACTTCACAGAATTTTTATTTCTTCGAATTTTTATTTGCTCGAATTTTCATTTAACATAATAGGCATATTGAAGAATTTTTATTGGGTAGAATTTCATTGCATAGGATCTCTTAAGGATATCCAAAAAATCGGCGGTTTGGATATCCTTTGGATATTCCATGGATATCTGAGGATATCCACAGGATATCTTCTGGATATCTCTATAGACTTTCATAAATGTCCTCCATATATCCCATAGATATCGCCAGGATATCCCATAGACATCATCAGGATATCCCATAGATATCGTCAGGATGTCTCACATATATTTTCAGGATATTCTCAGTATATCTTCTGGAGGTCAAGAAGATATTCTCAGGATACTGTTTTTAAAGTCATTATATGAGACTACGAGTGAGAATATTCTGTGAATTAAATTTTATATAAATAAAATAAAATGCAACTTGTTTTTCGAGAAAGTTGTTTAATTTGAAAAATTATTAACTAATTTTTTTCTCATTCGTGATTCATTTCTTTATTCATATGCTTAATATTGTCAGAAAATAAATTGGCTTTAAACAATATAAATTCTTCCCCGCAAATAACGAATAACTATATTAATATTAATTATACATTAAGTGCATGAGTTTATTTAAAAAATTTGAAAAATGCGTTTCAAATCTTCATTTAAAATAAATTAGAAGCTCATAAGATTTTTGTTTTTATTATATTATTATTCATTATATTAGCTTAACAATTTTAACCTTTAAAAATATATGTTGAGATATTAAATATCCCGTGAATATCCTAAGAATATCCCACAGACATCATGAGGATATCCCATGGATATCCTGCGATATAATATCCAATAGATATTTTGTGGATGTCTTAGGGATATCCTGTGGATATCCTATGGATGTCCTGTTGACGTCCCACAGACCGGCGGTTTGGATATCCTAGGGATATCCTATGGATATCCCAAGATATCCTGGGGACCATTCTAGGATATCGACCATTGATATGGATATCCTAGGGATATCCTTTTGTTATGAGGGGAACAAATGAAAATTCATCTGAATGAATAGAATGAAAATTCTATGCAATGAAATTCTACCCAATAAAAATTCTTTAAAATGACTATTATGTTAAATGAAAATTCGAGTAAATAAAAGTTCTGACAAATAAAAATTCTGTGAAGTGAATTTTCGGTTTTGATGAAAATTTTGCAAAATATTAATTCGATCAAATAAAAATTCGGCTCAAAAAGTAATAATAATATTATTTTCAAAATTTTGTTTTATTCACTCTAAATCTGAATCAGTGAAAATTTCTATTAATTCAAATCAGTGGCTCAGTTTTCTTTAATTCACCAGTGGAATTTCACTGGGAATCAGTAAAAACCACTGATTCTCAGTGAAATTCCACTGATGAATTAAAGAAAACTGAGCCACTGATTTGAATTCAGTGAAATTTTCACTGATTCAGATTTAGAGTGTTCTTAAACAAATTTTTTTTTATTAAATTTCATTTTTTCAAATGATTTTGAGGAAATTTGAAAATATTTTTTATATTCTTTGGAATTTACTATATAATTACAAAAATATGATCACATTTTTTGATTATAAAATTTATTTAAGAATGAGACATATTGTGTAAATACTTGAGTTTTTATCGAAATCTAATCTGAAGAGGACATTGTATTGTGTACGTGTGTATATATATATATATATATATATATATACAAAACGAAGGAGGGAAACTGCACTCGAAATGGTCTAAAGCTATGCCAGATGTTAAATAGTCATCAGACGTTTCTCATTAGCAATATAACATGAAGATTATCGACAACCAACAATTTCTTATCCTAACGTTAAAAAAATTCAGTTCTTTTTCTAACAATACATTATTATTATTATTACTATTAACGTTTTTTCAATTTCCTGATAATTTCATTTTTTTCATATTTTTTAAACCAAATAATTTTTTAAAAATGTATTTTAAATTTTTATAAAAATTGTTAACTTTTTTTTTTTATAAATTTAAAATAATTAGTCAAGACAAATGTGTTTTCCGCAGAATTATTTTATTTGTTAATAAAAATTTTTCTGATAAAAAAAAAATTATTAATTAAAATCCAATTAATTGAAATAAATATATTTAAATCATCAAAATTGTTATTGTTGGTTGGAGGTTTAGAACATAATTATATTTCTGAATATATGAAGGAAAATTGTTTTCTAAAGAAAATTGAAATTATGGTGCGCATTATTCATTATCTTTACTCACGAAACAAATAAAGTGCACACTAGATAATATGTGATTTAAGAATAAGGAATATGAGTAATTGCAATATGTGCTATATATATATGTAGTTTTTCAGAGTGGTTGAAAACGCGTTATAATAATTGATTATTTTAATGTATTAATTTAAATGATTGACAATTTTTTTTTCTAAAATTAAAAGTTTATTTTGAATTCCAAACTTTCTATAAAGAAATTTATTTCTTTTCTCAAATTATCCGTTTTTAATTATTTTTTTTTAATTATTATTTTATATTTTACAAAACGGTATTAATTAAGAAGGAAAAACTGAGGAAATGTAAATTTTACAGCTAGCTATAGTAAGTCATTAAAATTCTTTCTTTATATAGCTTTTTTGAATTTATTTTCAGATTGTTAAACGTCACTAATTGATTGAAATTATAATATATGCCGTTAACGCTAATGTTCTCAATACTGTTTTAATTATATGGATTAAAAAATCGTATGTGTCATAAAATAAAAAAAAATCACATTTTCAAAACTTAATATTTTATAAGGACGAATTTTAATTTAGCCGAATTTTTTGAGATAAATTTTTCATTAAACTTAATTTTCTTATATCTATAACTTTTCATTTCCTCTTTTCAAATAAACATAATTTTAATGTCACCGAATTTTAATTAAACAGAATTTCTATTCGACAGTAATTTTTTTCGATATCTTATCGCAATAATAATAATAATAATAATAATAATAATAATAATAATAAAAATAATAGTAATAAAATCAAACGAATCCTCGAGTCTCCAATCTATGAACTGTCGGTAATGTAGTTAATTAATTTTTGCGGGAAATTCAAATCGCTAACTATAACTACAGAACCAAGAATCATATATATATGGGAAGCTGCTCAAAAGATTCATTTACTATCTTTAAAATTGTCTTTTTTCTTTCTTTTAATAAAATATTCGTTGATCATTACCTTGACCTGCTTGAGAGCTTCTTCTGGTGGAAGATTAGCAACACTCCCCATTTGGGTGTCAACCCAATTTTTCACCGTTGAACTTGAATCACGATATTGTTGCCAAAGTTTAACAGCGTGTTGATATTTATTGCAAAGGGCATCCAACTCGGCCCTGGTGTCTTCCCAAGCCTGGACAGCTTCATTTACTGCAGCTTCAACTCTTTCGCTGACTTCAGCGGCACACGACTCACGCAGGGGTTCAGCCGCTGCTTCAAGTTCACCAATCAGCACTTCTCTGGATCCCAGATCACCATTTAATCCCTAGACAACAAAAAACAATGATTATTAATTAAAATCTACGTCGTATCATGTTTTTAGAAGAAATTATAAGATAAGATCACGGAATCCACGAAACAGGGTCGCGGAGTTGACGAAACTAGATCATTCTATCCGCGAAACTGAATCACCAAATCCGTGAAATTAAATAACAAAATCCGATAAATTAGCTAGCGGATTTGGCAAAAATTAGATCATGAGTTCCGCAAAACTAGATCTTGGATCTAGTATCGCGGATTCCGTGAAGTAGTTTTGCTTAATCCGCAATCTAGTTTCACTAAATCCGTGATCTAATTTCACGGATTCCGTGAAAATAGATAGCAGATTTAGCAAAATTAGATCATGGAATGCAAAACTGTGTCGCGAATTCCGTGAAACTTGATCACCAAACTCGTAAAATTAGATTACAGATTTAGTGAAACTAGATCGCGGATTTAGCAAAAATACATCGCTCACGGAGTCCGCAAAACTAGGTGATGGTATCCGCGAAATTAGATTAACGAATCCGTGAAATTAAATCACAAAATCCGCGAAACTGAAGTTTTAGATTTTGCAAAATCTGATAACGGATTTAGCGAATAACTAGATATCAAGTACTATAAATCCAAATACTATAAAATACTATACACGGAATCCTATAAATCAGGAAGCGGATTGGGCAAAATTAGATCATGGAATTTGCGAAAATAGGCAACATTTTTAGATCACCGAATCCGTCATATTAGATCACGAAATACGTGAAACTTATGCTGCCGATTGCGTGAAATCATATTGCGGATTTAGTAAACTAAATTTACGGAGTTGGTGATATCAGAACACGGATTCCACGAAACTAGATCACCGGATGCGTGACATTAGATCACGAAATCTATGAAATTAAATACGCTAATTTCGTGAAATTAGTTCTAGGATTTTGAAAAGTAAATCACGTATTTGTTGAAAACAGATCAGGAAATCCGCTAAACTAAATCGCAGATTTAGCAATATTAGAGCACAGTATCGATTAAATTAGATAATAGATTCCGCGAAAATAGCAGATTACCGAAACCATGAAATTAGATCACGGAAAATTCAAGAAACTTGATCACGGAATCCGCGAAATTAATTTGAGGATTTAGGAAAACTACATCAAGGAATCCGCGAAACTAGTTCGCGGATTCAGCAAAATTATTTCACGGAATCCGCGAAGCTCCGTCACGGATTTAACAAATCTACTTCATGGAGTCTTCGAAACTAGATCGCGGATTTAGCAAAACTACTTCACAGAATCCGCGATATTAAGTCATGGTTTTCGAGGAATTAGATCACGGATTTTGGCAAAGTAGATAGCAGATTTAGCAAAACTAGATCACGGAATCCGCGAAACTAGGTCGCGGATTTGGCAAAAATTCTTCACGGAATATGCAAAAGTGTGTCGCAAAATCCGTGAAACTTGATCACCAAAATCCGGAAAATTAGATCACGGAATTTTGTAAAACTAGATCGCGGATTTAGCAAAATTACTTCACGGAATCCTCAATACTAGATCCTGGTTTTCGAGGAATTAAATCACGGAATCCGCGAAACTAGTTCGCGGATTTAGCAAAACTATTTCACGGAATCCGCGAAGCTACGTCACGGATTTAACAAAACTATACTTCATGGAGTCTTCGAAACTAGGTCGCGGATTTAGCAAAACTACTTCACAGAATCCGCAATACTAAGCCATGGTTTTCGAGGAATTAGATCACGGATTTCGGCAAAATAGATAGCAGAATTAGCAAAACTAGATCACGGAATCCGCGAAGCTACGTCACGGATTTAACAAAACTACTTCATGGAGTCTTCGAAACTAGGTCGCGGATTTAGCAAAACTATTTCACGGAATCCGCGAAGCTACGTCGCGGATATAAAAAAATTACTTCATGGAGTCTTCGAAACTAGTTCGCGGATTTAGCAAAACTATTTCACGGAATCCGCGAAGCTACGTAACGGATTTAACAAAACTACTTCATGGAGTTTTCGAAACTAGGTCGCGGATTTAGCAAATCTACTTCACAGAATCCGCGATACTAAGTCATGGTTTTCGAGGAATTAGATCACGGATTTCGGCAAAATAGATAGCAGATTTAGCAAAACTAGATCACGGAATCCGCGAAACTAGGTTGCGGATTTGGCAAAAATACTTCACAGAATATGCAAAAGTGTGTCGCAAATTCCGTGAAACTTGATCACCAAAATCCGTAAAATTAGATCACGGAATTTTGTAAAACTAGATCGCGGATTTAGCAAAACTATTTCACAGAATCCGCAATACTAGATCCTGGTTTTCGAGGAATTAAATCACGGATTTCTCGGAAATAGATAACAGATTTACCAAAACTAGAACACGGAATCCGCGAAACAAAATTGCGGATTTAGCGAAATTATTTTCAAGGAATCCGCGAAAGTAGGTCGCGGATTTAGAAAGACTACTTCACGGAATATGCAAAAATGAGTTGTAAATTCCTTGAAACCTGATCACCAAATCCGTAAAATTAAATCACGGATTTAGTGAAACTAAGTCACGGAATCTGCGTGTCTAGATCACTCAATCCGTGAACTTGGATCACAGATGTAGGTTCAATATATAGGTTTAAAGCAGATTTATTGCTTAGAATTCTTTGTTAAATATATATTTGGATATATATTTATGCGAAATATTTTTTCGAGTATTTCTAAAATATTGCTTCTTAATACATTCCAATAATTCTTATAGAATATTTCAGGAATTAGTTCCATGGAATATTCGGATCAATCAAATTTAATTCTCATAAAATGATATAGTTAAAATCAATTTAGATTTACTTTCATCTGGCTGAAGGTAGTACTCATCTTAACTAGAATGAAAGTGAACTTGAAGTGTTTATTTGTATATTTGTATTGTACAGGCAAACTTTACTCTCAGTATGTATATATGTATAGCATCAAGTGGTCTATCGATTTCGCAGAAAACTAGGTAAGCTTATTATGTTATATATATATATATATATAGCGGTTACCCACTATAAGTATTAAATAGAGAAGTTCGGAAAATCAGTTTGGGTTAACGAACTCGCAGAGTCGTCGCAAAATTAGTCTCTACGAAACTCTGACCGAATTCATGAGCGACATGTCTGAAACATACATTCTCTCTCACAGAGTTCAAGTATTTATAGATGGCATTATAAATTCAATTAAACATTTGTCCCTTTCTTGCTATTCTTTTTTTCATTTTCCCTATTAATTTTGAGATAAAGGTGAAGAAAATAGTAAAAAAATTAAACTATTAAGTTCATTAAACTTTATAAATTGAATCAAATGTGAAATTAAATTAATTTCCAATTTAAAAGTATTAGTTGTACTTGAAATAAAATTGATGGCTTAAAAATTTTTAACAATTTTTTGTTCTTAAAGTAACAGACAAGTCACGTTGCTTTAATTGTGTATTTTATAACAATGCTGAAGTATACGTAACGTTTATGATCAACGATTAGAAATCAATTTTTATTTATCACGGAAAATTATAAAATTGTTTTTCTAAAAGAATATTTTTCTATAATTTGTTAATTAATAAAAACTAGAAATATTTTCCAGGCAAAAAATTATTTCTTTAAAAATCGTGTATCATAAACATTACGTACTTCAGCGTCGTTATTTTTATAAAATCCCACCGCTGTCACCAAACGTTAATACTTTAACAACCAGCGATTTTTCTCCAATTGAAATGTCAAATATCTAATAGCAAAATAACGTTATTTTGTGAAAAGAATTTAATTTTGGCTCCTACATTAAGAATAAAATTCAAAAGCTAATGTTGAAGTAATATTGTCTTCATTTTAAAAATGTAGTACATCTGCAAACATGTGAAATTGAAAGTGTATAACAAAAAAAAAAAAGGTTCTTATTGAACAATTGACTGGCAAACAATATACAATTATGTGCCTCCATCGTTCTCGGAAAGAATAGTTTATCATTACTTTGCTGAATAGATATTTGCGCCCTGAGTATATTAAAATATATGGAACAGTTGCGCGCTCATGAAGCCTGCAAAAGCGCCCGTTATTCTACTGACTTACATTTGAGATAAGAAAAAACTTTTTACACATATACAGAAAGTGAGTAATTTCACTTTGAAAAATATATAAAACATGAAATGAAATACATATATATATGTCAGTTGCGAGTAAAATTGAACAAACTTCGTAGAATTTCATTGATGATTTTACCCAGTTATGTATTTATTTTTTTTTTTTACTAAAAAAATGTGTTTACTACACTGAAAAAAAAATTTATTTGATTTAAATAATTGGATACTTAACTATTATCAAAATAAATATTTAATTGAACCAAATTTTTTTAGTTATTACTAAATATGAGATTACCTTCTCCTGAATGAATAGACGTTTTAAGAAATATGATTTAACGATGATAAATATAAATTAGAAAAAATTTAACTCCAATGGGATTCGAACGCACGACGTCTAGAATTTCCAACGCGCCTTAACGACTGCGACTAACTCACATTTAGAAGTGGAAAAAAATTATATTTTTAAAAAAAGTGGCAAATTTTCTCTAATATTTAGCTAATAATAAAAATTTATTTAAAATAATTAATTTCATTTTAATCTAAATAATAAATAATAGAAATAATAATATATAAAATAATTGACAAAACGATTATAATAATTAAAAATATTGTCAATACCACTCCCCTGCTATATGTATATAATTATAATTTAAATTGTACTTTCATCGAGTCTTGGTGTTCACAATGTTATTATATTATTATAAGAATGGCTAGAATGAATGGCAAGCGAAAAAAAAAATAGATTCGACGTGAGTTGGGTGTGTAATCGTGATAAAGTTTGTATAGTAACCGGAAGAGCAAAGCATCAGTTTGAAATGATCGTTTCGTTCGAATGAATATGAAAATTGCAAACATAGGGTTCTTTGCATCCTTTTAGGTACATATAAAAAAATTCTCG